GTTCAGAAGTGCCGAGCACATGGTTGAAGATGGACTCGATCTGCGAATGTGTATATATGTAAATGTATATCTTCATAGTTTATGCCATTCATTCTTTTCCTTCAAGTTTGCCAACCTGTGCACTTTCTTTTCTCCTTGGAATCTCTGAAATCTCTGATTATATTCACAGTCCTGAAACCTTGGTATCTTCTGACAACCACATATTCACCAGCGATGACTCCACAATGAATGCATCTACCTTCACTGGCAAGGTGTGTAGGCTGTGTCCCCTGCATGATATCTCTGGCTGTTACTGAACTTGTCTCTTGCATGCTAGGTTCAATATACCAACTGTGGGGCCATGATTCATTGTGATAATCAGACTTTAAACTGTCATTGCACAACAAGATATCATAAGAATGCCATTGGAGAGATATTCAAGACTGAAATCTTATGCTATGTTCCCAGCTGCAATTTAAAGTATGTCTCTTATCATCTATTTCTCCTATTAGGAAGACCCCTAATTATCTTATGATCATTTATAACTAGATTTAGTTGTCCAGATTCTGTTGATAAATATATAAAGAAATACCACCCAGAATATAATCAGTCTGAGTGGCACTTGCTCATCCAGTCCTCTGTATCTCTAGGTCCTATAGTAAATTTCTCAATTGAGGTCATGCCGGCCTCACCTTCTGAGGTGCCACTGAATGTTGTACCAAATATCCAGGTATATATCAAGGTTATGTTTAATCAATGCCTCTCTTTGACCAAGTCTATTTCTGTTCAGGGCTTATAGTCTCTGAATCACAATGTCACTCCAATGTCCATGTATCTCTAGCCTTTGATATGTGATGACAGCTTCCAAACCAATGAACTTACACCTGAGATAATGAGCTACGTAAACGATGACTTCTTGAATTTACTCAGAGTGGGTATTTGCAATATGAGTTCTACAATGCCGCCAGACCCATACAATGCAATTTATATCTACATCACATAGGCAATAGCTCTTCTAGATCTGCTTAGTCATTACCAGAGATGTCACAGCATGTAAATGTGCAGATATTTATGAGCTCGAAGGTCAACCTGAGGCTCTCCCAGGATACATACACTTCTGTTCAAGGCATCCAAGAGAGCTTTGGTGGTAATTTCCCTGCTGTTGCTGCCTCCAATTGCAATGTGCACTTTGAAATGTCTGAATCTTCATACACCAATATCAATTCTTTATCTTCCAGTATTGCACCTCTGCATGAAGTCTCACAGTGGAGTATCATCCAAGGGCTCACTCAGGCCATCATGGGCAATGGTCCTATTAGGATATTCAGTATGGTGCTCTGCCGGATGAGTTCAATAACTATGCCAGAGCCTTACAGGTAGCTCACATTCATTTCACATAGATGATGAGATCTCTGCAATTATTCGATATGTATGGCCACTTCTCTTTGAGCCCAATATTGACCTGACAACTGAACTATTGCACTTTCTATCAGTTCTTACTATAACTGCAATATGAACCAAAGTCCCAATCACTGATGTCCTGCATAGAGTTATAAATGCAACAATGGTAAGCTTTTCATCATCACTTTCAGGGAATTTTGAATTATTTACAACCTTCATCCCAAACCAGTATGACATACCTTCATACTTATATTTCTCTGTATTTAGTCAGACCAGTAGATATTGGGAGATATGACATTCACATGCATTTGTATCAGTCTGTCTTCTGGCCTTGCAAGATCATCTGAATGATATTCTTTCTATTTAAGATTCCTTTGATCTAGTCTGTAGCTGCATTTCTGGCCATTGGTAGACAATGCCAACAAATTCCATCATCACATTCAACAGGACTTCCAATATGTTGTAATGGCATTGATGCCTGGCTTCGATTATTCACATCCATTGAATGGACCTCAGTACCATGTCTGAATACCATCATCTTTTTTGTGCTCTGACTGAACCTTCTTCAACCTGGACATGAAGAAGATGAACATGGACATGGACCTAACTGAGATTATATAAATCTGCAGCATTTGCAGGCTCTGTTATCCAATATTTTCTATCTCAACCTGCAAATCTCTACATATCTACATAACCCACTTTTTACTTTACTTCTCAACATGCTGGAGGTTGATTTTTATAGGGCTCTGACTGATAAATTCTCTAGCACCTATAGACTCATGATGGCTGATTATAAGAGTGTGCTTGATATTGAGATATCTGGCAGAGTACATGCATATTGTCAGCAAATACTTCATGCCTTGTTGATGGGGTTGTTTATATCACACCAGGTTGGTTGCAAGATCTGTGAAAAGGCCAGTCCAGCCTATGTGTTCAAGGATACAATGACTGGACAGAAGCTTCAAAGTATATCCTTGATAGTGGCAGATGGTGATCCCTGTACTGAAGTTCATTATTTCAATTTGTGAAATCATATCAAGAATGCCCAATGTTATGCTAAGGATATTTAATTTATGCATAATATTGTATTGAAAGGTATGTCTCTTTTATTGGAATTTTCTGGTTAGTTGTATCTCCAACCCACTCTACCATAGTCTCAGATCTCTGTGCCAGGCTCAATATGCAATTCTAGATACCAAGCAAACAATGTACCCTGCTAGATTTTGACACTACAATTGCACTGAGTCTATACTTTTATGAGTCTTGAATGGTCATAATATGCCTCATTGCATTGTGAAGTACAAGGTACAAAAGATGAACCAAATGGGAACCTGTCTAGTAAAAGCAAAAATATAGCCAGTTTCTAATAATCATGAGTGAGGTAGATTTTCTGATGCTACATCTGTAGCAGATGAATCTGATTATAACATTGAATTTGAACTATGTTTAAATATGCTTTGGCATTATTACAAGCATTACGATGCATTATCAGATGAAGAACCTCTATATCTGATTCTTAATGAGCCCAGAAATATGCCTCCAGCACTGACAATTGAAGAGGTGATGATACAGCAGGTGACCCTCCAATGCCTATCAGTATATCTATTCAATGTTTGCATCAGGATCACACCTGCCACTGCACTTGATGATAATGAGATTCACCAAAGGGACATTCACCACTTACAAAATTTTATGCACTGGGTCTCAACACAACTTAGCAATTTCCCTTAATGTGGCCATTTTGCAAAAATCAAAGAGCCTCTTAAAATGTGAAACTCACATATATTTGCATAGGGTTTTCTCATGGTGAAGGGCCATCCGGTATCCTTTGCAAGTCATAATAATCATTGTCATTGAAAGAGGAGTGAGTAGTAGGTACTAAGGGTCTTTATTCAGCCTCGACAAAGTTTGCAATAGATACCATCATGCAAAAGCTTAGCTATGTAGTGATGTGCAGCTGCCAGTCCTATACAACAGAATCTATTGCAGAAATAGAAGATCAGAATCGGCAGGGTAATATCTTGATAAACATATATAATTAGATGTAGGAAGCAATATGAGCTCAGAAATTGATCTCACTAACAGTCAATAGTCCTAGTCAAGCTTCAAGCAGTAGTCGGAGTAAATATGATATCATGCATGCAGTCCATATGTACATGTTGTTAATTCTACTAAGGCACTTACTTTCCATCCTTCACAATTTTCAAGGGTCCTCTGACATATACAATTTGAAAGCATCTCACTGCTTGAGTTTACATTGCATGATCCAACATACCTAGCCTGTTACTATTTTGTTTTGCAGAGGACATGCGGTTAGTAATTTTAGATTCATTTTCTAGATGAGCAGTGGATAAATTTGAAAATTCAATAGAAGAATAGAAGAATAGTATTAATTTTAATATACTTATGAGAAAATGTGACTTTGTCAGGCCACTATAACTATAGGAAATGAGTGGAAGGTGGTGTGAAGATACTGGCTGAGAAAATGGGAATGCAATCTGTCCAGAGCTGTCAGTGATATGCCGAAACTGTCCAAGACTATCTATACAATAATGCAAAAAAAAGTTGAGCTTGCACATAAGGAAATGAAAGACAGAGGATTCGAGAAACTTCACTGTTACTCAGTTTCTCGATAAAGAGCCACTGTCCATATTGCATATCAGCACATGGTTAGTACAGGTCTGACCCCTCCTAAGTGAACATTGATTAGGGTGAGTCGAACTGTGTCATTGAATAGATGCATGACATTAAACAAAAAGTAACTTATGCCTACCCAATGTAGCCTCTTGCATTAGCTTAGACCCAGACTCATGCATATGAAGATACAATATCATATGTCTCTTGAAAAAGGTGATTCCATGTAGTATTTATAGCGCACTGCTGCTGGTGATGAGTTAGTTTCATACATTGTAGAACTGGAAGCTGAAGAACAGTCATAAAGAGGAAAAGAGTGTTAAAATTCAATAAAGAACATATACCTGCATGTTTATGCCATGGCATTAACTCATATCGACATGAATAGATTTACATCTCAGAATCTCCTGACATACTGTACAATGAGACAAGAAGGACAGGTAGGACCTCACTGATGGGTATAAGCTGACAAATACAAGGGATGCAATCCAAAGCATTAATCTTCAGAAATATTATTAACATTGCCACTTCGCATATTCTGCAAATAAATTGGCAATGGTTCTCTCTTGACCACCTTGGAACACGAGGACTCAGCCTGAGTTTTCTTTCTGGACATCTTTGCTAGCTGACTCTGCATCGATTGAAGAGCTTTCAGGTTTGTTTGAATTGCCTTCACCATTGCATCTACTTGAGACTAAAGCCGAAGTGAGTAAAAGGGAGATTCGAATCCATATATGATGAGACACAGAGAATTCTGTGCACTAAGTAAGCTGCACTCTGGAGATGACAAACTGACCTTCAGGGCCTCTACTTCCTCTTCCTCTTCCTCTTCTTTGGCAGCGACTCTTGCATTGTTGGTATTGCGCCGCTTGCTCGGATGCTCATCAGTCTCCTGGACTCATTTCTTACCCTTCCCAAGATGTGCAAGCATGGAAACTGCAGATGGAGCTCGAGTGGGTATGATGCCTTGGGCTTGGAGCAGGTCTGCATACAAATTTGGGAATTCAGTGGTCTCTCAACCTTGTCATTTATAAACCTTTCAGCCTGTAGTGATAATGGAAGGTCATGAATGGTTCATCATCTATACAATCCATTTCGACTGCTTCCATTTCTTCAGACATTTCCTGAGCTGGTCTGAATCTATTATGATAGTGTTAGTAGAGCAACAGACAAACACCACAAAGAATCACACGAAAGAGTGTCCGCCCAGTTTCTTTGCTCTTTCTGGAACATGGTCAATAAGGGAAGGCACTGCTTGGGGAGTGTGGGGATGGGTTTCGGATAGAGTGCCACAGAAAATCTTGATGGACATATGTCCCAGATCCTTGTATGCATTGAAAAATGCAGAATTGTCATCTTCTGGGAATGTTCAGTATCATGCTCCTTCAACAGAATGAGGCATAAGCTATCAATGAGTCATACCTCTGAGAACAAGAAAGGACGTTGTTCAGTTGCCGAGATGTTGAGATGGGGTAGATCCACAGATTGGCCCTTAGGGCCGGAAATGAAACTTATCTCTCAACCATCGCACCAGAATTGGAATCCCATATCAATTTCTGTTTTATTTCTCATGCGAACAGAGAATGCCTTGTACAACAAATATGTGCATGAGGCTCTGCCATTTATTGGGTAATAAAGCGACACACCTTTCCAGCCTCACTACCAATCCAACAACTGACACTCGATTCATCCTCAGAACCGTTCTTAACTTTGTACTCCTTCAAGAAATGGCCTTCGCACTTGATCTTCACTTCAAACCCTTTCAGCTTCATGGGTCCGATGACGAGTAAAATCGGCAGAGTGAAATGGGCTTGACGATAAAGTGATGCTTCATGACGATGATAGAGAGCAGCTAGCTATAAGTTGATAAAACAAGAGAGAAATAGGACAGGCCTGAGATTATGCATTTATTTAAAGTTCCTAATAGGATGATGTTATCTTGGCCAGACTATGGTCCCCGAGTCTCCGGCTGCAGCACTATGAACATGTAAGCGCCCAGTCTCCCCGGACCTGGACATGCGCGTGAACGTTCGTGAACAGCCCGAGTAACGGTGAGTATCATGATATCGTTTACTCCTACCAACTCTTAGTGTATTTAGATACACCTCCTTTATCTATCAGCGCATATGTCGCTAGCCTATCGCCAGTCAATCCGCTTATCAGTTTCATATCCTTGCCTAAGTATTATTCTAACAAGTCGACAGCGCGGAATCCAGATGCGCCACAATTATTTAGATCTTCAATTCTACTATGGGAAAGAACTTGGACCTCGCAAGCGTAACAAGAATGTCATTGAGAACAACCGTGTTGTCGTAGACGTCCCCCCATTAGAAGGAGGAAAGGTACGACCAAGAATTCTACCCACGGTGGATCTTCGTCTTTAACACCACGCAGGACTTTAGGCTATATTTTGAGATTGACGGTGATGAACAAGTTTCCCTCCTCCTTGATATTGAGGTCAACAATCACGTTGTCGAAAGAATTGCGATGGGCAGTTCTGTCAAATATGAATATCAACCTGACAGGTTGACGCAATTCATGAATGGTGACATCGAGAGAAGTATGCGTGGTATGCAGCAACCAGGAGATGTTTTCAAATGTACCGTCCACTTCAAGTTCCGAAGACTGCGCTTTTTGAATGAAAATCACCAGGACTTCTTCGGCCTTAATCGTTTCGTGACACACCTGGATGTTGTGCCGTGAGTTTCTAGGTCATTTCAGCGGCATTGGCATGTTAACCACATGTCAATCGGATAGGTCTCCAACGGCCATAATGAGACAATTGAAACAGTCTCTTCAGCTTCCCAAGAACAACTATGTTGTAATCGCGGATCATGAAAATGCCTTTGTCTTTGAGGCGCTCTACAGACTTCAGATCCGCAGTACGTGCGTTGCTAATGTCACTACTTTTGACCGATTAACAATCATACGTTGAATGAACCAGAACCTAATCCTGCATCGGGTCGAGTGAAGCTCAGCGTAAAAACAAGAAAGGCTTTGGCAAACGTACGGACGGAGTTGGAGGCGGAGCAAAGTGACGTTCGGAACCAACTTGATGAGACAACGCAACAGCTTCGGAGAGCGCAATCTCAAATCGAAGCGTAGGTTTACTATCTCTGTTTTGGAATTTTCAGTATATTTTCTAACTGACGTTTGCTACAGTTTGCTCAGGGAAAATGACGCTTTGAAGGCCGGATTGGGCTTGCAACTTAAACGAAAGCGTTCGATAGAGGAACGACCGAATCTTACGGCGAAGTTCCGTCATCTCTCAATTGCGGAGTCTTCTCGGACGCGCGATAATGATATTGATGTTGATTGAATTGCAAGAGTCATGTTCTCTACCTCTTTGGCAGTTGAAATGACGTGGAGTTGTCTACTAGCTATTTGTTCAGTTTTTGTTTATTTCTCGACACGAGCAGTGGTCCTCTAGGTATGAAGATATATCCACCATCATTACTCCTTGCTTTCGCAGATTTGGGCACCGAATTCTGTCATATTTGAACGTGTTGTATAAGTAAGATTTCCTTAAGGTATGTTGGTTCCTAATCGAACTTATGAATCTCATGAAACGTATGCAACGACAAAAATGGCACGGTCCCTGAAAGAACATTCAGTTCTAAGCAGTAGCGTGCCTACGTGAACGTCTATAACAGAGACTATCGTACTTCAACTCGGTGAAATGTAAAGTTTCGCAATATTGATATTTCTCTTAGCCTTTTCCTTCGTCGCAAACGCGTTCTTGGATTCTCAACGATATCGTAGGATCGGTACAATGTACAATCATAATATACAAGATACACAAGATAGCTCGTGTCACTCTTCGCGGAACATTCGTCGTGAGTATCGTAAACCCGCCCGTTCTCAACCATACGTCTCAACTAGAACCAGTTCAAGCAGGCAAGGCAAACGTATCCCTCAATGCGACAGTGGAAGGTGTGAAGAAGTATTCGCCTCCCTTGGAAACAACCCACTGAGTAGGCAAAGACAAAGAAGTACCCTGATCCTGAGGGTTGACACCTGTCAGAGTACGCGAAGTAGGGTCGGAGGCTTGACCGATGATTGCGTCAAATCCGGGCGCGGGGATTGGTTTACCGAATGGGAAACCTGTGTTGTTTGCCCAGTCTAGTGACATATCATTCAGCTTTGGATTGAAGAATGTATGCAGGTAAAATGGGCTTACTGGTTTGAATGAATCGGAAACCATTGCTGATGCTGCTCTGGTAGCACCTGAACAAGAGTCCACGATCCGTCAAGGTCTTGGCTTGCGCAGCCTCGGCGTCTGAGACCTCAGGTCCGAATGGTATGCCTCGGCGGATGATACGCTGCGGGGTTGTCGGGATCGGATTAGCCATTCCCTCAAGGTCGTTACGGGGGTTGGTCTTGCGAACATGAGCGGCAAAGGGGCACCGATCTTGAGAGGTGAAATCATCTCCAATATCATACCTGAAGTTGTTGTTCCTTTGAGGGTCGGCTCCAAGTGCGGGGTCATCTTGCAAAGGAGCAAGATCCACAGGAGCACCTTTATAGACGTGAGTGCCTTGTCGATCAACATATAGGACAAATGCTAACTTACCGCTCTTCCAGCGTCCAACTAAGCGCGCCCCAAGGAACTCACTTCCTTGTTCCGGACTCAGTCCAGGCAGAACAATAGGGTTCTTCTTGAGGAAGTCATTGAACTCCGGAACAAGTTGAGAGAGATAGCGGAAGGCCAAAAAGCTTCCTCCAACCGTCCAAGAAGGCTTTGTCTCATCTTCAACGAACAAAATGACGCTTGCAGGAACGCTTTCCTGTCCAGGGAAGCGTGTCTTATCGAAGTCCGTGACAGCAGGATTCGAAATTCCATCCAAAAATCCGAAACTAGGTATGTGTGTGTAAGCCGATCTTATGCAGTGAGTAATCTCAAACACTTACTGCTCGTGGCCCTTCTGGTCATCAGGTCGGACGTTCCCAGTGACGCGGAACACCTCATTAATGGTAGCCTGCGCAGTACCGACACCAAAGATACCCTCGATCTGGGTGAGCTGTTGGTCGATGTTGTCTTGGCAGTCACCAGCAATGATAAAGACGCCATGAACTCCGTTCTTGAACACATCGAGCCAGTTCGAAACATCATCTGCGAGGCTTGGAGCATCTGCCAATTGTCCTTGTTCGAACGGGGAGTCGCCAGTCGAGTCGGTGATTCCGAGCTAGAATACAAAATATACTTCAGATCTAACATGGACGGCTATAGAATCTCTAGACTAACCTTCGTCAACCCGAACTTGGAGAAGGCAAGCGTAACACCAACGATAGGGAGCAAATCTGCTTTGCGACCCTGTTGAGCTGCTTCTTGCTTGTTCTTGGCGACTTGAGCGCGTCGTTCGGCGGCCTGGGGAGTTGTTGTGATCAATGGGATTATCTGGGTGAGCTGCTTGCGGAACGACTGGACATCGTCCCCAATTTGAAAGAAGACGGTGGTTTCCAGCTTCTTCAACAAGCCGGACCTGAATGTAATCAATTGTTAGCCGTCATGTCATACGCCAGATAATGTGGACATATACAAGATGTCGCCCTGGACAGTGGTGACGTCAACGGGGAAAGCCATATCAATGCACAAGTAAATCTCAAAGGGAGTTATTTATTGCTAGGTTGCAATAGGTAGAATCTGACTGGCTGGGTCCTTTCTTCGACACGAAGACACTTTATATGCTGCGAGAGGCTGTTTCAGCGTGTAAAGATGGAGCGACATTGTCCACAGCGCTGATAATAGCGCTTGACATGTATGTAAGTCGGTCCCATGAAGGAGCGGTGTTCGTACCGGATCTTTGCCACAAAACCTAAAGGAGAAAGTTTGATGAACGTTCAGAAGAATACAAAGCAATGAATGAAAGGCACCCCGCTGTCGTGAGAGGCCGCTCGCGGCTAATAATCCGACTAGAAGCGGATCTTCCTCGTGTTTCTGCAGGGTGGACAAACTGAAAGGATACAGTATGTTCTGGTAAAGTCGAGGAGATGTCAAGGCTTTTTAGACGACTCAGCTGTGTGACCGAGGTCCTTCTAAGCTAAGCAGTTGCGAATTAGAATAGACATCCCCATGAAGAGTCCCTGCATTCAGTCTCACTCCGATCCACTCTGGTGAAAACTTCCCGACTTGCGAGATTCCGGTCTGCGCTGACCTACATGTGTAGCTGGGGAGTTTGAAGCCGCCAGGCGTCACGCTCAGCGTAATGGTGAACATACCATTGGACGGTAAGATATTATTGTTCTTCGGAACCAGATATTGTGCGTACGGTATAACCATAGCCTCTCCATCTTCGACAAGGGCTAGACCGCAATGTAATGTCATGTGGATTTTTACGCAGAACATAAGGTGATGGAGGAGAGACGTGAGAATACAGCAGATTGACGAAATGCGCTTAGTGCATGCAAGTAAGGCAGTATTCAGGCAATGCAGAGGATACGCCGATGGTACATAAACAGACAAATCACCTGGGAATTGGAAATGCACGATATGCAATTGAGCTGTGGAATCGGAGATAGTCAGGGAGCAATATCACGGGATAATATGACGCGCCTCACCTATATACTGCTTCCTTATTAAACTTCAGCGAGAGGCACTGCCATCACATTCTCCGACAAAAATGTACTCCTCCGGTATCGCACTTGTAGCAACGCAGTAGTCATACACTGCGGAAGGCTGAGATGGAGAGGTTCCGTCGGGCAGTTCAAAGAGCAATGGCGGCGGTCAGAGATGGGAGGAAGAATGTCGACATTCGGGAATCCATCGCCGAGGATTTGTTCGTGGGCATGAGCAAATCATCGAGCGCAATTACGTCTCGACCAAATGTTCTATACTTCATTGAAGGAGTGTAGTGAAACTTCTAAATCCTATGACAATGTCGTTCAGAGAGCCGAAGACCGCACGTATAAGTATTAGTGTAGTCAATTTTCACTTTGAGCGTTGCATCAAGGTGGAAGCAACGGAGATATCGGCATTGGCTGAAGGCGTTCGTCCCTGCGGCGCGCAGACAAATTCAGTACATGAGTGCACAGTCAAACGCGACAACTTACGGTACTCTTTCATGACCCACCTGTAACAGTGATCCCTAAGAGATGGCTCTACAAGTGGCATTGGCAATAATGATCATGGGGGTACCGAGAGAACTGCAGTGATCTTTCGCTGGATACTCGAATGCGTGCCTGGGAAAAGCCTTGAAGCTTTGAAGTCTTGTAACGCGGGCTCTTGACCGTCGTCCTCAGATGTGCTTAAGTCGTCGGCTTCCTCGACTATGCTCACCCTAGAAAATTTCAAGCTTGTGAGCACTGGAAAAGACGTCAGAAATGAGAGAAAGTCGGTCAATCAACGACGCAAATGTCCATTGTCTGACGTACAATGTCGTAAATCCAGGGAAGTTGGTTGCCACGCACGACGGAAGTATCCTAATGCCGGCATACCTGGTGTCGACCCACGAAAGTTTCCAGAGAGCTTTAACGTTGGGAAAAGTTGTCCGCTGAAGTGATTCAAAATACGGTTTCGTGTGCTTAATTTCACGACGATATCGGACGTTCGGGGGAGGTTCGGCGATGAGAGAGCGAACGCAGTCGAGGAGGTCGGGTAGAATTTCAACCGGTCTTCGCATCTTGCTCCATCGAACCTGAGCTGATAGTGCACAACTTGCTGTAAACGTACCAGACCTGGTTCACCAGGGAGCATGCCAGAAGAGCCTGATTATTGCCAGCCAACCAGCCCTTCGCTGGTTGAACCCACCCTGGTTTGAGACACCTGCGCGCAAAAAAATAAACTATAATGACTAGAAGGCTGGTCAGAAAGAGTTGACAGCTCAGAAAGACAAGGAGAAAACAAACATTCGTGAGAGTTCTTAGCTATTGAACTCACTGGCTACAGCAATCAAAGTGATCTAGATAAGAGGAGACACGAGTTTACATACAAAACAACAGTGCCAATAAGGCTTTGAGTCCAGCTACAGACAAGATCTTCATGCTTCGTGGAGAAAACCAGTACCAGTGCGCCTACGATGCTGACAATCCAATGAGTAACCCGAAAAGGTGTTTGAAACACACAGCGCGTAGATGTTGTGATGATGTACGTAGATAGGAAAACCGCAGAGACAGCAAGAAACCCGCCCGGATACAACCAAAAAATGACGAAGGCATTAACCAGAAAAAAAAATGAGGACAGCAGGGCGACAGGGAGATAAGACAACAGATGGGTGGAATAGTGATAGTGACACGAGGGAGATTGATGATACAGTAAGAGGGTGTCTTTTACATGGGATTGTGGCATTGACGAAGTCCATGCATGCAAAACGAGACGATAGGTCGATGGTCCAAATGGGGATAGAACTGAGTTGATGAATGTAGGGACAGCGTTCAGACGCCATGTTCACGAGCTGCCCTTAGTCCGGCATTGGAAGTAGGAAGGGTATTCGAAGACGAAGAGGATGTCTTTCCAGGAGTCAATGGATTCTAAGTAGGCGTTGTGCCAACTGATTCAACAAGCCCGGGAGTAAGTAGACTTATAGTCTCTCGTTTCGATTGTACAGCAGGGTGAGGGGTCAACGAGTTCTCGCTCTCATCGACCGCATCTGGGGTAGGTGGTTTCGAAGACACAGAGGCTGTCGAAATGTTGAACACCACAGCTTGAGGAGGTCGGTTCACAATTGCGTTAAACTCCGCCGGTGTGGGATTCCAAGAACTACGATGAAAACTCCTCGTAGATTTGGTCTTCCGAACGCTAGCCTGGTAGGCTTTCCGGATGGCTACAGTGGCATTCGTAGCCGATATCGAAGCGCTCGTGGTGTTAGAGAAATTCGTGAACGATGTCCTGTTGGACTGCGCTGAAAAGAGACTCGGCGGACGAGTCTGCCCTGGTTGGGAATCCGGGCTCAGTGGCATGTCTGATTGAGCGTTATCCTCAGGAATAGAGTTGGTTTGTGGAGAAACAGCGCTAGGTATTCGAGGATGTCGAGAATGAGGATGAGAATGAGAATGAGTTGAGTGTCGCGAGGAGTGAGACTTGGTTCGGATGTGGGAAGGTCTATTAGTGGATATCTCCAACTTGGGAAGAATAACGTCGGTAGGATGTCGACCGGCAGGTGATGAGGGCATGGAGGACTCGCTCTCGCAACTCTCGTAGTGACTCCCTTGCTCTGCCTCGAATTCATCAAGCAGACTTTCACCTGACGCAGAGACGAAGTCTAGTGTGGAGCCCAGTGAGCTTGTTGATGCATGGTGAGAGAACCCTCCAACCGAGCTATCATCGAGTTGGTCATCCGTATAAGCATCGACTAGATCGGACTCAAGCAACGACTTAGGCAAAGTCGGTGGAAACGCGGAAAGAAACTCTGAGGGGAAGGTGGGACAGGGGAGACAGGGAGAGGGAAGATACTCTGCACTTGATGAAGCTTCAGTCGTTGGCGGCTCATCTGCTGGGGGCGTGACAGATGACGGCTGGTTGCTCAATCTATCTCGGAGCTCCTGCCATATACGTAAGTTCTCCTTGCACTGACTTGCAAAGGTCTCTATTTCTGTGACGCAAATTCATCTGAAAAAGTAAAGAATATGCGTGGAGGAAGAACTCACGAGGAACTCCTCGCTTTACGCTATCGAAGAGTGGATCAGCGAACCGCTCGATGAAGAACACTTGGCCATTCGCTTTGCTCAGCTCGTTTGAAGATGGGTATACAGTCGTAGGCAGATGAAGATGCTTCTCTAGAAGGACCTGTGTCGACCATTCGCTGGACAGCGCGGAGGCCCAGTGTTGGGAAACCTTGTACGGACGCGCCTGGTAGATAGAACCATCAGGGAAAAAAGTAGTACGAGGGGATGTGAGCGCATACCGGATTGCTGATATCAGTGCACTTGATCAACGCTTGGCAAATCAGAACTCTGGTCCTAAAGTCATCATCCTCAGTATGTGTTCCACTACGTCTACACGTTATGAGAGCTTCGAAGTCTTTCATAAAAGTATCGTGAACGCCCATGTCAGTCGACAGAACAGTTAACAGCAAGAGCTTCCTAAACGTGTTTGTGCAGGGTGGATCGTGTCCAGATAGAACGGTCTTTGGCGGGTCAGAATGATGCGACAAATTGACGCCATTCTTGGAAGCAGTGAAGGAATGTCTTGGGGGAGGGACAGATGAGCGATCGAGGATGCCTCCGAGACCTGTTTGGTGCATAATCTAACACGTTTTGAATGTCAGCATGAATAGAATCCAGGAACAACGCTGCGCCGATATGACGTTCATCGAACGACTTCGGAGCGGCAGTGCCATGGGCGTACCTGGAGAAGAAGAGAATAATGCATCTGCTCGAGCACAGACTTGTCGTCGTAGACAACTGCGAGCGGTGTTTTGGCGTTTTTCTGGAAAGAACAAAAAAATCAGCGCGTACTCGAGTCGAGATCACTCTGCTCGGTTCATAACTTACTAGGAAATTATTCGTTAACCCAGGATGTCCAACATCGTGGCCTACCGCAGCAATGCACAAAGCGAAGATGTCCGAGTTGTTCAAACAATCGATCAAGCCCTGAGTCTCTCGCGGCGGTCTTCTCCATGTTTGATTGCTTAGAAGAATATCCAGTTCCGGCACAAGTCCCTCCCATTGCAAGATGCAATATATTGCCTGGAAGACGTCCAGAGCATGTTCAAAGTTGTGGTAGTTGTTAACTCGGCGATACGTCTGCTGCAGAGCATTGAGAAAAAGCGGCATTTGTGCAAGATCGACACCGCAGTCTTCACGCATACCCTCTATCCGAAACACGGCCTCAAACAGGATGTATGCGCACGTCAAGACTTCTTCTGGAGGTAACTTGTGAGGCTCAAATGTCCACGAGGCCAGCGAGGATATCAGTCGTCCCCGATCTTGGGGTGTGAGCGAAGGCATCGACCTGTGAGAAATATACTGAGACTAGATAGTCTAGTACGAGCTGAAAGACCGACGTTGATATGTCCTCCAAGTTCACTGCCATCTCTGTATGTGCTCTAACGTCAATTAGATTCTCTGCGTAGCTGCGCGCGTGTGTGCTTAATGTGAGCAAGGCAGGCAAGGATCCGGGAGAATAGCGACATACTTTGTCTCTCCAATTTCACCCTCTTCCCAGCCTCCCCAACCGTGGCCGCGGGTCTCATCCTCGAGAGCCAGAGCGAGTCCGCCGACGTCGACACTCCGCCGCCGCGGTGGTCCCATGTTCGATCCAACCATATCCGAAGCGTCGAGCTGAAGCACAAGCCAAAGAAAGATGGCGATGATCAACGTCGAGGTTAGACAGATACAATCCGACGCAAGTCTTCTGGCGGTTCTTCGGGAGGGACTTCTCGCAGGACTTTCTCAAGGGTTCAAGGGTTCAGCCGCCGAGCGGTTATATTGTTGTCAGTCTCCTAGATGTCCAGAGTGATGATTGTGTTCTGACAAGTGATAGAACTTTGTTAGAAGGATGTGCTGCACAGCGTACTGGACGTGTCGCGGCAATGCGCAAGGAGATCGTGGTCGAAGGAAAGGAGCCCGTGGCTTTCTCGTGGCCTCCACGTTCTCCGATATGTTTCAATCAGAAATGCTCACGGCAATGTCGGGGTTTGAAGCGGAGTAAGCCTTGGTGCAAACGACAACCTTTGGATCGTAGAAGCCCCAAAATAAGACCCGTTGAATAGCTCACCCTTACTTTGCTCTCGATCCAAATCCATCCAAGCTCACCCATGAACTCAACCACCCAGTATGGCTGTAATGGCACGAGTGAGGGGACTAATATAACACTCAAAGTACCCATAGAGCGCCCTTGTCGTATAAGACTCGGAGATGTCCCGGTGCAAATGATGCTTTAGCATTATTCCTTCGAATGCGCTGCAGAACATATGCGACTAGGTGCAGACAGTCAAATCGCCTTTCCCGCTTATTCTTTCTTAAGGAAGTGGAGATACAGCTTACCATGCGACACAGAGAGTGTGACTGTTCCCCTCTGTGACAATCATCAAGAATCTAGTGATATTCCCCGGGAAACAAATTATCACCCTCCAAATAATACGCACATATTGTTTGTATCGTTCCCATTTCATCGACCTTCAACAGGATAACTTCCCTCGCTGTCTTGTGGTCCTCCCTCCCAATTGTTTTGGTTGCTCTCTTCCTCACTTGTCTTGGATGTATCAGGTCTGGTTGTGCATATCTTTGGTTTTTCTCTACTCTATCTCAAGGTGTTATTCTGTACCATTTATTGGTGCGTTGAGGATGCTTGAAGCCTTGAATTGTCGGCTTCTTGGGTGTATCTTCTGATGTCTTTCTCTAGGTTCTATTTGTAATCTTTGTGTTGACTCATCTATCCAATCTAGATCGTTTTGATAGGCGTGGAGTGGTTGGTTTATATATTGTCACACGTAACTCCGACGGAGGTTCGTCTTTCATCCCCCACGTCACTGTCGAGCTGGCTGTCTCTGTCTGACGTGCTGCTGAGATTGAGCTTGTAAGTTCAATGTCAACTCGCCCGTGCCAGGACGTGTTCAATCTCGCAATTGATCTACTGGAAGAGGACGTGGAGGCTCTTCAGGCGTGCTCCCTGACATGCAATGCATGGTACTCTCGCAGCAAGACTCTCATCCATTCCAGGTTTACGTTCGACGGAACAACCACATCGAATGATCGGTTGCTGTGCTACGTTCAGCATCCCGAACTTCTCAGTTGCATTCGAACCCTAGTCGTGAAGAAGCCTGCAAGACAATATCGACAATGGACAGGGTGTTACGTCAACCCTACCTCTGCATCGTATACGGCCTTGCAAGAAGTCGTATTTCCTTCTGTCACCAATCTCATGCTCCGTCATATTAACCCCAGACACGAAGGAGCCAACACGCTCATGCCCTACGTGCAGAGCAACTTTCCTTCGCTGACGTCTTTAGTCCTCCGGCAGTGGTCGTTCGCATCCTTTTCGGAACTGCACATATTGATCATGGCGTTTCCGCGCCTCAATAGCCTTTCGTTATTAGAACTACGAACTGATGGCAAGACTAGTAGCCCCCGCGATTCTTGGAATGAAACCCCAGACGATCCGGTTTCAGAGGATCACAGTGACTTCCCAAGGCATAGCTTTGACTGCCTGCGTCGATTAACAATTGACTTCAGTATGGGAGCAATGCAATTCCTCCGCTATCTCAATTACCATCAAGTCAAGGCTCCTGTCACCTTCGCCGACGTGCGATGGGTATGCAAGGACAAGGAATATAAAGACCGGTGCCAAGATCCCGAGCTCCTTCGGCTAGTGTGTTCCTTCGTAGGAGATTCTCTAAAACATCTACGCATCCTCGATGGTTACTTCTTGGGGGATATGGACGGCTGGAGTAAGCATATTTGTGTCTCACTCTGGGATGTTTGTTGGCTCATCTAGTCTCAGATGCTATCCACCGTTGCCAGAATCTTCGCACCATTGAACTTCATACATCCGTCTACTATGGACCTTCTCGATTACAGCGTATTGTGTCTGAGATAGAACATGTCCAGTTGGAAATACTGGCTGTTCACTTGAACCCTCAGAAGCAGTTCCCAGAGTTCAAAACAGAATGGACGGTTCAAGCCTGGTCTGAACTCGATGACTTCCTTCTGTCGAAAACCGAGATCGTGAAGAAGCATTGTGGCAAGACACGATTGACTATACCAATCTCCTTACGCCGAAATGATTCCTTTGAGAGTATCGTCGAACGGTTCAGAAAGTTCATACCAAAGATTATTTCCAACGGCGTCCTCGAGTTGGGATACCATGCATAGTGGCCTATCGTAAGCACCATTTAATTATAGCACAAACGGCCCAGGACTGACCTCAAGTGGTAGATGCCATCCTTCGGTCGACCTCGTACTGAATACAGACTCTTAAGTCTTGGAGACTAATGACTGTGTGGAGATTCAGGTAGACCCTTGAGTTGTCAGGTGGAATGTCATCCAACGCAATGTATTCAATGTCCCTCTTGCGCGTGCACCTATCCATATTGATAGTTCTGATCCCACCACGACGGTACGGATTGATATGCTAAAGCTCATGCTCCTTGGGGAAAGTCAACGCTCGAAGTAAGATCCTTCCAAGTCTCCAACCCAACCAAGCCGGTGCAAGCACCACCGACGATGTCATAGCCACTGCCTCCCAAAGACACTACAGTGGGGAAGGCCTTGCCCTTCGCGAGACCTTCGCCCTTGACGATATCAATGACTGCATTGACGGTCAGCTCGGGGTCTCCGGGCTGGTTACCGTTCACAGCTGTGAGGAACAGGATATCAGCAACTCGTTGGCTATAAAGCCAGCATCTGTGATATACCACTAAACATCTCCTCGCTAGCTTTGTTGACCTCCCTATAGGTTTTGATATGAGTCACGTCCGAGCCCGTCCTGTAGGGATTTAGGAAATCGGTACGGAAGTAACCAGGTTCGATGCAAACTCTCGGACAGTCCTAGAGATAGAGTAAGACATTAAGACAATGGACGATATACGGAGAGCAGGATGACTTACCACTAACGGCGGCCTTCGTGGCGGCATAATCACCGACGGTAGGGTATCCACTATTGCAATTAATGACATTTTAGACTATTTCGAAAGCACATGTCAATACTAACACCCAACCAGCAGCAGAACCAACCCAGATGATAGTTCCGGTCTTGCGCTCTCGCATGTGTGGATTGATGTTCATAGGGCCGAATACATTGGTGCTATATGGGTGACATGTTCTAAGTATGGCCCAGAATCGCAACGACGAGGACCTACTTGAATTGCCCCAGAGTTTCGGCGGGACTAGGGACCCGATCAATTTCAATCAACTTCATCGAAATAAATACATGCCTGCACTCCTCGAGAGTCCCCTATCCTCATGAAACCTACCAGCAGTGAAGTCGATACAGACCAGCAACTCAAGATAGAAATCTTGCATACCTGCGTTGTTAATGATAACGTCGACGCCACCGTAGATCTCAACGGCTTTCTTAGCAATGGCTTGAAGAGTCTCCATAGGTGAGGTCACATCAAGCTCAAGAACAACAGTGCCTCTTTGTCGCCTCGTTTCAACGCAGCCAAAGCGAGATCGCGATCGAGACCAGAGCTGCGTAATTAAGCTTGAGCCAGCTGCATGCTCGTATTTGAACTTAGATGTACGAGGTTCCAGTAATGAGCCGGACAAACGATTGAGACATTGCTGTATAGACGGTGGTGCAGAACGAGTAGAAACCCAAGGTAGTTTGCTTGTCGTTCACAACGAAACAGGCCAGCCTTATATCCGTTTTTGACCATCTCAGTATCCGACGACGCATCGAGGGCCTCTGGCAGCCATATCATGTCTCCGAGTCGGATTACATGCCGCATTGAGGCGTAACTCAGATGTCAACTTGTAAAGACCGAGAGAGCGGTCTATCTTGCTGATAACCCGAGTGATAGGATTCGAACCAAGAAGACACTGTCTGCTGAAGATAAGACCTACCCCAAACGACACCGTGCCGATCTTTTCTGAACTGCGACTGAGATTTGGGCCATAAAGCTTTTCACGCAGCCCGAGTCGCACCTGGTCATGCTTGTTGCCGAAAATCATTGTTAGCCTTCTTGCCATGTATCTTCGAACATGTCGATATACCGAACACAAAACACAACATGGATATGTATGTACATCATACAGACCTGCGAGAAGACGTCAATGAACTTTCTGAAGTTGGAGAGGTTGAGCGCTTACCACATTAACGTTTTCTCTGGCAAACCATTTCGTGGGCACGCACCAACCTCACCATCTGCAAATTACAGTTTCCGAACGTAAATGAGGAAGGTACTTACATATGCAACTGCAAACGGACGACTTCGATGATGAAAATTGAACCTTCGGGCAGTAAGTTTGACCCCGTCTGAGTCTATTCAAGTTCGTATGACCCAATACTACATCCAACATGCCAAATTATGAAGCATAACTGTTGAATTTCAGCCATGAACTCATGCGGATAGTATGGTTTTGGGCCGCAAGTTTGGACAAAGAGCCTCGTCGGATGTTGGTGGTCCGATGAAGAGGAATGAGAGCCAATGCTCATTTAGTTCGCGTTAGGCCCTGTTTCAACCTCAGTAGCGGAACCTGTATAAAACATCAGAATCTCATTCATGTAATCCCCTTCGCGGATGTAGGAGAGGAAGGAAAGTACACGTTCATCACTCGTGAACCGTGACGTTACTGGGCAATTTCAAGTTACAGTAAGTTCATGAGGTTAACTGGCGTGAATAAATAATAAACTTTTACATCGGTGAAGCGCCTAGATCGCTCCTGCTCCTTGCACTTCCGCTCGTTCGGATGCTGTAGACTTCTTCAGATGCCATATTGTTCGACCTTCCAGCAGTGATATCCCGAGACTCCTCCACCTATTTGTTGTGGTACTAAGCTGTGTAGCAAATTCCTAGATTCCTTGAACACGTTCCCACATAGGGTTAGACATTACGTTGCCTGCTCCAAGCACTCTTCTCAACCTGATCATCGTCTTCTCTGACCCCAAGCGAAGATCGTCTATTCACAGCCTTTCTTCTGTCTTTACCAGAGCTCCTCTACTTAAGTTCTAGTGAAATTGGAATGTCACCATACACTTGCGTCGTTTCTCCTCTCATTCAATCATGCACACTCTATCGTTGCGCTCACTCCCGGCCCTCTTCTCGCTATTACTGTCGTTTGGATTCCCTGATGGTCCTATCAAGAACTTGGTGACTTTCGGGGACAGCTACACAGACATTTCAGGAATAGGCGACAACGGTACTGCGTGGCCTGTCTACGCAGCTAGTTACCGAAACCTCCGCTTGCATTCATTTGCCATCTCCGGGGCAACGTGTGATCAACGTCTCACTCCTCGCGTCAACTTCCCGTACGTTGTGCAAGATGAATTACCAGCATATTTCGAACAGACACAGAGTGGGCTGAAGCTCGATCCAAAGGAGACTCTGTACACTCTATGGATTGGAACGAACGATGTTGGAGCGGACACGATGATGTCAGGAAAGCAGACACCCGGGAACACCATAGTTCAAGTTACCCAATGCCCCGTGAGCTGGGTGAAAACCTTGTACGATACTGGCGCTCGAAACTTCCTGTTCCAAAACGTAAATCTATATACACCTCTCTCTCAACGAATGAGGACTAATCTGACATTCTCAATCATATCTATAGATGATTCCACTCCAGCTCACGATTCTCTATCGCGCTGACGGGTACCTCACCCGTTTCTGGACAGCACCTCATAATCAGACCGAATGGAGTGTTTATATGACTGAACTTGTTGCCTCCGGAAATGAGCTTGCAAGGCTGATGCTTCAATCTCTTTCTCGGGAGCTTCCCGGGGCTCATATCGGTTCGTGCCCATCTTCCTGTCAGTGTTGCATCACTCACAAGATCCGATCAGGTCTGTTCGACTCCTACTCGTTCTTCATGGACATACACGACTATCCTCAGAACTACCTCAACGGCACAGCACCGTTGAATGTCACAGGATGCATTAATTCTTGTATTGTTAATGAGGACGGAAGCTCCACTTGCACAATCATTCAGGGTACCGACCGCGATAGTTTCTTATGGTGGGTATTCTGAGCTCTCACTACTTAATATTACTTCTGACTTCACTAATAACCTCTCATAGGCAGGATGAGCTGCATCCTTCAGAGCAGGTGAATCGGAACTTAGCTAGACAGATTGTTGATGCGATCACCCTACCTGAAACTCGTTGGACGACATGGATGAGCTGATCAAGAGGGACTTCGAGCGAGACAACGCAATGTTATATTGGATTCCTCGCAGTAAATCTAACAAGTGTACACTAGATACAAAGAGTTTTCGTCAAAATTCAATACTTGTGGATTTGAATCATTGGGCGCTAGGAAGGGGAAGTTTGGTAGCCTCGTGGCTTGCGCGTGGCGCCTGTTGCAACTTGTTTAAGAAAACCTTCATCATGGACGATATCCTCCAGGACACAATAGCTCTCTTTGGCGAAGAACCTCAGGATGACGGACACATTCATTATGGACGGCTCGATTTAACGACAGCACCGAAGGTGTGTCTCTGAATGGACAAGAAATGAAAATTATCTTAATGACGTTGTGATTTCCTAGGAGGGCAAGGTACGACATTGTACTGATTTCACTTGTTGTATCATTGAATCCTCTACTTAGTATAGGCCAACACTCTACTAGCAGATCATCTCTTCTCGCCGTCCCTGCTCCTTGGCGAACATATAGAACGCGGCTTGATACCAGTCGCTGGACGCACCGGTACGTCTCTTGTTCAATGCTAGATCGCGCTACCCAACATGATTTAATCACATCAGTAATTGAGCTGGGCGCAGGATGCGCCCTTCCGTCACTGTTGTGCAGTACCCTGAGTGAACCGCCAGCGCTAGTGGTTATCACCGATTATCCTGATGACACAATAATGGTCAACTTGAAGGAAAATATCGCCAGAAACCGTGAGCAAGTAGCGCCCGGTTGCAATGTCCAGTGCTTTGGATATGAATGGGGGAAGGATGTCTCCACACTTTTGTGAGCTCATTGTAGAAACGACATCTATTGCAGGTGATTCACGTTATCCATGCAGGTCACTAGTTCCGCAAAACAATGGATACGACATCGTCATATTATCCGATTTACTCCATTTTGATCGCTCGCATGACGTTCTAATTTCCTCACTGACGTCCTTGCTGCGCAAATCATCCTCTGCTCGCACATACGTTGCCGCAGGAAAATATACCCTACCTCACGTTTGCGACCACTTTCTGCGAGAAGCAGAGGAAGCGGGGATTGCCTTGGCAGAAGGCGAAGATGATCCTGTATGGCGAGGCGACTTAGAAGTAAAAGGCGGCGGACTAGACCGAGAGCAGCTTGGCATACGCAAGAGTATGTGCAGGTGGTGGGTTGGTCGATGGGCGGAGGAAAAGACGCCGAGCTGAGCAATCGAATATCAATCATTGTTTGCAATGTATCTCAAATGCTGAAACTATGCTCCTCAAAGCGAGGATTGTAGAAGATGTTATCCAGGGATACGAGATGCATGCATTCTGCAGGTGCAGGTGCGGGTGCTGTGCATGCTCATGCTGTAATGAACTTCTCGTGAGAGCATGCGGTTGTATTTCAAAGAAGGCGATGCCCTGCTTAGACCCTGTTCGCAAGTACTCGCTGAGCAAGGGAGGTTTTGATGTAGCGAGCTTTTGAGACCACAGCCGTGGCAAACGTGCGAGAATAACATGCCTCGTCTTTGCATGGACATTGTCATCTCGCTTTGCTTTTCCGGGATGTGCACGTAAAACTCACACCAAGTTTTCATCACGCCTAGACTTGCGTTCCCTGCTAACGAAATGTGTGGTTCGTTCTACAGCAGTAACCATATCATTTTTTGGTTACTGACCGCTGAATAGTACGGAACGTTACCGGTGTGTGTTATTGCGTGCTATTCCCAATGTTCGTCTGATGTCTATGCGACTTGAAACCCAAGATTCATCCTGCTGGCATCTGCGCGTTGACCGTGGAATAATTCCTGAGCGTAATTGCTTCTCACTTTCCATTGCGTCATGAACGGAAGCCTTCTTCTTTTGATCCACAGAGCCTAGATCCTGCAGGCATCCTCATGGTCTTCGTACGAAAGCCTTCCAAGCTGTTTTTGACAGGAGCCGGCGTGAGGATCTACGGTCATTCAAACTAGTTAGCTTCAAGTGTTGTTTCAATAAACGTCCGTGGGTGTGTCCTTCACCTTGACGTGATGTCGATGAACTACTGGCCGGCCGACGCGGAGGAAGGCACGTGGACGCTCGTGAGTATCATATATCTCAGGTTAATTCTGTAAAAGTGCGAAACAAATGATTGTGATTATTCAGCTAAAATGACTCAGTTCGAGCGCAAGTGAAATGTGAAGACGTTGGAAGAGATTCATATCGGCCCTAGTGGAAAGATAGGAGCCTCTGTACGGACGTACCATCAGCGCATGACATTGACAAGCGTATCTTCAGAACGCCAAAATGAACACTACATTGAATGCGGATATCGGGTCCGTGAGGTTACCCTGATGTGCAAACGAAAAGTGATGATGCGCTCTGTGATGAAGTAATCTAAGGGGTTTGGTATGGGAAGGTAAGACAAGAGGAGCAAGGAATACGTACTGTAAGTTTTCACATGGCAGGATGTTGCGAGATTGTTTGAATGAACTTTGAATCCAAAGACACTGTATTGAGAAGAAACCGAGGCCGGGTACTACTCCGAGGCACACATCCCACAGGCGATACATGCAGTTTATGAAAGCCGGACCTTCGTGCTTCCTCTGCAATAGAGATAATACAAGGCTCAATGTGGGTGGTGAATTTCTTCCTGAGTGACCTATTGCAACATGTCACGTACCACGAGGCTCTCACCGATACGATCTTATGTGGAGGAATGTGAAGAGCCACAACGTCCATCGTCAGGCACATAATGAACTCGGGCAACATATCGAACTACAATTCCGCGTTCGTGCACGAGCCGCTCCCCATGGGTGGCTCGCCACACATGGATAGCACAATCTGCGGAACCGGGATCATTGACCGTTAAACCAGGTGGTTTGTACTGAAGCGATTAGAACGTTAACATCAGAGCTAACTGTCCATCCGTTCATCCACATCTGCCATTCAAACAATTGTCATGAGTCCGCCAGGTCAGTTACGATCGTCTAGTGCTTTCAACAATAGCACGTCATTAGTCAAACACAAGGCGACTACGCAGCTAGTAGCTGGGAACTGCAGACCGTCGAAACGCCACGAAATGTCAAAATATCACCGTCTGGAAAGCGCGACTTCATCTACACGGGTAGATCCCTCGGTCAGATGGCTGGCGGTGTGAACGTGGCTGAGATCCCGTTCATCGAATCGGCAAGCAGGAGTCTGACTCCCTATGAAAAAAAATCAATCAGCGTCTGGGCGCAGTATGAAAGTTGAGACGAACATCAGTTATCTACTGACTGACAAGGAATGGAACATCGTTATTGAACTCTGATTATGATCAGTGCATTGTTTTTTTTTGGGACGTGTGCTCACGTACCATTTGACACCATGAAAGCCCTGACCCTGGCCACGCGTGGCCTTCTCGCGAGAGATGCCAGTGCCATTGAAACTGAGGACAAGAGCGTCATGGAACATGTCTGCTTAATGTACAGTAAAATCTCCCTCATTCCCAAGGTCATATCAGAGCACGTTGTAAGTGGTATGTAGGAGCCGCGGCTCATTAGCGTTTATTACCACTTAGTATGAATTGCACAATTGAAATATCATCCGTGCGGGTCCTGCATGAGAACAATATTGCACGGGATCAGCTAGAAAAAGCAGACCCCCGAGGATCATGGAGCACCACGGTGGCGGACACTCGATGACATGAAGTACGAACTTGACAGATGGAGCCGATGCTACTGCGAACAGAGTCAAGACGCTAAGACGACCGACCGACGACCCGTCAAAAACTTGGTATCGGACCTTCCTTCCTTCAGCCACGAGCTTATCTCGAGTCCAATCAGAAGGACTAGTAAAGAGCGGAAAAAAAAACAATAAACTTACCGCCGAGCAGGTCAATAATGATTAACTTGAATCCCGGACGGTTGCAAAACGCCAGAAGCTTGCAGAGCGGAGGAAGCACATGTTGGAAAACTCAGCAGTTGCCAGATCCCAGGATATCCTGTGGATAAGCACTCGGACGGCTCACAGGCACCTTTCGAGATTCTACGATTAATCGTATCATGGGGTCTAACGTTGGGAGTCTCCATCCACTCGGTTCACTAGAACATTTCTAACGGTCAATTCGATTCCGATATCGGAGAATTGTCATACGTACGATGATAAGATGATGGAAAAGAAGGTTTCAATGGACCGGGCAGCCAGCTATGCATGCGAGGGAATATTTTGCTGCGTAATGTGGATGGCGGATTGTCACGGTGGGAGTGAAGAGGATAGTGGAGACGTAAAATCTTGAGGCGGGAAGAGCATCACATCGGTGCCTGATAAAGCATGACGGTTAGAAGATGATACATATGCAGGGTATTCTGATATTCAGAGTGAATGAACCTAGATATTCTCATACGGATAGTCCGGCGGTACTAGCTTCAGCTTTAGGTCGGTGCGTCGGTGTATGAACTTTGAAGACCTAGAAATCATGTTCAGTGTCAATCAGATAACGCCCCGGACCATGCATATCAAGCTCCATTGGTTTCGCAGTACTCACACAAGAATATCACAATCTCATGATCAAATCGTGCCGTCGATACGATATGCAACCACCGAACAAAGCCCATTCTACCATTCCATTCCAGGCGTCAAAAAGAAAAAAAGCTTCACGGGTAGGAAAACGAGGCCGGGAGATCCTTGGAGGAACATACCGAATCGCGATCCAATTTTTCCCTCCTGCATCCGAGCGTGATGCATATCGTACAGGTGATGAGTAATATGCGTGTTCTTCAAACGTGCCACGAGAAACATCTAGAACACCCAATGATCCCGAATGAGCAGCGTTGTGGAGCTATGTATACGTGTATGAGTGTATTGCCCGGAGGGCCCGGATGCGGGCCATGCATATGCATATCGATAAGCGGTCGGACCCCCTCCGCCCCGGGAGCGAAAAAAATCCATGTTGACACGATGTCAAAAGATGGAAGGATGGAAGGACGGAAGCCTTGTCAGATCTATTCTATCCTCCGCCCGGGCCCCCAAAACATACTGAATCTTGAAAAGAGGGTTTTCGGAATGGACCTGTTATGTCCGGGTGCGCGTGTGATTCTAGCGAGAGGGTTTGTTGAACGTGGATGAAGATCAGACAAAGATAACCGAGTTAGAAGGAACGAAGATGATTGTATACCGGTGTGAGCCAGGTATGGGAATCTTCTCGATCAGGTCTGCTGGCAGTTGCAAGGGTGATGAGTTTGGAAGTGACCGGTTGACCATTGAATATTGAATATTCACCCAGCGGGCTTCCGTTTCTGTGTTGTGCGGAGCTTGAAAATTTGGGTAGGTGCCTTGGAGTTGCTTGTAAGAAAGAATTGCCGTCGTCCAGCAAGGAAAGTGGAGTTGAAACGTTGTACGTAGTATAGAACAAGCGGCACCTATGTGGTACCATCATGCCAGTGAAAAGGTCCCACATTGGAACAAACGAGTGGAACTTCGACGACCAATTGACTCACAACGATGCCAACGCTTCGATGTCGGCAAGTTCGATCAGCTGGGAATCGTCGTAACGTTGAAACTCTAACCAAAATGTCGATGCTAGTAGTCTGTCGAAGCGCGAAGCGGGGGCATGAGTAAGTGAACTGAATACCGGTGGACATACCCAAAAGACCATAAGGACATCTCCGCGGCCCCGGGAAACGATGGAAGGTTGGAAGTGGAAAGTTCAGTCGGTATTCCGTTCGCGTCTTTTGCGGACGCGGACGCTCCTAGCTATCACGACATTTTATTTCTAGATCTGTACAATGTATAGGGAAGGAATAAGTGTGGTTCGCTGGGTTCTAAAGACAGAGAATGTTAGAGGGGTGCCTATAACGAGAAAGAAAGTACTTGACCAGATAGCTTGGAAAGATATCACAAAAGAGCTTCATAGAGAGCCTGAGGCTTGAGGATCAGCTACGTCCGCCCGGTAGCAACTCAAAGACCACACGAGCACAAAAGCTAGTCCTGTCTACGAAAGTATAGCTAGCATCAAACCCCGAGTCCCACCCGTGGCACCTACCAATGCCAGTGCATTGTGCACTCTCGAGTAGTATGATGCAACATCCGCAGTCTGTCGGACCTTCGAACAAGGACTTCCACACATCGAACTGCGCATAACAATACGCGAGAACCGGCGAGGCCGAAGATCGTGAAGCGTGAAGGAACTAGCCGTCGTAGATCGTCTATCGTCTCTCGATTAGTACTAGCTAAGCGGTATAACTTGGCAGGATCTAATAGTAGTATAGTAATACAGTAGTAGTCTGCTAGGAACGTAGAGTTAGGTCAGTTAGACTTTTAGAGACACTAGTACCGCAATCCCCCGGTACATGTATTTGTATAAGCTTGTGTGGATGCGAGATTCCCCCCTGCCCCCTTGCCCCCCTGGCAGCCTAGATCGAGGGCTAGCTAGGGTCGGGAGGGGGATATAGATGGGTGACCTGGTAACTGACGCTAGTAGTCCGGGGAACCACACATCCGCTAAATATCGAAGTAAAAGCGGGATTGAGCGGAAATGTGGGGAAGGGTTTATATTCGTCTTGCTGGGTGCCTGCGTCGTGGGTAGGAGGGTGGGTTTTTGCAGTATATGTGATGGGGAGCGCTTTGATGGGGGGACGGTTACAATATGTGGGGTCGCGAAGGCGACGAGCTTTAATCAGCTCTCAGTCCGTAGTCCGTGCGACGAGATAAAGATAAAGATAAAAATGGAAGTGGAAATGAAAACGACTGAGGGTCGGGATAGACACTGATTAGTGGTCCACATACGATCGCGGGAGCATATACTATGAGGACTAGGTATCTCATGAATTGGAGAAGCTCTGGTATGGGAGGAGACGTGAGTAAGAACCTTACCGACGCGCATACACTCAGGTCAAGGACCAACGAAAGAGCGTGACACTCTTTCGAATGGAATGACCCGAGCTACAAACATTCACACAGGAAATGCAGGCAGTGTCAAGTGGATTATGATAAGTTGACAATCCGCCATCTGCCGGTGTCATTGGTAGCAGTAGCAGTCAAGGCGAAGTTTCAGCACGGCTACAATGAAACGTCTTCTCCAATGAATCAGCAAATCATCAAATCATCGATAGCCCTGAGCTTGAGCACTGAGGACTGGAAGTTAACGACACCCCACACGATGTAAGCTGTATTTAGGGTGGTCGGACGTTTAAAGGCACCGTAACGCACCTGTCTGTGTGTGTGGGCTAAAAGCCGAGCATTTATGAAGTCATACCCGAGGATGCTGTCCTGTGAGATGAGATAATAGATAATACATCAGGGTACATCAGGTCCTATCACCTAACAAAAACCGTGCGATGAGCGAGAGGGTTCTAGGTTTGTTTCTTACCAGCCGATGGAATCGTAGGTGGTCTGAGCTTGTTTACATACGTTGAAGAGAGTTATTACTCTTGGGAATCGTCATCGGCTGCCAGATGACTGGGTAGTGAGAACCTGTTATGTTCTTGAGCTCGATGACGGGATAAACTGCACCCTTGGTACTGGAATAGAACTAGAACGATAACTTTGACCACATACACATGCAGTGTGTTCTTCTATAACGATTGGGGTTTTTTGATGCCGAAAGAAGAAAGGTAACCGACGTAGCCGAAAAGCGCGCCACAAGCGCGGAGAATTTGGTGTGATGCGGAGATTGATTCAGCGTTGATTTGTGAGTTTTTGTTGAACCGCGACAAACGATTCAGAACGAGCAGCAACGCAACTTGTGAAGAGGATCTGGAGATATATATTTCTCCTTGTACGGTGGATCGTCACTGATGATGTTGTTCTGAGAACTCCACATGCACTCGCGAAAACCTAGTTTCTATTCGCCGGCGACAAATATGGACAAACATGATGGTGCGGATCCCTCCAAGATTCCGTCCATATATGGTAGGGTGCCAGCTATTTCCGATGGAAGTGGCAGCAGCGAGTTATACGCGATCTGGGAGGTGGGATGAGCAAGACGGCATGCGGCAGGTGTCCAGCAGGCGATGTGCAAGAGCGCACCAGGGAGCTGGGTACGCGTTTACCCCGCCGGTGACTTGGAACGCCAGCCTGCAATGCGTTGTTTCCAAAGTTCTAGAGTTCGTCACCCTACTTATTTTGTGACATGCAGATTCCACCTTTCCTGGCTTCAGGGCACCCAGCCAGGGCCTGCGGGCGATGCCTTCATATACTCGCTCGTAAGCTGGATGCCGGCCTGGATGCTCGGTTTATCCTTTCCCTCTGGAGGCTCCTCTGCTCACCGGTCTGTCAGGCTTATTCTCGATCGTCGCCCTGGGATCCCAGTCTAGTGGCCTGTTCTCACTCGGCGGCACTGGTCCGGCGACATCATTCTTAATTCCAAGTCCTGGACTTTCTGTGTTCCGACTCTGATTGCATTCTTGTGGTGGCCGCAAACGCCAAATCACGAGGCCATTCAGTATCATTATCCCGTTCTTCATCTGCGTATCTCTATACAAGGTACATCTTGCCGTCCCTGCCGCTCACACCCCGGCGACTCATATCGTTTATTTCTCACCCAAAAGCTAGAAACTCTTCCCCCGCCCTATCAGCCGTACTTTCTGCCGACAACTCATCCGTTTGCTCCCATAGCTGCCAGCCATGTCACTCGATCAACGCACCCACGCGAACTACCCGTACTCGTCGTATCCTTCGTCCTCCGACTCGACCTCGTTGTCTCTTACAGCACACTGGCACCATCGATCAACCCCTCAGGGAATTGCTAGCTCGGCGCCGCTTCACTTTCAGAACGGAGCTGGCGGTGGGCATGGCGCCGAGCTAGATCCCTCAGATCCTTCGCCTTCTCCGTACGTCTGGGACGCCCAACAGAATAATGTTAATGAGCACGCTTCGCATCATCGCCATCAGTCTGCCAGTTCGTGGTCAGTTCCTGGATCGCTGCCATCTTCGTCCTTCGCCAGTGCTTATGACGCGTACCATGACGAGTTTGCCTCCGCCTCTGATGAATATTACCAACCTAGTTCACAGGCGTCGAATTCTTCCTCGCATGCGGCCCATATTTCGAATAACAATCACGGGAGCTCTTTTGCGGGCTCCAGTAGCCTCGCGAGTGCCGTGGGATCGTTCTCCTACGCCCATTTATCTTCTTCGTCCCATTCGCATTCACATTCCCCTTCGCCTTCCTCCATCCCTTCTGTCCACCACTCGCATTTCTCCCAACCACCCGATCCAAGACCCAAATTCGAACCCGCGTCATGGAACGGCCAACGCATCACAGGTCGTCTCTACAGAATCGACGCCTCCCCCGAACCCCAGCTGTCCCCAGGTCTCAGTACGAGCCCTCTTACGCCCATCTCCCCATCCGATCACAACTTCCCAAGCATCATCACATCCACAAACTCTCGTCCCAATGTTAATCCCAAGGCGTCGTCATCGTCGTCATCGACCCGAGTCAAGCAGGAACCCGATGAACCTGAACATACAGATGGCTTCGTGTTCGAGATGTCTTCCGGCCCTCTGTTCCCTGGATCTGGTTCCTCGCGTGGAGATTCAGGCGGTGGCGGAGGCTTGGGTAAGGGCAGGATGTCTGGAGAGAACGGGCATCTGGTGCCGCATTATTCACCAATGTCTGTTGTGCCCCTCCGAGCGACACAAGCAAGTGCGGATATGAAAAAGATGATGAGCGCGTTTCGCTTGGATCCTTTCACCATGCATAACGGCCCTAATTCTCGTGCCGCCAAGAAGGCCAACAAGCTTTCTTCCGCGTCTGCATCTGGCGGCTTGGGTGCTAGTGGGAAAGGGAAGAAGAGGAAACGGTCGGATTTGTTGGATGACATCGAAGAGGAAAACGATGACCTCGAGGGGTTGGGCAAGAATTGGCTAGGCGAAGATATTGGACCACTCATCGGTGATGTTATGCTCATCGAATTCGAAGTCGGACTCGTCGAACCGCTCTTAGACCCTTCCCTCTGCACCTCTCCTGATGCTTCATACGACTGGTTCCGCGATTCATTTGCGGGGGACCATGGCGGTGACGGTGCTTTTGGGTATGGGAGTATATGTGGGAATGAAAGAGGTAGCAAAGGATTGGGACCGGGTGAGAGCTCGATGATGAGTTTTTTGAATGTCGTTGCGCTGAGCCCGAGAGATTATTCGTTGGCGAGTGCCCATCAGGCGTTGGTTGGGAGACATCTGGTTGCTGGAGACTCTGTGCCCGCTGAAGTCCTTAACATTCCTTTAAGTACGTGATCTTGTTTCATATTTCATTCTGGTTGATTGTATGCTAAATTTTTGGCGTGCAGGCTCGAACGACGCACACGATCCCAATACAGCCCCTACTTCATCCCTCACAGCCACCCTAGCAACATCAATGCAGCCCAACAGTCTTCTCTACGCCTTTGACCGCCCCGAAGAACAAGACGTGAACATGTCCCCAGACACCATATCCAACGCCCAAACATCTTCACTCTCCTCCCTCTCCTACTCATACGCTTCTCCCGAAATGGCTTTCGACGTCCCTATGGCTTCGTCTCTACCAGGCTTGTCCAGCTCGGAATCGACGACAGATGAATCGTCGGCATCTGATCTTTCTGTGCTCAGTTCTTCCACTCCGTCAGGCGACTCGATGGGTTGCAATACGTATAATACGGGGGCGGCGGCATATACTACTAGTACACATGCGTACGACGCGTATAACTCGCTCAACTCGATCAAGCAACCTTCTCTCTTGTCCAATCATTATACTTCTGGTCCGGGCTCATCTCAGCATCCTCACTATAACTCGAACTCTTCGGGCGGGTTTGGGTTGGATGATATGCTCACTGATACCATCACTTCTTCGTCCCTTGAAGAACACAGGTCTGCGCCGAATACGAATATGAATGGGGTGGGGATGAATGGGGCGGGTATGAATGGGTATGAATCGTTGATGACGCCTGTGCAATCTTTGCAGTGGCATATGCAGAGTCGGCCTGCTGTGGAGATGGGTCGGGAATATCATAGGAATGGTGATTTTTCGACGATGTCCACTGTGGGTGTGAATGGGAATCTGAATGGGAATGGGGGGAGTGGGCTCGGGGGAGGTCAGGAAAAATCATCGGGTCTGAGGTCGAGGTATAGTGAGTATCGTTTGGTTGTGTTTTGTGCGCACTTTGGATGGGAGTACTGACAAGCCTGCTTTTTTTTTTGTATGTTTAACAGGATCAAACACACATCCGAATCCGAAACGAGAAGACGATTACATGCAATTTAGATTCCGGTCGCCCTCGCCTCCTCCTTCTCATCAGCATAATCACGCGAGGAACTCCATCGAGTCTCCGTTAAGGTCTCCTACACCTCCGTCGTCACGATCTCCCAGAGTGAGACCCAAGTCTTTGGTCGATCATATTCGACAATCGACGTTTCATCCGACGAAGAGGGTTACTTCGCCTACGGACAGGGGAGGCGGTGGCGGAGGGGGTGTTGGTGGTGGGGAATCACATCTGAGTGAGAGGCATCATCCGTATCGTGATACAAGACCACCGTCCACTCGTACGAACTCTGCATCGTCGACTCGGTCATCATTCTCCGATTCCAAATCGTTCCCTACGAATCATTCGAATCGAGGACAAGGACAACAACATATGGGTACGCGTCCGTCATCATCGTCGACGTCTACGACGTCACCTCCTCCTCCCCCTTCTCGTTCATCATCTTCGCCCGATCACAGTCTCCCACTTACGCTACGCCACCGACGACAATTGTCCGGGACGGATACGTCTGGGTATCCGTTCAACATTGGACTCTCACTTCCGCCTGTTCAAGCATCATCGTCGACACCTTCTTCTTCGATTGCGTCGTTGTCCACGATGATGGGAGAGTCGAATTTGAGCTTGGGTGGGATGAGCGCTGCTGCTGCTGCTATGGGTGTGGGTGTGAGTATGGGAATGGGAAGTGGGGGTAATGGATGGCTAGGGACGGTGGTTGGGACAGGTATCTAGAATTTGGGACGATATTATATCGTAATCGGTGAGGCTTGTAGAGGGTCGTCTCTTGGGGGACGACAGTGGTTCTGTTATCATGACACAGTTGTGTATCTTGCTTTCGCGCGCGCTATTTCTTGCTTTTGACTCGGAACTTACCAATGCTGCTTCCTTCATATGCATATGATACCTTACCTTGGTTTTTTCTTTCTTTCTTGGATTATGGGTATTTTTTTACCATACGTGCATGGAATTCGATACCCAATTTGCATTGTCTACTTATGTCCTTATGTCCGTTTCGCTACGCCGGAGTGATTTCGATGAAGTCATCACTTAAGTAGACGGATTGGTATTATAGTTCCATGAACACTTTGATGACCCTGCCGGCCTGGGTGGCAAACTCAAAACCTTCGACCAAGTGCAGCTCTTTGTTCCGGTCCAATCACATGGAATGTTTCTTGAAGTACTAGTAGGCAGGGTGGAAGTATATGTATATATATTTACTGCTGTAAAGACTCGGAGACTCGGTAAGAATCTTTATGCGCAGGCTGCCTCCGAGTCAGGTCTTCTCGTGAAGTACACCATGTTCAGTAGGCAAGTCCCGAGTATTTGCCAAGCGACTCTGAAACTTCATCGTAATCGGAATTTACCAATTTCATATCCGCGTTTGCATTTTGTGAATTCACAACTTCTGGCATCCCCTTTATATAGTCTTGGCGCCACGAACGAATCAACTCGGCTGAAGTCTTCAAGGTGTGTGTCTCTTGACAAAGGTGCTATGATGGAGTTCCATGAGTTGAAGTGTTTTGAGTTTGCTGGCGTCCATAGGCTTGATAATATCTGCATTAATGCGAGCTCGGGTACCAGGTTAATGTAGTACGACCTTCTCCAGAACTAGGGAAGTGAGCGTATGATAAAGTAAAGGATACGAATGAATCTAATAATAAAGAAACTGAAGTGAACGTTGTTCATCAACGTATTCGCCGTTATGAATTTCCTCCGGACGTAGTCCAGAAAATCCTCAGTAATTGGGGTGAATTGCGACCAAAGTGCCTCCATCGATTAATCAAAACGCGGCCCCGGAACAGATACAGTCGACTGTCGCCGAAAGTATTGGTAAAGAAGCAAAATTTGAAGCATTTGACTCACCTCCGTTTACTTTTAAACCTGGATACTGCATGCAAGTACTTTCAGCACGCAGCTCGACACTAGAGGTCACAACGTATGCCTGAAGAGCCTTATGGTCGATTACAAGATGGTCGACAACATGCTCACCCTGTCGCCTGGGTATTGTCATCATAGAGGGATGCGTAAGAGAACCTATTGTGAGGCTATGGCCAACACGTCCTGGACTGATTGCCAAGCTCTGGTCTTTTGTTTTCGGAAAATACAACGTCAACTAAGTCAAAGTAGACTGACACCTACAAAACCTCATTTGCTTTCAGTGGAACTTCGTCAGGGGCCGACAGGAGTATACAGTCAACGAATATTTGGATTAGTGAGAGGGCGCAAAAGTTACGCGACTACACGACAAGCCATTGCAGAGTTAAACATCAAGAGTCCTGTGATTGATCATGAATCGGAGTAATTAAGAAAATGCTAGGTCGTCATACCTCGGTTAGAAGTAGCGAAAGTTGAGGATCCCACGAGCCATGCACTTGGGAAAACGCTTCTGCATTTGCGTAGTCACCTCAGATAGCGAAGCTACCCGACGATGGCTCACGGGGATGTCTATGAAGACCTTCAGCTCTCCGGGCGAACGAAACAACAGTCCAACGAGAGCCTTGTCTATCTGAGATAGCGACTTTGATGATTTCTTCCCGCGAAGGTGAACCAGCAACTCAGAACTAGTCACTTTGAGGCGTAGCTCACGTAACTCAGGCGAATTTAATGAGGTCAGTACATTCTCAACCCATGGCACCGTTCCATCACGCAGTTGGAAGCCAACAGCCACTTCACGTAGCTGATGGCATTCGCGTAATGCATGGTCTAGATAGAGCGAATGAATGGCAAGCGACTTGGCAAAGGATGTGAAAGGACGCACCCGAATCTTTGAATTGACCCCATTTCTCAGCAATGGATATTCTAGTGACCGTATTCTTGAACAAGGTGAGAAACATCTCATGCGCATTATGACGGTTGGTCGAGTTGATCACAAGTGTCCTAACTGGCGGTGATACCTTGGCCTGTTTCATGAACTCGGCGAGTGCCACGACACCTGAACTACAGTCCACGGACAAGTATTGAAGGCTTGGCGAAATCGGTAAGAGAGCCAAATTGATCCCCGTAGTTGCTTTGAGATTCGTAGGTCGTTGTGTCTCGTTGACTTGCCTCAAAGTAAGGCTTGAGAGTGACCGAAAAGAAGTCACAAACGCCAACCACGCATTAGATTCATCGAATGAGATGTTTTCCAACGAGAGAGATGTAATTGAAGAATAGGTCGTTCGGAGGGAATCGACAATGCCTCTAACCCCGCTCCACATGCGCAACTCATGCAAAATAAGAGTGCGCACTTGTGGGAACGTGGTGTTCTGTAAGATGTGCGTGACATTTTGTCCATTCGGGCGGTAAACCTCAAGTGTGTCCACGAAATCGATGAGGTCAGGATGTTCGGTGTAAAACTTGACCCGTTCCTTGGTCTTGGTATTGAACCGAATCGTAAACCTGGAATGAAGACGCTTGCGGCTTCTTGGAAGAAGTGCACGACATGTCAGAGCGCATGTTCGCAGTGCTCTTATGTCGCTGTCTAGGTTATCAACGATATCTTCCAATACTTCCTGCGGGAGAGCGACCACCATCCTTGCCCTTGATATACGAGGCGAGCGATTCAAGGATTAGGACGTGGCGGCAGGAGGACAAGGTATGGCTGCCCCAAACGCCCAACATGAGGCCGGCTAGAACTCAAGTTAGATTTTATGTTTCAACTACCGCATCGGATAAGCGCCCACATAAAATCCAGGTTCAAGTTGCCGATGATCTACGTAGATACTGTACATTAAAATCCAACATTGAAAGTCCTGCTCATAGCTTCGCTTTCTCATTTGGCACTTTAAGCTTCGCCAACCCATCGATAACCTCCTCCGCCTCTTTCTCGATCCTCTTCAACAACTCCTCACAAGTCGGAATATCCTTAATCAACCCAACACTCACACCCGCTGACCAAATACCATAATCCGGATCTCCGGTCTCATACACCTTTTTACCTCTAGCTCCCGAAACAAGTTCACGAACGTCTTCAAACTTGGCTCCTCCTGGACGACGTTCAATGGAGACGACTTCGGTGGAGACTTTGTTCTTGAAAACTCGGGCGGTGTTGTGGAGGGTTCGGAAGATGTGCACAGTATCTTGTTCGGTGGAGGCTACAATCTTTTCTTTAATGTTCTGGTGTATTGGCCTACGAACACGCCGGTCAGTGACACGTAAGTGATAAGGGACTAGACTGGACGTACGCCTCAACTGTGCACATGAATCGGGTTCCCATATTCGCGCCCTGACAGGGAGAAAGTCAAGTAACAAAGGTTTCGAGTGAATAACTAAACCTACGGCAGCACCGAGCGCAAGCGAAGCAGCCAGTCCTCGACCATCCGCAATGCCTCCAGAAGAGATATACGGGATCTGCAGCTCCTGTGCAGCTCTCGCGAGCTGGGGTGGAGGTTTAATACGGGGTTCAATATAGTTCGAAGGGGATTCTTACCAGTACCAAGCCACCAATATCCTCCTCACCAGGGTGTCCTGCGCCTATCCATAAGTTAGCACGCGGTGAAGATACCGATGCATGGGTGCATACATTCGAAACCGTCTATACTTAGTACATCAACACCAAGTCGTTGAGCAGACTACAACTACAGATTTAGTGAAAAGAACTTATGCCAAACATAATACAACACACCTTCGCATGTCGAATAGTTGTGCACTTGTGAATGACAATACAACCATTATCCTTGAAGTACTTGATCAACTTGCCAGGACTGTTGCCTGCCGTCTCGAAGATTCGTACGCCCTCCTCAATTGCAACTTTGGCATACCCCTCATAGTCCGGAGGGTTGATTGTAGGAAGGAGAGTGATGTTGACTCCGAAATTCTTGGACGTGAGCTTACGAGTCTCGCGAATGGCTTGTCGAAGAGCTTCGGGATTAGGTTGGGTGAGTGCGGTGAGGATCCCTAGACCTCCTGCGTTCGATACGGCTGCAGCTAAAGGAGGAAGTCCAACCCTGTCTCCACGGTTAGGTTTACTGGTTGGCACGAGAAGTACTTCGACGTACCATTGCATTCCGCCTTGCACAACAGGGCTGACCGAACACGTTAGGATAACACCTGACATGACCTCTCCATACACTCACACACGAATGTCCAAAAGTTTCGTAAGTGGCGTGACTAGCATTTTGCGAGGATATGTAGTTGTGAAGTTGCGGTTTGAACCGAAGGTCAGTCTTTGTGGATATATGAGTCTTGGTGCCGCCCTAAGATTACGCTTGACTCCTAGAAACGTAGCCACAATGGAGACGGATTATGTTAAACTGTAACTTGGAGGTGGAAGACAAGAGAAAGAAACAGTATATGGGTATTTGTGGGGTATATGGCTTGAGTGTTTCTGGGGGAGAAACACATGTTTCGGTCGATCCCCAATAACCGGACGTGGCCCATCACTTTCTGTTATTCATGCCTTCGGCGTCGGTTAATAATACCTTAATGCCCATTGATCTGCTGTCTATGAGCTACTAAGAGTTTGTAGGTGACGAAGACGACGGGTATCTGAAGCACGAGAGATAGAGCTCGATAGAGGATGAGTCATGGTGCGACAATACTGTATACGCTACTCCGACCTCACATTGATCATCGTCTGAATGCATTATGCAGCGTAATATTTAGATATTCATTCTGATCGAAATAAATTTTGGACAAAGGTGCATTTTTCATGGTATGGGAGTAGGATTATTGAAATACCGTGAAAATCCCCATAAATGATAGTAGAGCCGGTTCAAAGAGAGGTTCATAAGGGTTTGATGGGATGTTCGAATCGGAATTGAGAATAATCGGACCACTGTCGCTGCCTCGAATCGCCCTTAGGTCTGGACTGACGCCATTCCACCATTCCCTTGCATTCAATAGCGCCCGATCTTGCTGCTTCACCTGTTTGGATAACAGTTAATCATTGCCTATTTTCAACGTGATCGGTAGAAGAAGCAACACATACCTGTTTTGCTTGTAGGATAGAGCCATCGGAACAGCGAACGACGAGAGACCGTGAGTAGGAGTCATAAGTCGCAAATCCAGGCTCCATGAGCTGCGAAAGGACATGTTCAGAGAGAGCTGCTGCATCAAGCATTGATACACCATGCAGTTGGAGTGAACGTCCGGTCTGGAGAAATGCGTGCAAAGGTTTCTGCAAACTCATTAGAAGCTTCCCCGGAAGAAAATCTATTGGAAAAAGAACAAACTTGGTGGGCAATGGCACGACACCGTCGAACGATATCTTGCGCAGTCATCGTGTGGAAGTCAACAACAGCATCCTGCCCCGTAACAAATGGTGCACGCGGAGCGGCTAGATTGTGGTCCTGAGGCACGGCTGTTGCCTATTACACTTGAGTTTAGCGCAATGTCGGGAATGAAGGAATTGGCCGAACTCACCTTGCCAGCTAACATGTCTCTCAGAACCGTCACCAGAAGCTTTCCGCCCTCACGTCCTAGCGAATCACGAAGGGATACAAAGTCGCAGTCATCAGGAATTGTCTGATGGAAAAAATAAATCCTAACTCTGAGTATGCTAGAAGACAGTTAGAACTCACCATTTGACTCTTCCCCCATATTGAACCAGCGTCAATACCCTTCTTACGTTCCATCATCTCAATAACGCAAACACCTGTTTCCCTTTCTCCGTTCAAGATCGTATGATGGATCGGAGCAGCTCCCCTGTATGCAGGTAAGAGCGAAGGATGAACGTTAAGTTTGCGCGATGGATCAAAGATGTCGAGCATTGATTTTGGCAGAATGCGACCAAAGGAGGCCGTCACCAGGACATGTGAAGGGTTTGGAGTTGCTGAAGGTAGGAAAGGTGGCGGCAGCTATCAGATGGCCTTAGTGACGGCAGAGAGCCCCGTTACTTTCACCTCGTACCTTCCAGTATCGGAATGACGGTTTGTCCGGCGGAATAGTGTGAACTGGGAGCTTCAGATCTTGTCCAAGGAGCTTCAGCGGGGCTACGAGAAGTGTTTTCAGGGAAATAAAGATACACGTTGAGATGAGCAGAAAATGCGAACTCCTGCCCAAGACCCACAGATAGCGAGCTTCGATCCCCGTCGTCCCACTCTCATGTCTGGTTGAGTGGCTATTTGAATCGTACTCCAAACATCTGTCATTTAGACAAGTCGATTAGTTCATCCCGCCACCGAAGATTATATCTAGCTAGCTTACCAGGCGCGTGATGTAGTTCTTCCAATACGAGGCAAGAGAACTCGTCCCGACCAAGAAAGAGGATATCAAATGCCTGTGATTGTGTGCCAGACACCGCAGAGGAATAGTTTCTGCATCTTAAAGAAAGAGAAAGAACGGAATGTTTGGGGCAAAGACGATATAACATAGGAACCCTCCCGCCAAGTTGGCTGTTGGCCGAAAAGTAGTTCGGGAGTCTGGAATTGACGAACCCAGGCGAGGCGAACGGATGGCGCTAAGAGAACACGAGGCTACCAGACGTCTCGCCTCAAAATATGATCCACTCAGTCGAACTTCATAATCCAAGACATATAACCGCCCCTATGTTCATATATAGTGCAATGCATAACCATCCTGTATTACAACCCGCTCAAAAGAGTTTGGAGAAAAATCTACTACATACCCAGTATGAAGATATTAGACGTACTACTGTACGTGAATTACTAGTAATACATAACGAAAGATGACAGATATAATGTGACGATAATTTGAAGCCCATGGCGGAAGCATCTTGTAGGCCGGGTAGACATAGGCTACAAGTATGATCCATACGGAAACATACGTTGCTGTGCCATATTCCTACTACTTGCTGAGTCCTGATGCCATGCATGCAGAAGAACATTCGAAAACATCCCGTTGAGTTCAGGGAACTGTTGATGTCCCGAGAATGGATTTTGGAACGAAGATTGCAGCGACAATTCCCAGTTCTGTAGCCTCTGAGAGGAAGGTTCGAGTGTCGTTGACAAGGACCCGGAAGAGGTATCATTCGACCTCAAACCATCATATGAAGGAATACGGTTGTTGACTGTCGCCGTGGACATCGGGCGCATGCAGTTCAGATTGGTACCATATTCAGATGAAGGGTATGAGGAGCAAGGTGTAGAGCCAAGCATCTGCGAGAATGGTGCGAACAAGTTTCCCTGATCAACGTTGCCGCTAGGAGCATATAGATCGTAATCAAAAGGCAAGGAGTAGTTGGCATTAGAAGCATCCGACAACCCTGAGCCATTTTCATCGGTAATATTTGAAGAGTGAAAAGGTTCAGGGTGAGTCAAAGTCCCGTAGTTGGTAGTGAGGCTTGAGGAAGACGAGAGGTGTCCACCAATAGGATAGTACTGAGAGTTGCTATATTGTCCTTGCTGTTGAGGAATATTCTCTTGGTCGTGAGGGGGAATGAAACTCTGACGACGACCATGCACAGCTATGTTTCGAGGCATCTTTATCATCCAAGCGAGAGATTCCATATACTGCGCGTTGGACGTAATGGTGTTGTTGGTATCGTTATCGGCAGGAACACAGAGGCCTTTTGTCGATACCTTTGGTTTCGGGAGGCCTGTATCGCATCTCTTTGCGCGCTTCTTAGTCTGATAGTTGTGTCTCCCTTGTCTATGTCTATTGAGAGTTCCAGGATCGCCGCTTCGGTAGTCGCATGGTATCAGGTTGCCGTGCTCGTCGGTCACAGTATCAGGACATGTATGAGGCTTTTTTCCCGTACTGTAAACGAATCACATCAGCATCGAAAGCATGAAGGTGGAAGACGGGTTGGCATACTGTTTGTTCACGTGGGAATTGCGCCAATTGCTCTCCTGGAGACACTTGAAGGTACATCCGGGATAAGGGCATTTGAAATAGCTAAATCATCGAAAGCATTAACGACTCGCAGAATGCAGCAGTGTCGAAGGCGCCAGCTACCATTTCTCTAAATCGATCCCATCCGGATGTTCCTCTAAGTGCTGTTCAATCGCAGCTTTGGAACTAAATCGTTTGTTACATTGGATACAGCATGCTGCACCTGCGCGTCGGTATGGATTCTAGTGAAACGCGTTAGCGTTGGTGGTGACTAGATGTGGCAATGAAAGTTGCAACATACCTCTAACTGGTGGTTTTGAGTAGGCGACTTTGCCATTGTTACAGAGTCTGGGTAAGAGATACACGAAGAGAGGTTCAATGAAAGTTTGGTGTGGTAGGAAGATGGGATGCGTTTCTTGGCCCCGAGTGGCAGTCTGCCTTTATACACAAAGAAGCGCCGAAAGGATCTAATGGCGAGACGGACTACTTATTTGATGTCACATTATCCATTCAATGTCAAGTGGTGGACACTTTAACGGACTAGCGAACGCCACAAGTCCTCCCTGAGAAAGCAGACGGACTTTGACTACATTGTGGGTCCGAGGGTGCAACCGCGAGTCATTGTGTGACTTACCCGGCCAAAGCTTGCATGCCGCTGCCTCGGCAGTCACGATGTTGAAAGGATCGAATGGTCTGCAACGGAAGGTGTGTAGAAAGAGATAGGCTCAGCATCGCAGGTCCCTTCTTGAAGCTTAACAATATCGAGCAATAATTCTGCAGAGTGTAAGTACGACCATGAATGAGAACGGAGCACTTGTCAGAATCGCGTTCCAAACTTCACAAATTCAATTGAAGAAAATGCGTTCTTTAAGGTGGCATAACAATACAATGCACACCCATATACCGTGGACATTGTTCTCCTTTGCATGTTTACAAGCTGGCTGTATTGCGGCAGGACGAGTAGGAACACCGACCAGTGCTCACTCACTTTGGCTCAGTGCCTGAGCTTGAAGTTTGGGGTGCTCGTTCACCCAATAGGAACCGTGAGGCCATTCATATTGCTCGATGCTAGACTTGTGCATTTCGATGCTGGCAAATAAGTCAAGAGTATGTAGATCCTTAGTCAGGGCGAAGGCGCGAGGTTGAACACTAACCTGTAGCCTCCGTCGGGATGGTCTGGGATATTGTATCGTCCTTTCGTACTGATAGAACACGGGTGAACGAAGTGCTCATGCAGGTGATTAGCGAACTCCAGAACGTTCCGTTCCATCGAGCCCGACACCACAATATAGTCAATCAAGCTAGTGCGACTCGTTAGCGAGAGCAGTCATCACGGATGAGCATAGGATTTACCTCAGGTGAATAGTATATTCGCACAACCCAACACCTCCTGCATGAGGGCAAACTGGGATACCGAACCTAAACAATGTTCAAAATGGCTCCTGAAATTCAGAGATCGGACCGATACGTACTTCGCGGCCATGAGTGAGACGCTCAAGACTTCACTGACACCTGCGAGGCGACACGAATCGATTTGACAGACATCGATGGCTTCAGCCTGTAAGAGCTGTTTGAAGACCATTCTATTGTGCGCATGTTCTCCAGTAGCGACGCCGATACCGTATGGTTTCAACGCCTTGCGAATGGCAGCATGTCCAATTATGTCGTCGGGTGCGGTAGGTTCTTCGATGAACCTAGGACGAGACGTGGTCAACATGAATCTTCTTCAAGGCAATAATTTGCATCACGCACCAAGGTTTGAGCTCGGCCAAACTCTTAACATAGTCAATTGCCTCAGGGACGTCCCATACCTGATTTGCATCCATCATCAACACGCTACCTGTAGGCCCAGCGTTCTTCCCAGCCAGTTCGGGGGCATTGAGGTCTCTCGGCTGCTGTCCGGTAGGGAGATACTGAGGATCGTCGATGATCGACCGAATCAGCTTCCCCCGTCGCAAGTCCATCTCACGATCTGCACCAACTTTCATTTTAAAGTGATTGAAGCCAGCCTGAACAGCTTCTTTCGTAAGACGAGCAACTTTCTCATCTGAGTAGCCTAGCCAGCCTGCAGAAGTGATATAGGCAGGGTACCCAATTTCCCGCACTTTGGCTTCACGCTCGGCTTTCGTGGTGGCCTTGGCTTTGAGCATCACAAGGGCTTCCTCCTTGGTGATGACGTCTGACAGGTAGCGAAAAGCGGTAGACTGTACCAGCTCTTCCTATCGCCAAAATCATTAGTTCGCATCCAAGACGAATCGAGAAGAAATTTGGACATACAGGAGTCATGTCCACTATAAGTTTCCACAACGGCTTCTTTCGGGATCGTGCGTACATGTCCCATAGAGCATTACCTACGGCCCCAAAAGCGATGTGAATAACACCTTTTTCTGGGCCAATCCTAGCAAACAAAGAAAGTCAGACACAGAGATAACCCGAATGTCAGAAACCAATGAGAAGATATAATAATAATGAAATGAATACTCACCATCGTAGTTGCGAGTCTGCATTTAGGTAGTCCCACGTCTTGCCCATGTTCGCAAAAAGCTCTTCTACATCTTTGCCAACCAAGCGCTTTGCAAGTTCCCTGATCGCGGCGCAGACAATGTCATTGCCACGTCCAATTGTGAAGGTCATACCGTGTCCAACCAGATCGGCAGAGGTGTATAAAGTGACATATGCGGACGAATAATCGCAATCGGTGTTCATGGCATCCGTACCGTCTCCATTCAGAGAGGTAGGAAAACGGATGTCTATGTCGTAGGACGGTCAGTGAACGGCGAGCATACAGCGTCATGACGCACCATGAGTCTTGTATCCGGTAATCTTAACAGACATCCTGTGCAACTCCACTATACTCAGCAGTGGAACGAGGGAAGGTGCAGGCAATAAGGCGTTCTCTTATAGTCTGCTCATACCCTGCACCGGCAGGGTTCCCTTTGCACTTGACCTGCGCCTGCTTCTCTGTGCGTTAATAAATAGACATGGGATCGCTCACGGGGCTTTTAGCTTCTCACGGTCCGTGTTAGGAGCAGCTGCTATATAAACCAGAAAAAAGGCGCAGATCGCTATAGCGAGGAAGTTGTGAGGAGTCCTGAAAGAACGGTGAGCAGCTCGGAATATCCGCCCCCAAATACTGAATATGTGGCGGACTAGACATGAACTTCACGATGCCCAACTTGCTATGACATACGACTTGGACGAAGGTGATGTCTATTGTTGCACCACATGAGAGGCATACAGATCACAGGTCGTTCGAGCCCTGTAAGGCTAGTCTCACGCATCTGGAATGCGCATGCTTTCATATTCTTCTATATCATATACGTCAGTATCATCGTCCCGTAAAAGATATGAAGCACATACATTAACATATGACTCGTTTCCCCACTTCAGGAAGCCGCTTCATGACCTCCATTGATTTAGGATATCATGAGAGAGTGTGTATAGTGAGTATCGGAAAGATCATCGTTGTTGAGATTATAATGGTCACAGCTTGTTTGTGACCGTCGCAGTTTTACATGAAGTCCAGAGTTCTCCACACATCCAACAGGTTCGAAAGGGTAGGCAACAAAAGAAACAAGGTTGAGGAAGACATGGAAAAGCCTGTAGCTGATCAAGTTGACAACTGCGATTGCATTTGAACTGAAACAGGATGAGCTTTTTCCCAGCACATGATCACAACGCGTCGCGTAGCGCTGCGGGATTACACCGATCTTTTATGGAGGGTGAAGAAGGAACTCACCGCCACTGGTCCGACTGGCAATACACGCAACCGAGATGCCAGTGCTATGTCGTCCGCCGGCTGTGAATTACTGCTTCAATTTCCTCGTCGCCGGTAGGTGCCCCATAGTACTATTCTGCCGCCGTAGGTCATCGATCAAGTTCTATAGGAAGCATTGAACGTATTATTTAAGCGCCATACATGAATACATATGTCACATGGGTGGAGAAGCCAGAATAAACGTGAGAAGACATGCATAGACATAAAAAACATAGGCCTTAAGAACAAGATACATAGAACGGAAAATGAAATAAACATAATGCCATTGTCGCTCAGAGCTTCAGAGACATCCCTATCCGCCTAAACATGACGGCCATATAATCTTCTTCCTCTGTGTAAGGGGACGGGGGAGTTGCAGAGCGGTCGGGTAGCACCATGTCCTCCGGCGAGTTTGGGATTGGTTGAAATACTGTCTAGGGATTTTCCTGCGGTATCTGGCGTGTGGAAAGCCTCGGAGTTGAGAGCTGTTGCATACTGGTTGCAGAATGATTGGCTGGAGCAAGCGAGTATCCACGGCTACTGTATCAGCATGCTGCCGCAGAACCTCCGAGCGATTCAAAGCAGATGGCAAATCCTGATGTCAGATTCGCAGGATGATCTTGAGGTAATGAACGCGTGGCCTTTCGTTAATGCATGGTATACCCCAAAATAGGTTCAGCCACCATAGGGTACGCAAAAATGCAATCATCGTGGTTGCGATCGCATTCAACGACCTCTATCTTGACGAGAGTGGCGCAGTGGCGCAGCTCCGATAATGGATAAGTCCATTCGATCCCCAAGACTTCGAAGGATCAAACGGAACACCGAAGCATATTGGTCAGTCTGCTCGCCTTGGAGTATGACCAGAGTACGCCGTCTCCAAACAATTCCTCCAGCTTGTGCTCGCAGATGTTCTTGTGCGCAAAGATCGATAAGGCCCTCTATCCCCACAAAGGTCCCGAACGACTTATCCATGACTCGCTACACCAATCCTCGCACGCTTATTCCCATCCTTGTGTATTTATGGTGCACCAGGCCGGCGCTTCAAGTTTGCAGCCATATGCTCGGCGTACTCGTGCTCGGGGCGACGTTGAATATTGGGGACAGAAACCTATTGGCATTCTGATCCTCCTTGAACCCGCCGGTAGCACGGACAGGAGTGAAGACGAGCTGCGGTATAAAGAGCGAACATTTCTTCACATGAGACGCTTCCGTCTGAGCAAACCACTCCACCTCACGAGAAGAAATGCTGCTCGACAGAGCTTGTTTCATAACCACAAGCTTGGTGGCCTTCCTCAGCTTCGCGAAGCTTGCAAGCGGTGCACTACTTCCTCCACCGATCGAACGCTCTGCAGAGTCGCAATGCTTCGTTTCGGATGCTTGGCCGACAGGCCCCGGAAGTACGTTGGTTCCGCAAGCACCTTCGACCGAATTGGAAGAAATCCTCTCGCAAATCGACCCGAAACGGGTCGAGGCTATCATCAACAAACTCGTATCGTTCGGCACTCGTCACACCCTCTCCACTCAAACTGACCCCAAACGCGGGATCGGTGCTGCTCGTGACTGGATTGCATCAGAGATGCGTACATACGCGGCTGCGGCGCGTAGAGGAACAAACGTCACTGTCACAGTTCCGAGCTACATCCAGGTCCCTGCCAGTCGTATTCCCGTGAACACGAACATCAGCAACGTGATCACTACAATCCAGGGCACGGAGAATTCGAACAGAGTGTACATCATCACCGGGCACTATGACTCGCGAGTAACGGACATCATGAACTTCACAGACGACGCACCTGGTGCGGATGATGACGGTTCCGGCGTGGCGGTGGTCATGGAACTCATTCGCATTCTCTCTACACGTCCTCCTCCGAAGGCAACCATAATGCTCGGCGCAGTCGCTGGAGAAGAACAAGGCCTGTACGGCGCTGCGTTCTTTGCACAAACGATGTTAGAAGCAGGCGCGGACGTGCAGGGCATGTTCACCAATGACATTGTAGGAAGTTCGAAGGCGGACGATGGGTTTATGGATGCGAATAGTATTCGCCTGTTTGCACAAGGAATCCCGTCAACAGAAGATTTGACTCAGATTGCGCTTCGGACTCAGGTTGGAGGGGAAAACGACTCGCCGGCTCGTCAACTTGCACGGTTTACCCAGGAGGTGGCTACGAACTCTGTAACTGATATGAAAGGTAGGTTTGCCTTCAAAAGTGAGCCGAATGAAAGAGTAAACTAAAATTATCCCACCAGTCCGAGTCGTGTATCGACTCGATCGTTTCCTCCGCGGTGGTGATCATGAACCCTTCCTCGATCGAGGATTCGCAGCAGCGCGTTTCACCGAGCCTAACGAAGATTTCGCACACCAGCATCAGGACGTTCGCGTTGACAGTACCGGGAAGCAATTCGGTGACCTTCCAGAGTTTTGCGACTTCGACTTTATCACCCGCGTTGGCAAAGTCAATGGTGCTGCCATCTGGTCGCTCGCTCAAGCACCCGGGACACCGAAGAATGTGACCATGGACACGAGCCAGTTGTCCAACGACAGTCGATTCTTCTGGAATTTGGACACAAGTGGAGAGGTAGCTGGATATGAGGTCGTATGGAGGGAGACAGATGCGCCGTTCTGGACGGGCGTCATTCCAGTTGGCCTTGTTGACACCGTGACTGTGAACCTGTCAAAGGACAATGTCGTGTTTGGAATCAGGGCTGTGGGTAAGAACGGGTACAGAAGTCCGGCAACGTTCCCCTTCCCTAGATAAGAGAGTAACTTACAAACGGTATCGGGACAGGGCATATAGTGAATCTTAAGACTGAGTTCAGATTGACTTACCGTCGCTTGACGGTGCCTGAGAAGTATGAAGTAGCAAGAGAAAGTCCGAAGAAACCTTGCATATCGAGACCATGCTACAGACATAGAGCAAGTGGGGGTCTAACGGTACAAAAAAAAAAGCTAAAGCATAGAGTCAGCGAATGACACTACCATTGAATCATAGGTAAACCATATACCGCTTATCCTTGCTGCGCCTCTTGTTCTAAGATTTCTCGCTCCAACCGTTCTCGTTCGGCTTGCCGAAGTCTCATCAGTGTCAGCGACTCATAGTCAAGACCAGGTACACTCTTAGTTGGAGTGAACGATGAAGCGTCTTGGAGGTCCGGCTATTGAACAAGCTAGGTCATTTCCATTCATTAGGATATAACGAGGACAACTTACGAATGTAGATGGGAAGGAAGAAAACGGTGTAGAAGTCGAGTCAGGTTCGCCAGATGGCTGTGTTGGAGAAGTTGCCGGAGAAGATGCGGTGGAGGTTGCTGAGAACCTACTTGGCGTTACTCCATTCGAGCCTAGTTGACCCATCTTCTTCAACCATTCGATAAGCCCAGATTCCTTGCCTTCAGCCCAAGTAATCTCCACATCCTTCAAACCCCTCTCCTCTCTGCCACTTGCACATACAGCCGCGAAAGCGTCGCCGATCTGCTTGAAAGGCACAATAGCAGTTCCTCGTTTGGGTTTCTTCGGCGGTGACGGTTTGAGAGAAATGAGAATATCTGAAATATCAGTGACACCGAATGGACGTAGAAGGGCAGAGAGTTGTTCGGCAGTCGTAAGTTCTGGGTGTGTGCTAAGGGTATACTTCACTCGGACGGTTGTGTCGAGAGTGCCTGCAAGCGCACTGTGTGAGCAAACCATTGATAAGTAGAAGGCACAAACAACATACCAACTGGCGGAGGTTCAAGTTCGCTCGTCCTCTCTTTCGCTTTTCTTGCTTCTTCCATCACTTCCTCCTCTCGTTTGCGAAGTTCCTTCTCACGTGCTTCGCGCATCAACCTGCCTTCTTCCATAACACGCTCGTTCTCTCGCCACATTTCCTTCTGCTTTGCCTCCTTCTCCATCTTGGACCTCTTGAAAGCACGTTCGCGTTCCTCCAGTTCTTCCACAAGGTTCCTGCGTTTATGGTCATATTGCGCATAGCGAGCCTTACGAGCTTCTTTGATGCGAACTTTGGCATCGAGAGCCATACGACGCAAAGGGTCGAGCAACAGCTCGTACGCCTGATTGAGTTCATGGAACTTGCGTGCTGGTTGAGTAGCAACATCATGAGTGAGGAAGTAACATGATAAGAATAAATTCATACCTGCATCGGGATTACCGCGATTCTTTGCAATGAGACTTTGTTAGATAAAGATTCAAAAATCTACTTCGACCCTTGAAAGGACAGAAAAGCACATACCCTGTCAGGATGGACTTTCAGCGATCTTTGACGATACGCAGTTTTGATTTCCGCCTCCGATGATTCTAGTGTTACACCAAGTAGCTCGTAAGGATTGGTTTCCTCTTCGGATGTCGCCATGTTGTTATTGTGGAGTGTTGGAAGCTGAGATAAATAGTATCACGGTTATACGTTGACAACCGAGAGTTAGAGAGGTTTCGATACTTGGAGGTAAGAGGTCAAGAGCCAAGGGCAGGCAGATTCGTGTCAGGCGTACTCATGACATGGGTGCAATATCGGCCCGGGGACTAGGTATATCGGGCCGATAAACGGCACATCCTTGTCTGCAAGATGGTTATAAGTGAACCACCATCTCGCAATGTCCTCATCTCACTATTATCCCTTCGTTGTGCACTCAGTGATCATTCAGAGCACCCAGGATGTCTATTAAAATTATTGGTTATGAAACTCACGGTACACATAGTTTGAGAACCTCCGAAGAGTGCCGCTGATATGTTATACTAGATGTCCGCTTCCCTACATCTCTAAGCGGTGATGGTACAGACGCTATGAATACCGACTGCGACTACTCGTCTGCCTATGTCACTCTCCGGACTTCGTCTGATCTTGTCGGTCATGGTATGACCTTCACAATTGGTCGAGGGAATGACATTGTGTGTGCCGCGATCAAGGAAGTTGCTAATCGCTTGGTCGGTAAGGATGTCGAAGAATTGTTCGCAAATATGGGGAAGACTTGGGACTACCTCTGCGCTGACCCGCAGTTGCGATGGTAAATATTATAAGCTTTGTGTAGTATTCACCCCAAGGCTTGTGAATTACAGATTGCCGAGATCGCCTGCCTCAGTCTTGAACTAGCCAGACTGACGATTATTTCTGTCTGTCTTCACCTGTATACGGTCTGACGTTGTTATTATATAGGATCGGGCCGGAGAAAGGAGTCATCCACATTGCACTGGGTGCGGTAAATAACGCTCTTTGGGACATGTACGCACGGTCACGAAAGAAGCCGTTGTGGAAGCTCGTAGTTGATATGACTCCGGTAAGTGTCCCTGTTTCCGTCAGTCGGTCAAAAAATAAAAATAATAAAAACAATTCACTTACTTCGCAGGAAGAACTTGTCAACTCTGCCGCTTTCCGCTACATCTCTGATGCAATTACCAAAGAGGAAGCTCTTGTCATGCTGAAGGCCAAGGAGAGCACGAAAGCAGAGCGTGAAGCCAAAGTTCGAGAGGTTGGATACCCCGCCTATGTCACTTCTGCCGGTTGGCTAGGTTATTCTGATGAGAAAATCGCTCGTCTAACCAAAGAAGCGATCCAAGCTGGGTTTAATCACTTCAAGATGAAAGTGGGCGCCGACCTCGACAACGATCTCAGACGAGGGAAAATTATCCGATCCATCATCGATGATCCCCAGTATCTTCCCGCAGGACACAAGCCAAGAGATCCTAATGGACCGGACTTGGTTGGAAAGAACGCCGGGCCTACCGGTAGCGTGCTCATGATCGATGCAAACCAAGTATGGGACGTCCCTCAGGCTATCGAGTTCGTTAAGGGTCTTGAGGAAATCAAGCCTTGGTAAGCGTAATCAGGTTTGATGTCCATCTATGTAGACAAACGAACTGATAGCCCATCGACACAGGTTCATCGAAGAGCCGACTGCGCCTGACGATATCCTCGGGCATGCTGCGATTCGCAGGGCACTCAAACCTTATGGCATCGGAGTCGCTACAGGGGAGCATGCACATAACCGGATAGTTTTCAAACAGCTTCTCCAAGCCGAAGCTATAGACGTCTGCCAGATTGACTCATGTCGTCTTGCGGGTGTCAGCGAAGTTCTAAGCGTCTTGCTCATGGCAGCGAAGTACGTACTGAGGGTTCTTTTACTCGCAGTCTCTGCCTTTTGTTGCTGCTGCCCCGTATCCGATCTCTGATGTGCGTCCCTTAGGTTTGGTATAACAGTATGCCCGCATGCGGGAGGCGTCGGCCTGTGTGAGTACGTCATCCATCTGAGGCGCGTATCCTTCTTCTGTCTTGCGTGTAATATAGACTAATATGGAGGGGTATCAGCTTGATTGACTACATCGCAGTGTCGGGCTCAATGGAACGGAACGTACTGGAGTTCGTTGATCACCTTCACGAACACTTCATCCATCCGTGCTCGATTAATAAGAACGGACGATACAACGTTCCTAATCATCCTGATGAGGGATATAGGTAAGGGTATCACACCTCCCTTGTGTTCCGTGGAGACTGACACTGTGCTGCCGCGTAGCATCGAGATGCATAGGTCGAGTATCGAACAATACGAATGGCCTCATGGAACATACTGGGTGAACGAGCATCCCAGGCTCAAGGCTCAGGCACAAGTCCAGTCTCATTGAAACTCGGCGAAGTCACAAGTAGTATCGGAACCCCTGCTCGCATGACTCAGGCGAATGGGGATGACAATGAACGAAGACTAAAGATCCGGAATAGGAAGAAAGATGAAAGGACACAATGTACTTTGGATCATTGACATAACAGCGTTTTGTACTATTAGCGCATGCAATATCGGAACCCCTATTCTCGGGAGTTCAATTTCACCTGAGGGTTGTTTCGCTCCCTGGCTCGCCAAGAAAGATAACTTCCCTGGTTTGAGGCCTTACTCTTCGGAAAGGTGTGATTATTCTATCATGTTCGACTCACCTTTTCCCTGTAGGCGGCATGTGTTCCTTCTTACCGATTATTTCAAATGCTTCGCGCCGAGCTGGTGGCGTTGGTCCATTGGCCTCCATTGGCCTTCCCGGATGTCCATTTGCACCGCCACATCGCCTCGCGGAGACACCTTCGGACCCACACAATACAGGTCAAAGCTGTCATAATTTCCTGTCACCGCTCACTTTGGCTCGCGAGACTCTCTAGTGGCGTTCGCTACGCACTCAAGCTTTCTAGATGTTGCCATGGAGTCACGGATTGTCTGTGACAGCGGCTTTGTTCCCCTATCGCGTGTCACGTTCCTTCGGATTTCACGTATATAGGTGCGCCATTCACTGTGGACACACACAATCCCCCATCCACACCCATCATCCCTACTACCTGCTTTCAACTAGCTACTCCTCACTTACCTGTTCTGTATACACATATCAAACTGAATAACGATGCCAAAAGTTAAAACTCTCAGTTCACGTGAATCCTGCCACTCTGAGGTGCGTGTCGCGTCAGTTTCGCTCCTGACACTGTCTGATCAACTGGCCTATTAGAACCCATATCGTGCTGGCGATAAAGCTTGCTGTGCTGAATGTGACAGACGGTTCTCCACCAAGACGGCCGTCATGTTACACAAAAAGATACATCCAGATGGAATTGATGAGAAGAAATGGTACGTACTACGTCTCCCCGAAACGTATGTTTCGCCTAACGCCTTCGTCTATCAGCTTCCTCTGGTGCCCCGTCGCGGGTTGCAACTATCACGCCCTTCAGAAGGGTAATTTACTTTCAGCGCATGCCAACGTACAGTGCGTAGATAGTCCTGCCTCTTCCTATCGTCGACTGACACTTCCGCTAACAGCACTGGCAAGCGGCCACATGCATGTCCTGACTGTCCATCCGAGTTCGGCGACCCTAGTTCCCTTTGCAGACACAGAAGAAGTCTGCATTCGAGCCGCACAACTAAAAGTCAACTCGACGTTGACGATTCTACGACTTCAAAAGATGATCCAGTGCTCCTCCCTCGCAAACGTCCTATTGAGCAGCCGTCCATCGCCATGGTGCTCTCTCAGCAGCAAGTCTCAACAGATTGGTTTGACTCGTATGCAGGACAAGAGAATCACTCTTCTCGACAACCTCTACATCCTTCGAGCGGAACTCGAGCCATCGCCCTTCCGGGAACATTTTATTCTGCATGGAGCTCTTGTGGCAAGATGGCCACTGGCCCATCTCAGTTCGCTCCTGTGTCTACTACACAAGCTCGTTCGCCCTTAGGGCTAGCTGCCGTCGCCAATACAAATTACCCGTTCACATCACTCAATACAAACTTCGCTTCTGGATCTGGATCTGGGAACACCTTCGCTCAAGAGAACTCTTTCTCGTCGTATTGGCAACCACAGACTGGTTTGTTCCCCAACATCTCGAACTACAACAACAACGCTCACCGTGCACATCTGGGCAATTCGACTCGCATGCAGCCAAGCCAGCACAACCTCAGCTGGTCGATGCCTTCTTACATTCAAAATGATTCGGAAAACCTACCGGTTATCGAGCAACCGTTCGCTTCCTCAAGCCAGTTGCGTTACTTTGATTCAACTCCAGCTCCGAGGTTCCCAGACTTAGATGATGTCTTTCCTAATGATGCTGATCGGGACTCTCCGCCGCCTCCCTATTACTCCGTCGCTGCTGCGACGACGGCTTCGCAGAAGGGCGCGAGTTCCAACAACCTTGACCTCTGAATTACTTATCACTGAAATTATTTTATCTTGTAAACATACCCCCCTTCGATGCCGTTGCATTATTTTCTTTTTTGTATACCCCGGTTATCATAGAGTTTTTTGTGTCCAGTCTTCGGTTTCTATGTTGGAAGAGGTTATTTCAAACACATATACTTACTCATCTCTTATTAATACTTCAATCATTATTTCGTGCTCTCTTCTGAGCGAGGTGTCCGCCCTGGCTATCATCCAATTTGCATACCATCCTATGCTGACTGTTTCACGCACTGGGACAATAAGAATTTCCGCTTTAGCGCCGAAAGTGTGAATTCTTTATCCCGTTAACTGGAATCCTTTCGGCTTTCCGTTCTATTTCTCCATACTATATACAGTAGAGGACCTATACGCATATAGAGATGACCCAGATTATGACTTAATATTTGGCTAGCGACTCCCCTCCTTCATTATGGCCGAATCCCTTCTCAAAGGCAGCTGTTTCTGTGGCTCGGTCTCGTATTCGCTGTCCGCTCTGCCTGTCTTGAGTGCATACTGCCATTGCACCAATTGTCAAAGGCTTAAAGGTACGTGTTGCATCCTATTCTGATCCTCAGGATGAGTTCTGATGCACTATATTCATATAGGATGCCCATTCGTGCATACCGTTCACTTCGAAGCCTCCGCTTTCAAATGGACTCATACCGAACCTTATGATGCCGCCCTTCAGTGGTATACAATTCCCGAGAAACCACACAAAACTCGTTATAGATGCAACATTTGCGGTGCCTGTGTCGCTTCCTACAACTCTGTACGGGATAGATGGAGCATCTGGAGCGTCCACCTAGAGAGGGATTCAGAGGGAAAGTTGATACACTGGGATCTAGTTAAGCCTACTGCGCATATCTTCTATGGAACGAGGATTCTTGACATCAACGACGGACTGGGTAAATGGGAAGGATATGAAGGCATCTCTACCAAGATTGCCTGACAGACTTCGTGGTCCGCAGTCTTTATCCGTCATGTACCTCTCAAACATCACTTAGATCGCTGCTCACAAATGTCACGAACCATTGAAGGGGCCTATCTGAATTTGCGAAACACAGTTTGCTTGTGTCCATACCGGACGAGGCTATCCCTACAATTGATTGGAGCCCCTACAGTACTACGTAATACTGTCGATCGCGTGTCGAAACACCTTGTCTCTTTCCGGTATTCGATTGCACTGACGGTATAGTTCTTATCCCGCTTTTTTGTTTTCGTCAGGGACAGTATATCCTCCAACCCAATCAGCGAATATTTTTGAGCAATGACGACATCGACATTGCCAGACACAACCCTCCAGGTAGGTGAGAAGATGTCCTTTGCAAAGCTGTCAGATGTCACATAATTACATGATTATTTCCCTTTATATAGAATTACCCGTTGAATATACGCCTAAAACACGCCGACCCGTCCGGGTCACCTTTCGGAGCAGTTACGGAACTCATGTCATGGTGACTGGCTGCGTTTCCTTCATACATTCAATGGACGAGGTGGCTCGCTGTCTTCGCCGCCAGCTACTGATGTTTGAGACAAGAACAGGAAAAGAGATCTCATCGAACAGGATGCGACACACCGACTCTCTGTGGTACATTACTACACTAGCCAGCCAGCCCACTATCGACAATACAGCTGTACATCTTGCCCCACAGCTTAGAGCCATCGCTGGTTTCCGTACTGCGAAACGAACGCCCCGTTATCCCTTGCAGTAATTTTTGAGATCACGTCGAGCATAAGGGAGACCGAGCGTTCAGGCCTCAAGAATTCGCCGTCCCATTCTGGGTATCCAGACCGGAAGATCTCGATCAATGGACCATACGCCGTCTCTTGCACCTCTTTTGCTGCGTGCATTTGGGTATCAATCCCCGAAAAAGAGCAGCACATGTATAGACTTACGAGCATCGCCCAACGTGTTGACAGGTCCAGGGGAGAGAGACAAGAAAACGAGGTTGTCGTCCTTAAACCTAGCAGCGTACTTGGCGGTCACCATGTTCACACCTGCCTTGGAGACAGCGTAAGGTGCCCAAAATGACAAACCAGTCTTCAGGTTGAAGTCGATCTCTGCAGCTGGAGCACTAATCGTTATGACCTTTGCGAGACATTTCTGCGATGCATTGCGAAGAAGGGGAAGGAAGACATTGATAGTCTTTATGACGCCGAGGGTGTTTACCTTGAACTATTCAGGGTGTACATGAATAGAGGAGTAGTATCAGTAATGCATATAATCCACTCACGAAGTCAATGAAGTCCTTTTCCAATAGGTCTTCTTTGCCATCGCTACATAAAGGAATTGAGCAATGACGGACCAGACAAACGACACGCGCAAGCATACTATGCATCAAGGGTGTAATCGTCTCGCTCTGGTGAAAGGTGCGCCCCGTTGTTGATCAGTACGTCGAGTGTACCACCCGTTACCTCCTCAATCTCTTTCGCTACGTCCTACTGATTTAGACGAATCGTGAAGCGAATTTGAATGATCAGAGACATGATGACGAACCTGCAGGGCTAGAATGTCAGTTATGTCTGCCTGGAGAACATGTACATTCTGAAGCTTGGACTGCAGTTCAAGCAAATCGGCGGAGTTCGCCTTGTTGCGGGTGAGGGCGAAAACAATGTTTTGGGGATTCGCGCTCTTCGACGATAGTCAACATACTGAATCACACCATAATAAAGAAAGACAGACTAGTTTTTGGACGAAAGCAAACTGCAAAGAAGGTAGTCGATTCAATAGATAGTCTTTGTTGAAAGGCAAGAACTCACTCCGATACCACGATTACTACCGGTAACAACATAGGAAACCATACTTCAACAAGCTAAAATGATTCACTGGTGGCCAATGCAGGACACAGAGGGGTCGGGAGGTGAAGGCACTGTAACTATGTTAAGGAACTCTTACTACGTACATAAGGTTCCTCGATTCACAATTGCTGTCACTGTCTCGGGCCCGCCCGTTATCCTTGACTTGTTATCTGGTGCCTGAAGGTGGTCTCGACAGGCAGGTGACCTTTCACGAGAAGGATAAATCATTTAAAGGCAGACCAGGTACAATATGTAGAGTAAGATAAAAGGCACAAACATGTATGTTACTTGGAACGGACGGGCGAAACGGTGGAAGTGATTTTGAAGCCAATGAACTTCAACAGGGCCGGATTTAGGCCCTCTTGACCAAGGCCATAGAATACACTACTTATACGCAATCTTCCGCATTGACCTACCCTCCAGGTTGTTTATATTGAGGCGAATAAGGTCGGGCGACATAGTGGGAAAACGGGAAGATAGGATAATTTCTGCAAGAAATTCCTTTTTGTGGCTGCTTGCTGTTGTTGTGCAAAGACATCAGTGAAACTTCCAAAATAGGTATGCATAATTATAGCTCACCTGACCCCATTGCTTTCATTCTCCGTGCTCAATGTGGACATCTTCCGTTTCACTATAGGCCTTGTTACATCTGCTCTCCGCTTAGTACCTTCGCGCGCTCCTCGTTGCAATTGAGTGAATGTGCAGCACTGCCAGCGTTCAGAAACGCCCTTGTTAGGTACTAAGTACTTGCACAAAGGTCGTTGGCATCGCAGACTCTCATGAAGACACACAACAACGTAACACCTTCACCCATTCACTCCCTTCTCCGGCTCCGGCTTACAAGAAGCCGTACTCGATCGCAGGCGGTCAACGTTGGTAACGGAGGAGCTCGAACAACAAAAGTGCCAGCGCGTATGAGTGAATCCAGAGGCTACGCGAAGCCGTCATAGGGATTTCTTTGGCGGCGCCGGTTTGATACATTCCTTGGAAGGTCCGTTCCTAGGCTCGCTTCCAGTCTCTAGATATGTATCCCAGATGTCAATCGATTGCATTTGCGTGTGCCCCTCCGAAGGCGCCTTCTGCATTTGTGCCAATTTCTCCGTCGCTTTGCATTCACCCCTCCTTGTCGTTTTACGTCCTCGACGTTCGCTTCCACTCCATTTTTCATTGCTGCACCTGTTTGTAAACCAGGCTTGTGATGTTAATCGTCGATTTACTTCTCTGGCTTCTCGGATATTTACGTGTGTATTGTTTTGTTCATTAGGAACTTGCACTTCATTTATTATGCAGCATCACATGTTATATCCCATTCATGTTCTGTATAGACCTTGAGCATTGTAGTGTAGCATATATCACTCGCCTCGAAAGGCAACTTCAGCATTCGACCTGTCAAGCATGGGAAGTCCCGTATGCCTCAACGTCTATATATGCATGCTTCTTTCCGTTAAGCATCCACAACTTCCTATCTAATGGCGCGTTTCCTTCTGCCTCTCAATGACACTACGGTAGTGTTTCTCCCGCCCGACGACACGGGCTTGCCTACACCATACGCCGCTCAGATCACTGTTAAGACAGAACGGTACATTGGCTTAGTTAGCGACATTGTATAACTGGCACTCACCAAATTCAAGACGTCCCAATGTTGGCATATTATCAACTCACTTTCTCGTCCAACACGAGATCACGGTTCGCTAATTAAACGTTTCTTAGACAATGTATCGAGCTCACTATATGCGTCGCGTCATTCCTCTCTAGGACCTGATCCTCAAGATCGTCAGTGCGCATATACACGAGTCTTTCCCCCCGTACGCCGTGTTCGATGGAGCGCAGTACACTCTGTTTGCGTGTGAGTTCCAAACGTATTCGGATAGGTTGACGATAAACAACAATCCGTAGCTCGACGCAAGTGGGTATATGGCCAAAGCAAAGTTCAGTTTGAATGGGGAGGGCAACGTGTGGAGCCGTGCCAGTACAAATGGACTTTTGTCTTCGATTGTAAGACAACACACGCGGAGTGAAATAAATGGTTGTATGCGCACATGTAGTCAACAGAGGATTCTTCAAAAGTAACTTCTGAGTATTTCCGTTCTTTGTGATAGCGTGGACAGAGGCTACTCACGGCCTGTCCATTTTTCTTAGTTCGTGCCTGGCAAATAGAAATCGTCGGGTAATTGTTCCCCATTTAGAACAGGTAGTTTTTGCCAGATATCACAAGCTCTCATTTCGCTATAGAATTGGTAAACAGTTGGATAATCTCCATGCACTGCAAACTGGAGAAAGCCTACCGTCGTATGGCGCTTCCCGCCAACCGTTTCTCCTGGTCTGCGATGTTACGCAATTATTCAACCACCAATCTGTGTTGCTCAACCAGGACTGATTGCTGCTCATTCGCTAGCTTTTGCTGTTCGAGAGCTGCTTTTCGGAGGTCGTTTGAGATACGCTTTTCTTCTAGGAGCGCATATTGTTGCTGCAAGAGTTTTTCCTGATTGTCCTGTAGCGCTCAGAGGATGGAGACGAGTTCGTCGGTATGCGATACGCGTTTGGTTTTACGAGACATGGAGGACCCCATGGCAAATGTGAGAGAAAGGGGGGGTGGGGTGAGGGCGTGTCACGAAACCGGTCTTTTGGGCGTGATGTGAACACATTGATTGACAGTTATGGGAGTCGTGGCCTTTCATGGTCCCATAATGTCACTCTCGCAAGACAGATCTATCAAAAGCACAATAAACATTAGAATGATGGAACGATCTAAACGAGAGTACAGCTTACAACACAGAAAGCACAATAGTTGCGGCCTTAAAAAGGTATTGGACATGCTCATACATGTCTCTGAAGTTCAGGCGAGATAATCCAACATTGAGAGGGAAAGCAAGACAATAACGATACAGGATAAGTGAGAGAACACACGAGAATAAACAAGCAAGCCAAAACCGCTACTATCAACTCTTCTCATCCCATCGCTCGTACTGGTCTGTCCTTAGACTTTTCTTGTATTCGTCCTCGATCGTTACGCAGAGATCGTCCAGGTCATTGAGAGCTGTCAAGAGGGCTTGTAGTGACGAGAGATTATCTTTGAAGGAGAAGTGAGCAACTACAGTAAGACGCAATGATAATGACTATCAACTCACCATACATCTGGATGCGGACGTTGATGTGCGGTTCCGATGGATGAGGTACACTATGAGAGATAGTTAGTGTCTATTTTTGATTCTAAGTGAAAGGAGAAAGTGGATGGCGAGGTAGAGCCTTGGCATGCGAAGAACAATTGGACTTTTAACGCTTGACAAACTCTCCACAATCGGTTACGTCTCGGATACGAGCACAAGGCCAATATTTCTGGACAATGGGAGTCGAAAATGACCATGCGGCAATGTTCAAGACACGCAATCCAATATGGGTGGAAAACAATAAGGTTCGAGCACGGGTCCATGGAACGCACCTATACCCACAAAACTCCACCTTGGGGCTTGAAGGGCAGCAGCGTCAGCTGACAAGGTAGCGATGAGAGTTTTAAAAGGCGCACTTTTTCATCAACATCCACCTCAGAGCGTTGCCAACAGTATGCGACTCATCGTGAATCTGGTATGTCGCGGCAGACAAGTCCGGTTCTGCACCTTTCAACTGTAGATCACGAATCGGGTTTCGGCAACAAATCATCAAACAATGCATGTCGCACTCACAATTTTGATTTTTGGTGGGAGCTCCGCCATGAGGTTGGCCTCGAGAACGAAGAACTGAGTTGAAGGAGAACAAAAGAAAGTGGAAAATCGGTAGCAAATGGCAATTATCCTGAACCGCCGCATATGGGATATGGACCGACATAAGCGCCCTGCATTGTTCTCTTCCTCCCTCCGCCATCCAAAAGTTAGGACAAAGCCGCCAAATCCGGTATTCTTCGACCCTCACATTCACGAATTACAATGGAGCATTCGTTGGATGCTTTGGCCTTAAATACGAGGGCCATGATTTAGCATTTGACCTTGTTTCAGCTCCGGACGCCACTCGATACCCATTTACTTCTCTTGGAATTGTTATAAGGCAGGCCTTTGGTACCCTGGTGGACCATCCCGTACCTACACTTCTCTAATTGTCTTGCTTATCTCTGCATACCCTCTTCCCATATAAATACCCTCAGCTTGTGTCATGGAGTATCCTACCTCTCCCCGTCGCCCTTCTCTCCCGTCCCTTCAGACACTCTGTCTTCCAATCCCTTCACGAGTGCCTGCTAAGTCAGACTCCTTACCTCCTCTTAACGCTAGAGACAACTTTAAGGTATGTAAGACAAACCACCCGCAAAAGACCTAGTTGCTGATTTAATGACACCAACAGCTGTCTACTTTCGAAGATCTTACGCGTCGTCAGCCAATGCGTCAACTCTCCGCGTCGTCTTCGATGACTACGATATCCTCACGTTCTCCGTCATTTTCACGATCACCTTCCCCTTCCGACGACGACAATGACATGTCCCCGATCACACCACCCAAACACCCACATCTTCCATGCACAAAATTCACCCTCGTACAATCATCCTTTGACGAGGCAGATGCCTTCGTTCTAGTCCCACCCCCTTCCGATGGCAAGTCTTCACGAGGCTACCTGCTTGTTGGTCCAACAGCAGAGAAGTTGCGTCGGAATAGGGAAACGGCTCGCTCTAATGGTGCACGCATTCATCCTTATCGCATGGTTCCCGGACATACAGCAAGCCGACGAGCGTCGCTTGCGTCCACGCTATCTCAAGACGCCTAACACTCATACACGAGTGCAATGAATCCTTGTATAACACATGGACACAACACATTCCTCATACCCCATTGTTTCAATAGCACGGTTAACTCTGTATCAGTAGTCTTTGGGTTTAGGATTTGGGGGCCCTTAGATATTTGTTTGTATCCTAGTTGTATACCTACAGTCATTGTAATGAATGCTTTTGAATTTCCTGACGTTTACCATTGTTCGACGTTCCAAGCGATCGTGCTTGATGGTAAGCGCCTATCGCTTAGACTTCATCCACAATCTGTCTTGCGCAACGGCTCCTTCATCTTCTACATTTACCACCAGTGGATTCGAGCCTGCCGTATAACACCACTTTCTCCAACCCGATGCTTGCTGATTGTTGGGAACATCGGAGATGTTTCTGTACCGTTGTATAGCGCTCGCCACCGCGGGTACAAAATGAGCGACGTCGATGATCACATTGAAACTCTAAGTCTCTTACCTCCACCCCTGAAGCTATCGCATAATTGTCATAACTCCCCAGAGAGCTATGTCTGGAGCTACTGAGTCGAACGTTTCCCTCTGCGTCGCTCGCCCTTCGTCTGGCCAGGATCCTCATGTTCCGGTCATAGTGCGCTCGCCGAAGCCTACACTGCCGAAGGATCATATCTTGGTTAAGGTGGATAGGTTTGGCTTCTCAGCCAACAATGTCACCTATCAGGCTTTGGGTGAAGCACCTCATTTCAAGTGCGTTTCTATTGGACATGCTCGGACTGGTACTGACCATCCGCAGGTACTTCGACTTTCACCCAGGTCCAGAGGCAGAGGGAGTATCACCTAAGACCCACGGTTTGGTGCCTGTATGGGGCTTCGGTACCATCATCGCGTCGACGAATGACAAATTGCGCGCAGGGGAGAGGATCTATGGATACCTCGCACCTACGCGCTATCTCCTGCTACCTGTAGTGTCTTCGAACATCAATAAATACTTCTTCTACATTCCTCGACCACATTTACCCGAAGGTATATGCATTCGTATCCGTAATTTAAATGTGTCTGACAGAGGTTTAGATCGCAGACCTTACAATCAGATTATCCGTTGCGCTTCAGACCCACAATACGACCCTGCGCCTGCAGCAGAGGACCTGACCATGCTGTATCGGCCTTTATTCTGGACTTCGTTCTGGTGTGAGGACTGGCTGTATGCGTCGTCCTACCGTGGTGCGAAGCGGATCGTCATATCATCTGCTTCCTCCAAGACGGCGTTCTGTCTTGCGTATTGCGTGAAGAAACGCATTGAAAAAGCAGGGCTGACTGGAATTCGAATTGTCGGGCTGACGTCGAAGCGAAATCTTGAGTTCACCAAAGGCTTGGGGCTTTATGATGAGGTGGGCCAGTACGATGGTTTCGAAAACCATCCTGCTCTTCAGCTCGATGGACAGAAATGGCTTTACCTCGACGTGACAGGGAACGAGGATTTCAATAAGCGCGTGTTGGCGTACTTCGCTCCAAGCAAGGACCTGGTTCTTGGAATTCGGTTCGGCATGACGACACTATCGCCTTCGTCTTCCCCTGCAGCTTCCACAGAGCTGCCTACATCGAGCACTGCACAAGAGTTAACTGCAGACTCTTTGTCACCTGACAGTCTAGTATTATTTTTCATGCCCGAATGGCTTGCCATTCGTCGTAAGCAGTTGTCTGTCCAGGGTATCACGAAGATGCAGCTGGAGGCATGGCGCGAGTTGATGAAAGATGGAAGGAACTGGGTACGCATTCAGAGGGTCTATGGAGGCGAAAACGTGAAGAAGGCGTATGAGAAGATCGTCAAAGGTGAACTGGGTCCTGACGTCGGTATGGTTTGGAGCCTGTGGGATGCTCCGGAGGCTGTGAATTCGAAGCTCTGAGATCCCTGCCTTCAGTGAACATTGTGAGTGTCGATAACAGTAACACGTGTTGCTAATCTGACGGATCTACTAAGTTGTATGATTAATCCACCGTGTACTTCAACCCGATACCTATGGTGCAAAACACCTAGTCACCGCTACTTTCGGACAGTGGCCAACTTGGGGTCGCGACCAAAAAATTTGATATTTCATGTCCAGCATCGGCGCGACGTAGTCGGGCGAGCTCCTGAAGCTTTAAATATGCATTTTCCTCACTGAAAAAGGTCCCCAGCGTAGTCCAAGAGTACTCGAGTATGTTCTCGGAGACTCTTGTGGGCGCTAATCATACCAAATAAGGTAAGTGGCCAAATTCTCACGAGCCCTGGGAAATAACTTCTGTAGTTTTGAGAATTTCGACAAACCCTCTGACGAATCGATTCCTATTGCGAAAAGGAGTGTTTCTGCAAGAGGAATAAAAAATCTAGCGCTTTGTGTGAGCACTGTTTCCGCTGTACAAAAGTAGCGGTGACTAGGTGTTTTGCACCATAGGCTCTGTCAACTTACGCTGGTTGTTGGGAGAATGCCAATATGACAAGAGACGCGCCAGAAAGTTGGTGTGACCATTTGTATCATAGAGGGAACATGCATTATCGGTAAACGTACGAGTGTTTGGTCTTTGCGTCGAATGGGTCATAATTCGATTACGGTCAGGACATCTGCGACGAGTCAGTTATCGTCACGTGTGCTTAGACTTCTGTCACTTTGCACTTACGCCTTTCCTACTAACCTCAAGAGGCTATGCGTCCACGCCAAATATGACACCCTCCAGAGATGTATAAGAACCCCATGTTTCGTATGATATTATCGTATCACACCTATGGAATCGTCATCTCAAACCACTCAGGTGCGCTCATTACTATCTGTTTGTTGTCAACGAGGCGCCTAAGCCATTCGTAGTATACCAATCCTGCGAGTGTTACCCATGGTAATTCACTAGATAAGAAAGGGCGGATCACTCCTACTACAAGCCCTTCGGTAAGTATCTCAAACCTGAACCAATCGTTAAGCGTGACCGCTTAACTTGGCGTCTACAGTCTATCCATTCAATCACGCCAATTCAGGTATGTATTGATACGTATCCCCTATTGTTGAGACCGCAGGACCTCACAGGATCTGCGTAGGGCCATCGAGGAATTGGACAACCCAACCCCGAGCGCGTTAGCTCCAAAGGTTGGGCACAACTCGCCAAGAAGCTCTGGAAGTATGATACCGCGAAGGTCAGAGATTGCAAAGAAGATATCGACACCCTACAAGTCTTCGTAAGTGCTCTTAGGCTCTATCTTCTATTCATTTTTTTGATGCGTCTTAACGAAGGCGGGGCTCTTTCTGCTGTGCTTACCGCTTTTAACATTGAAGCTTACAAGATGCTGAAGAAAGACCCTATGGGTGTTTCTACGTGTCTTCTAGCCCAAATTGCTCAGCAGGCAGGACCACCCTCGAACACCAGCCAGGCTCAAAACCCGTCGTCTCCTGTGGCATGTTCGGACTTTCAAGCCCAGCCTCTAGCAGTCCATGTTAATATATTATGGTTCGCAAGCCTCGTGTGTAGTCTTGTCACAGCTTCTATAGGCATTCTCGTGAAGCAATGGCTACGGGAGTATCTGGCTGGCGAGAGAAGTTCACCTCGAGAACGCTTGCGTCTTCGGCATGTTCGTTACGAAGGACTCGTACGATGGCGGGTATTCGAGATTGCAGCATTATTGCCGCTGTTGCTGCAGCTCTCGCTGGCGTTGTTCTTCATCGGTCTCATCATCTTCCTGAATGCCCTTCATCCTACCGTTGGCCAAGTTATCACAGTGTTCATCAGCGTTTGGTTCTTTGCCATGCTGTCGACCACTTTCGCACCTGCGATCGCGTTCAATTGCTCTTACAAGCTACCATCTCTCAAAAGATTGATGCAAGCCATCCGACACTGTTGGTATAGGGCGCATTTCGTGATCAAGCAGCAACATTTTCTCGAGGAGCTCTATCGTGACGTTTGTTTGGAGGGTGCCGATGAAGAGACTATCATCCGTCAGAAGAACGATCTGGATATTCACATTCTCGTTGGTGCTGACGCAACGTTGTTTGACGATGGTATCTTGGACGTAACAATCCGAGAATGTCTAGCAACTACGTCCGGAGAAGCCGCTTTTGACTTCGTCAATCAGACACTTACACATCGTCTGGACCGATTACGCCCATCACGCCCTTGCGAAATTTCTTCCAAAATACCGGAATGTTTCGTTCACATTTTGTTAGATGCTGTCAATCGTGAGGTGGAGAGCCGAATTGACGATTCCTCTCAGGTTACATTGCCGCCGTGGATTGGGGAGGCCCTTACTTGTATGGCAGGTGATGGAAGGCTGAGCTATACATTTGGAAAGGCGTCGATGAAAGATACGTCGATCCGGGAGACGACATGCACGGCGTTGGGCTTTCTGCTTGAAGCTGAAGATCACTCTGTTGCGCGGCAAGTTATTCTTTTCTTAGGGACTCACACTCATTTGCAAGATACACTTCCTATACTGTCGAGCCCATTCAGTGAGGTTCTGCTTTTTCGCCTATGTGAATCCGTTCTCAAGCTTTCTAGTCAGATCGAAAGCGACATCATTCGAGACTCGACGCAGGATCTCCGTCATCTCCTAACGGAGGTGACTTTCTCTCTTCACTCCCATTACTTGAATCAGGCTTTTGTTGGATTGGCTCCTAATGAATCGGCAAATCGATGTCTAGAACTTGCCAATCAACTGAATCGGGACCACAATTGCATCATTGCGGGTGCCGATCTCTTTGATGTCCTGAACATACTTCGACTTCGATACGGTGCTCACCTGCATATCTAAGGAGGATTTTTCCTGGGCGCTGCGTTTCATCGGCTCGCTGCTAAATGTGTTTTCCATGTTCACCGCTTGTTTTCGCGATCTTACTCTAGTTATCTTCACCTATGAATCCTCGTTTCAGTTTTGCTTCACATGGAAAGATTGTCGCTGCATGGGTGTACTCGTGCCAGGCCCTCCTAACATGCTGTTGCTGCTTTGTTCTCAAGGACACTCCACTCACGACATGGTCTTGTTCACACCTCTTGACCACCGGCTGACTCGATATCGTCCAGAAACGGTCACGTATTCTGCTTCTGAATTTTAATTTGATGGGAGCTGTCATGTTATCTCATCGATGATTCCCTCATTGTGGATTTGCATGCGGTGCACTCAACCACAAATTGACTTGTACACAATGCGGGGCTTCGTCACGGTAGGTGCTGACATGATCTGGGGCCGTGATGCGAGCACATTCGGGCACCCCCTCTGCCACTCTCTGTCAATTGTACATGTGCACATTTGCGCTAGGTTCCTTTTTCCCTTTCTCTTTGTATGTGCACTTCTCAGCGGTCGCAGGTGGATTTGGCTATAAAACGATGGGCAAATGCTAACCCTTGTCGAGTCGCCGCTTCCGCAGGTTCTCTGATTACGTCGATATGATGTTCCTCCCTTTCATCCTCCTTGCAGCGACCACTTCTTGCTTTGCCGTACCTCACACGCTGCAGAAGCGAGCGGCGCCACTTGGAATTGACATCTCGCACTTCCAAGGTGCGGTCAACTTCAACATCGCAAAGGCGAACGGCATATCATTTGTGTACATCAAGGCTACGGAAGGAACAAGTAAGCCATCATGACTGTCCATCCATACACACCCTCATCCCTCTATCAGCCTTCATCGACCCACAGTTCAGTACAAACTATATCGCTGCGACCAACGCCGGGCTCATTCGTGGAGCATATCACTTTGCCCATCCTGATTCGTCTTCCGGCGCAACTCAGGCGAATTACTTCCTTGCGCACGGGGGCGGATGGTCGAGTGACGGTATTACTTTGCCTGGAGCGTTGGATATTGAATGTATGCTTTCGATGTTGTCCTGTCTCATTCTTCCACTGTTCATGATGCTCCGTCAGATAATCCCAATGGCGCCGAGTGCTATGGTCTGAGCGCATCAGCCATGGTGTCATGGATAAGAGACTTCTCAAATACTTATCATTCGGCAACCGAAGCGTAAGTCATACTCACGAGGTTCGCCTTCTTTTAGAAAAAGTGAATCTCATCATTTTCTTATTCCCCTTAGTTTCCCTGGTGAGCATCTCGAGGGCTTTGACCTTGTGCCCAAACTGAAATGCCACTCAGTAATTTACACCACGACCGATTGGTGGACCACCTGCACCGGTAACAGCGCCGCCTTCGGTTCTACCAATCCTCTTTGGATCGCTCGTTATGCTTCCAGCATCGGTACCCTCCCTGCGGCATGGTCGTAAGTCACTGACTTTCGAAGGCATTCTGTACTGCTTGAGCACTGAACAAAACACACCCTTTAGATTCACTACCTTTTGGCAGTACGCGGATTCAGGCCCCAATCCTGGAGACCAGGATCAGTTCAATGGTGATATTACAGGCTTGCAGAGGTCGGTCATGCCTATCGTATGTGATTGGTGGGGTTTGGCGCTGATCGCTCTTTCATTTAGGATTGCCAGAGGTTCATAGGTATGCGAACAATGTTAGGAGCTTGATTTGGCGAAGAAAATATCACAAAGAGCTCCACCGTGTATAATCTAACCTTACCGGTACCAACACTCCTCCCGAGAGTTCTTATCAAGGGCAAGGTCTGCGTCAGTCCGCGAGACACGGGGGGAAAACTAAAGCGTATATTTTAACGATCTGCAACTACGCAAACATGAACGGGCGAGGCTGAAGTGTCATCGTATTTTGCAGTCCGAGTCGTTCTATAAGAAGAACGCGGCAGGCACATCCAGTGACTATTTCGCTCACCGTTCTTATGGGCAAATTTACGGATTCTTGTATCCTCGAGGTCTCATTGCCTTCGTAGTCATATGAGTGATACACAACGGGAAGAATCTTGCTCAAGTCTAGCTGATGTTTGTTGACTAATGAGCGTGCGGTGGAAACGATACTCGAGTCGCTCGTCCTGAAATTGTTGGGCCAGTAGACCTTCATAACCAGCTCCTTGTCACCGAAACTGACAGTCGCTTCGTTGTGGGCAGGATCTGGTCTGGGCATTTCAATCGACTCTTCGTGTGATAGACACGAGTTCCCCGACCGCAAAGCGACAGGCGTCCGTATAACTCGTTGGCATTGAGCTTCACTTTGATCTTAGAGTCCCCAGGAATAATGATGGTGATTCCATCTCCCTTGAACTTATCCGTTTTGCCTCGGTCCTTGAGTTGGCCCCGCGTGAAGATTAGTTGTCTGGCATGTGATGCTTCTTCAGGATTGCACGAGCCATGAAGACAATTTGCCCTTTGCTGATTCGTAATTTATCTCGCCAGCAGACATATACAACCAGTTCAGTTGCTTGTGAAGCGTCAATGAGAATCAGAGCTATCTCAAGGCTGTCACGAGTGCTTAACTGTTCCACGATCTCTGTGCGGTGAGTACCTTTGTGGTTTGGCATACCATATCCTTCATGTCAACTGTGAAGACATCTTCAAATAAACTTCAGAGTTTCCGATCGTGAATCACAGGCACTCCTACGACAATGGCCCAATAAAGCCAGAGCGAGCGATATTCATGCGAAAGGACACTGGGTGGAAGAGACATGAAAAGTCTACCGCGTTTGCATTGATGGTGCACAAGTGTGCACGTTGATTAATGATTTATACTCAGTGCACGCGCCAAAGTTGTACTTCATCCTCAAGAAGCAACGCTCAAGCCTCCTGCTTCAGCTTCGGTCTGGTCATGCCCCGCTTAATCACCATCTGCATCGCATCAAAAAACTCGACTCCCCGCTATGTCCCGCTTGCGGACTGGAGCCAGAGACAGTAACCCACTATCTCACGCAGTGCAAAGCCTACTCCCGGATGCGCCAGCCCCTGCGATCTTTCTTTCCCGGTCGTGCTTTCGTCACTCACAGACTTCTCGCAACCGATATACTCAAACGTTCTGAACGGGCGCGAGCCGCCCTCTTTGCATTTTTTATAGCTACACGCCGATTCAAAGACACTTTCAGTCGCCTTGACCACAAATAGCCTTCCTTCCGTTTACCTCCCCCCCCTCCTCTTCCCCCGTTCCACATTCTATCCCCCCCTTTTATAATGTCGCTTTCATACTCCCTTCACCATAATCTCTACTTACCATAACATAATTTCTCCGTTTTTGCCTGCGCACCCTTTCCCCTCCCCACACTAATAATATAGCAAGTACATTCCCGCCAGCTCGTTACCCACAGACGCCCCCACCTAGTATTTACTTGGATTCGCGCTCGCTCTCTCCCCCCATTCTTGTGTAGGTAGCCGCTGCCACTCGTTCACGCCCCCAAGTCCGCATCTCGTTCGCTAATATCTGACATAGTGTACATCGCTACAACAGATAAAAAACTTGGATTCCAAAAAAAAAAAAAAAAAAAAAAAAAAAAAAAAAGTTGTACTTCGTTTGGCGCGCCTATCATTGTAACTTACTGGCAAGTTCAGGGTGACCGGTGACCATGTATCGTCGTGTCCTCTTCGTGCCACGCTTTCACTTTGGCAGGAGAATTGACAAGAAGGCCAGATTCTTGTACCGAACGAGGCTCATACATGTGGGCCATGCCCTGCGAAACTCAAAAGGATGACTAGCTCTGGTGCCTGAATTCGTTTGCAGTTTGCAGGTTAACACTACACATAAACATGAAAGTCGTTCGGAATACGATAGTTTGACCCCTTTCTCACACCCCGACTTACCGTCGTTTAGGCCGCTTTTACATAATAGACCCGTGTATTTGAGACGGGGATAGCACTTTTTCGAAAGCTGCGGTCAAGGATTCCAAGTCTGTCTCTGGCTGGATACGGTCTTGTTCAGGTTTGGCACATTGATCGACTCGGAAGCTGACTGATGCTAACGACAGATGACGTTCGGTAAATCCGATTCTTCGGGATTCTGACCATGAAAGGGCTCATTCACTGTTTCTACAGCGGCCTTTTAGTTCATTACCAGAGAAAAGCTGATCAATCATCTAGTCAACAGGTCTGACAGACCATAGGCAACTGAATTCAAGTGTGTTAATAATGTTCTCATCGCCTCCTTCCCTTGAACATATAAAGCGATCGTCGTGATCTAGTAACATTGTTATCCTCCTGAATATTCCTTTTTTCATCTGAAATTAGCTTATATCGATCCATGGCCTCCTACGTAGTCACCGGTTCCAACCGTGGTATTGGGGTGCGTTCTGAACCATTCTTCACTTACTATCCTCGGTAGACTTACCTTCTAGCTTACAGCTTGCCTTCATTCGTAACCTCGTCCGCCTTTCATCTGCCTCATCGATATTATATGCTGACTTCTGTTGAAGAGCGCAAACCCAAACAACACCGTGTTCGCCTTGACACGTAACAAAGCAAACTCTGCTGATCTCTTGGAGCTTCAGTCTAAACTCAAGAATGTGCATGTTCTGCAAGCAGATATCACTGATGTTCCGGCTTTACGCGTTCGTGATGGCTCTCCCCTTCGCCCACTTATGGGCAATGTGCTCATTGCCTCGTTTGTGTCTAGGAGGCGGCAAAAGAGGTTGAGCGAGTGGCTGGCGGTGCACTCGACGTTTTGATCAACAATGGGGCATATCTCGCTCTTGACCGAGGCGATTTTACGCTTGATGCATAGTAAGCTTCCCTCTGCCTATACGTATCTCAACATTCTCATGTTCCTACTTAGCGACGGCAAAGAAGACCTGCTAGACAAGGACTTCACTGACTTCGTGAGTATCTACAGCCCGTCCTTCCCTTTCTGTATCATGAACATAATCTACACAGTTCAAAGTGAATACGCTGGGCGTCATCAAGACGATCAATGTCTTCCTTCCTCTTCTGCGCAAGGCCTCGGAGAAGTCCCTCGCGAAGGTTATCACCATCAGCACTGGAGCCTCCGATCTTGAGTTCACTGTTAACGCCGGATTCTGGTGGTTCGCTCCATACGCAACCTCCAAATCGGCAACCAACATGGTCATGGCAAAGTACGCTGCGGCTCACAAACAGGAGAACATTCTGTTCTTGTCAATCTCGCCGGGCGCAGTGAATAGCGCGAACGCCCCTCGTTAGTTCTCTTGTGGTCTCTGGAATGCGGTGACACCATAGTAACCATATGTTTACAGCCAACGAGGTGGAGGCGACGTTTGGTCCGATGATCAAGGTCTTCCAATCAGGTTACCCGGAGTGGAACGGTGTGTTCCTCACACCAGAACAATCTGTCTCCCTGATGCTTGGTACCATCTCCAAACTATCAGTCAAGGATAGTGGAGCTTTCATCTCTCAGTATGGGGACAAGGCGTGGCTTTGAAGTGTCAGCTGCTGAGGCGGGGGGCGTCGCGGCATGGAACTGGACGTTTGTTGATGCCTGAGCCATTAAAGTATACCCCTCGTGTCTGTAGTGGAATGCAAGCAGGAATCATATTATAGCATTAGATTTGAACATGTACATTGTGTCACCAAGGAGAACTTCTGAAACTGCTACTGCTTGGTAAAGACCCTCCAGAGGTCAACTGCCAGATCCAAATCAGTCGTCTATAATTCTCTGAGACGAACGAGAGAACATACAGCAGTATTGATTTGTTTATGGACAAGACAGAGATCTGTAATCGCGTAAGATGAGTTACCTAACGAATGGAAGGATAAATAATTGGAATCTAGCCGCTTACAATCCAAGTACGACATGGCAGCATTATTTTGATCTTCAACAAGCATATCGCTGAACTCTATCTCTGCACCGTCCATGTTCTGTCTGGCAATGTGGAACCTTGCCTGACGTCCACCGCGCTCTACCCGTCTGTGAGCAATGATATTGCGTACTTGGGTCGAGAGCAGGGAGTCAATTTGAGGAAGCTGGGTCTAAGTCACGTTTACGTCAGAGATGTGTGCGTCACAATGCATTGGGTGAAGACACGTACAATGTTGCGATTGATATCAGCTACGTCTTCTACTCCGAAAAGATCTTGTAGTAATTGTGGCGATACACTTGATCCAATCCAGAGGATTGTCGTCTCTTCGTCGTCTGTAGAAACAAAGATCAGTAACAAACAGTCGTGACAAATACCTCGGAGAGCTGACCAATGAGATAGATTCCGTATCCTGTCATGAATATATGACTATCTCGCATGAGTGAAGGCATGTCAACACGGTTGGTATGGGGGCTTGGCAAAGCAATGGTTTCGTTCAAGTCATGTAACGCCATCAACCGAGGATAGAGATGATGCATGATAGAACGGGTGCTCATGCCCATAAGCTTATGGATCCAATAGTTTCGCATGTCCGAAGAAACATATCGTGCTGTATACAGATTAATGGAAGGATAACCAACGTAGTTCAGATGTGCCTACCTTTGAGTGGCTTGCTCTTGAACATTGCTAGCGTATAGACAGGATATGCTCTGAAAGCTTCCGGAATGATGAGCTAGAGTAATAGTCAGTTAGGCCACATCGAAAGGCGATCAAAGAAGCTAAAAAGTGAACAAACTTGCGACGGTGATGTAGAGGCAGCACAATTCCGTCTATATCCAAGCAGGATAGCAGCACATCTCTCAGTTAGTTCTTCCTGAATATAGGCAATCCTTTGACTGGACAGCTTCGAAATAGCTACGAGAAATGGGTTTGTCAGTCTTGAAAACATACCTAGAAAAGCTCACTAAATACCTTCTCGGATGACGTGAGATACCACAGCGTCCATATCAGCAAATCGAAAGACGCTACCAGCAAGTGCGACAACTTGCAGCGCCACATTGCATGTCCTCACACGACGCTGACCATCAACGGTCGTATACAAAATAGCAGCCTGAATGTGAGCATATTGTCTCTCGTCCAGTGTCCGCGAATGTTCCAGCCCAATGGAAATAGCCTTATCGGCGTCTAAAGTGCCAAACTCCAGATCGGAGGCAGGGTTTTCGTAGTAGTTCCCATGGTAAGAACTGACTCTGAATCCTGTCAGTGGTGGAATAAATAAAGGTGAAAGGAAAGAACGATGAAATGGTACCATAAGAGCTCCGGACTTTCATCACGGCGTTGTACACGGTTGTGCGCGAGAGCAGTCGATGGAGTTGGGAATCCATAACTGGGCCGTCCCGCACGGGATCGAATCTTGGATGATAGAATAGTTCACCTCCAGTCATGGAAGCCGGAACCACTATTAATAGTGCAATTTGAGTTTTAGGTTCACACTATGGACGAGAAATCATACCGACTGAGCCTACGTCCATGTTGTGACTAGGCGCCAGGAACATGCTGATGCCTATACCCTCCTCAGCACATTGTTCGCCAAGGTCTTTCCAAGCTTCATCTCTAGGAAGGAAGAGTGTAGACTCTTTGTCAGTGTCGTACATGTTAGACTCGTCCTCGCGAGGTTTCAGGGCTCCTACGCCAATGGTGGGAAGTGAACTCGCAAAGACGATGACCTGACCGCCACGTCCAGCGAGAGCAGAGAGACAACCGCATAATGCAGACCCAAGGGAAGATTCAGTCACAGCAGAAAACTCGTCTCGTTGTGAAAGCGAGCCCAGCACCTTCTCGATCAATATTCTAATGGCAAACAGTTAGATGCAACACAAGCCTTCTGAAGAGCGTACAAACCGAGACTGCAAAGGATTGACGAAGAGGCCATCGAGAGAAGGAAGGAAAACGTCATCAAGGTCAGCTACAACAAGCATTTGTGGGATTTCTAGATGGGACTACGCTGGTAAGAATGGTCCAATGGATGCGATGAACCAGTAGAGTGGACCCACAGCAAGGTTATAGAATTGTATCGTATTGTCAAAGGTAACAATAGATATTCGACTTGAAGACGGTATTATCGGTGTTTCTCCATAGATAGCACGCAAGATCGAGTCACAAGCCAACCGAACAAAGCCCTTTCGAATAGCATCCATGGTTACTTCCAAAACAAAGACATAGTCCATAGGTCGAGGAGGCCTATGGCCTGAGGAAGATAGAGGAGCATAAGACTGATAGAGTGGCGTGATTCTGGGAGGTGGATGAGGTGCCCAGTATTCCTCGGGAACAGTAAAGTCGACTGTACCCTTATTCAGTTCCGGCCTCTGGGAGTGATCGAGACGCAATAGGTTAGAATCAAGGGCGCAGTAGTACTCCGGATTCACTGGCGAGCAGCATCAGAGCGCAACGAAAGCCAGGCGGAGGAAGGGCGAGGGACGTACCTTCTGTCTCGTGACTACACAGATTACACTTCCACTTTGCACCATTCGCTACCCATGTACACCACGGGTTGATGTACCCTCTACACTTAGCACACCGCGGTGGCCCATTCTCACCCGTCTCTACAAGTGGAATCGGTTCTTCTCCCGGGGCCTGCTCGGCAAATGGTTGTATGATAGCGGCGAGAGGGATCTCACACTCGTTCGCGAGCCTCGAGGTACTTGGAAAATTCCACGTCGAGACGCGCAAGAATCTCGGCGTTGAATTTCCTACATGGCAGTCAGTGTGATCGTATCCAAACCACAGCATGTGGGACATACCTTGATCGACCGCAACGTATTCCGTCGTTGACAGTGGAGGGTGAGTCCCTGGTAATGTCATGAACGGCTGGTTTTCCCATTTCTCCTGGTCAGCTTCAACCACCTCGATCGGTGACGGAATTTGATGAGGATCAATTGCAGCCCGTAGACCTGCACAATAGTCTGAATTAAAACAGGACGAGCTTCGTTACGGAGTACTCACCTTTGTACGAGAGTCCCGCACTGTGGGGAGGTTGGGGTATATGCGCGGAGCCGGAAGTACCGTGCGCGTACATCTTATCGCGTCGATTCCAAAGAAACGCAACTGCCTATACGTTATAGTCCTCTGACAGTCAAAGGGACGGGAAACCAGTCCAATACGCCACGCATGCAATAGTTGTAAGTCAGGACAAGGGTCTAGAATAGCTCAGAAGTAGAGCAATAGTTTAAGCAAGGAAATGTCCGGAGTGCCAGCAGAGGCGTCGCCAGTGATGAATCCGGAAGGTCGTCAGGATTTCTGGTAAGCAGAGCACTACCTTTGTTATACCAAGACAATGAAGTTACAACCTGACAGAACTAAATTCCACTGCGAGGTATGGTGAGAGTCCTGCAGAAGGTACCGTCGACGCAGCGCATCTTTGGCTCTTCCCCGATCTGGCTGGTTACATCCATAAAAGGCAAAGGCTTCTAAGCAGGGGTTCCCACGACGTCAGGACGCGCTTTGGCGGCTCTTTCCAATTTGACTTTAAGCATGGTCATCGTTTGAAGGCAATCCACGAGTCTCAGTCCTAGTCCAACTGAATAATCATAATCTCCTGGGTTGCTATGGAATCCTCGAAGCCTCAACAGATCTCGCCTTCGATCGCCGGTGGAGCCCAGTTAATCGAATCACTTATTGACCATGTGGTGGCTCGGGCGGTTGAAAAGGAACGTATAAAACACGAAGCACTCAAGTCTGAGATTGATGAAAAGGTGAAAGAAGTACACTGCTGTTTGGATATATTCTTTGATACTGATTGTCCTTGGGCTCGCAGTGGAGGCCCACCTGTGAACAACTGGAGAAGCAGCTTTTGCTTAAGAACGATGAGAACGAAAAACTGGCTGCAAGAGTGGCAGAGCTGGAGGCTAGATTGGAGACCCAGAAATCAAGCAAGGACGAAGTGCGTACATCTTCAACTCTGAGTCTATCCTCCAACTGACTTTGCAGTTGAGTTAAGTGTACCTGCCGCTCCAAAGTACCGTGCAACGTGATCCCCATGCCTACACCAATGAGTCCGCCAAGTTCTACGCTGGTAGACATTACAATGGACGACATTACATTGATTCCGGAAGAGTCCATGTGCGTCGACGCATACCTCACGCAATGCGATTCTGAGGAGGCTGCACCGTCTACCTTAACACCTGTACCAATCCCGAATCATACCCTATCCATTGGCCATATGATTAATGGAGAGTTCAAGCCTGACATTGATTCCATGACCCAGAGTCACTTCGCATTTCAGGACCAGATTCATAAGGGCGCAGCTGAAGACATAGACGTGGACGACAGTAAGGACGAGTATGGGAGTTCGGATACAGAGGACCATGATTTCAGGTTCTCCTCCGTTCCGAAGTCGGAGTGTACAACATTTCCTGAATTTGACATGTTCGGAGCTGACGACGTGGATCGTAGAACTTTGAGGAAGCCACTGCCAGAAAAGTTCGAGGTGCCCGAGAGGTTTAGTGTCCCGCCACTCAAAGTTACGGCATATGGTCCTAGCGCTGAGCCAGAAATGTGTATTGTAAAACAGAAAAACGGACGGTATGTCGCGCAAGTCAAACCATGCCCACTGCCGTTCCAGCAGTATGGACATGGTATATGAACAAGTGCGTATTTCGTCATCGTACATGCACCTGTATGGTTAATAAAATGTTAGGTGTTTCAAACTGTTAATTTCTTGGAGAAGCACTTGTCTCTTGATCTGATGCTCTCTTTCTTGCTTCGACATTGGACGAGCTCACCTTTTTGTTGCTTTCTTGCTTCGCTTTGGTCAAGCGCTTTCCTACGCATCTTCGTCGCTGTTCATATCCAGATACCGTACACCATCTAGCTATACCATCAACGATAACAACATCACATGGATAACGTATATACCTGTAGCATAGTACCTGTAAGCTAGCCCGCCATCCTTCTTGATATTGTAGATACTCGTACCATAGCGATCCACCCATATCGTCTCCCAGTACTGAACCTGGACCAAAGGGCTGCGAAACACGCCAATCCAAGCTACATCTCGTCCACACTCCATGAGTAGCTCTCTGCGCCTCGTCGTTTCCTCTCGTTCTGCCGTTGGAACAACTTCTTCTCGAAGCCAGTTCCTCTGTCTGAAAGAAGCTTAGTGAAAGGCAAGACACGTGGATGTGACAGAAAACGTACCGACGCCGTCCCACCGATATCCGGGTTTAATACCAAAACGATTAGGTGGCGGAGGTGGTCCTGTGTACTCAGGTTTCCGAGGGCCTTTCGATCGTTTCTTCTGTTATTCGACATATCTTATGAGCTATAAACTGTAACAGGAAAGTGTGAGTGTACGCACCGTGATGAAAGCCGCCATAGGGTCATTCCACCGCTCCTGCGCTTTCAACTCCAGGTTCATCTCAACGTCTTCAGCAGTCCGTGAAAAGCCCTTCCCCTTCAAAGCCTTCTCTTCCTTCCTCCGTTTGTCCGCCTCCTCCCTCTGTACCAAGCCTTTCCCCCATTCCATCTTCTTCGCCTCCTTCTCCTCCTTTTCACGTTTCAGTCTCGCTGCTTCCGCTCGCTCAGCAGCAGTGTCAATCCTGCGTCCTGAGGTATCACGATAGATAGTTTCTTGTGCCACTTCAATCTCTTCCTGTGTAAGCACCGCCATCTCCTTCGACCTCCCGAATGTCTTCTTGATCTGTGCCGCTGTCATCAAACCACCTCTGAACGGTTGCTCCTCTTGTCCTTCCACTACTTGTGGCCGTTCATCTGCAGGTATTGCTTCTTCCTCATCTTTGATCTGTCCCTCACGTACTGTTGCCCACCCGGCTTCTTCCCCCCTTCGTTGTCGCTTCTTGAATCCACGGTCAGACGCGACAACGGCTTCGGAGGTATCTTCTTCTTCTTGCTCTTGGGGTATAGCATCCCAACCTAGGATGTCATCATCCTTTATCATAGAGCTGCCAGCAGTGGTCGTGGTATGAGTCGTCTTGCGTTTCTTCTTTCTGGGTGCGTCAGAAGTCGTGCGAGCGAGGATAGCATCAGCTTTGGGACCGGACATGTATTTGGCGGCCAAATAGGCCTTCATTGAGCTAGCCATGATGAATAGTGCGGAAAGGTATCTAGTTGAAGTAGTGGATGTACGAGTAGAGGTGTAGGTGTAAATGATGATCGGCGCTGGAGACTAAGGTTAGGGCTAGTGTGACAGTAGGTTATCACAGACTTCCATATATGGGCCAAATTCATCTAAATGTCACGCATGGTGTGACACTGACCGCGTCGCCAAGTTGAACGCTTGCGAGGTCCTCCTTAACACGTTCACATCGTCGACGTCGGACGCCAACCACGACGACGACGGCGACGATGGCCACTTTCTCTGACGGCGGAGACGCCACGACCGCTTCCGCCTCCTCCGGCGACATGCGCTTTTATCTTCAAAACCTTCTTGATGGCAAGGAGAAGCAGTTGCAGCAGGCAGGCACGCTCGGGCAGCAGTTGCTTGCGCAGCGGATGGAGTTGGAGGAACGGATCAGACAATTGCAGGATTTCGATCTTGACGCAGGAGACGATGACGACGCTACAATTCGGGAGAAATATCGGGAGTTGGCAGAGACAATCAAGGCTTGGGACGCAGAGAATGAGCAGCTATCGGACGCGTTCACTTTGAAGGTGAGTTTGCCATTTTATCTAGATCGGTCATAGATTTTTCAACGTTTTTATTGTAGCCTGCTGTGAATGGTGCTGCTTCGCCGTCCTCTCACTCTGTAGAGCTTTCCCGAGGCGATATCGAGCGGTCGCTGGAGCGCTCAAAGGCTTCTGGTAGTGGAACCACTGCCGCTCAGTCATCCCGTCGAGCCAAGAATGCCGCACACCGTGCTGATGACGTCGGTATGTACACATGTTTGATCGACATAGAAACTCACATCGATAAATGCCTTCAGAATTCGCGTTTGAGATCGGGAGTGGCTTGTTGACCGAAGTGCGCCGGCTTCAAAGTTTATTGGGCGAACGAGACAAAGCCCTTCAGGACGTCAAGGAGGAAAAGGAGGATCTCGAGAAGACCGTAGAGAGCTTAAAGACTGCCTTACGCGAACAAGAACAATCCGCGGACAAGTTCAAGGAGGAGAATTGGAACCTCGAAGTCACTCTCCAAGAGCTGCGGGCTCAGCTGACCGACTCCCAGACGACGACTGTGAGATTGGAGGGTGACACCAAGAGGTTGACCAAGATGCTCACTACTGCTCGCGAGACCGCCGATCAACATAAGAATGAAGCCGAACGGCACCAGAACGCGTTTGAGGAACTGAAGGCAAAGCACGAAACGGATGTTGCTCAGGCAAGAAAGCACGCGGCGAGTTTGCAGCGGGATAAGTCTGACCTCCAGCAATCATTGGACTCGCTTAAAGTCGAAATGGCCAAGCAATCCAGACGCTTTCCCCGGTTTGGTTCCCCCCTCACGCCCAACGGCGCATCTGCCTCTGAGGCAGCCACACCTGCAGATGGTGACGACGACGACGTATTCAGTACCGCAGCATCCACCGCGAACAGGAAGAAAGCGGATACCTCTGCACTCTTCCCTCCTGATGGATTCGACTTCGACTCTTCTCCGGACTCTTCACCCTCGAAACCATTCCTCGCTCCCAATCATCCTAGAAATGAAATTGAAGCTCTGCAGCAACGCCTGGCCCATGCCCAGAGACAGATCAACACTCTCAAGGGCACTTTGCAGCGAGAGAAAGAGATGCGAATTGAGTACAAGCGCAAACTCGACTCATCTCCTGCCTTGGGTTCACCCGCATTCGATATTGTGGAGGAGGAGGAGGAGGAGGACGAGGACTTCATCGACGAAGAGTCTGGCATGGTTAGACCAAAGGCACGTTTGACGCCGTTCCGTCAAGGTAGAGGCCGTGGTCGTGGCAGAGGGAGAGGTGGTTCTTCGTTCGCTCGCAAGCTTGACCTAGCTGTCCAAAGCCCTTCCTCTGAGTATGCCGACGACGATGATATTGGCGAGAGTTCACCACCTCCACCCGTCCCGCCAATTCCATTCAAATATCAAGATGAGGATGAGGATGAACAGCCAAGTAATGAGTACATTCAAGAGGAAGAAGAGGATACCGAGATGCAGCAGTCACCTTCACCTCCAGTTGCATCTAATCGCACTAGCGTGGATGGCATGGATCCTGCCTTCGCAAACGTTCTTCGACGCTCTACGTCTGGAAGCTCTATGACGTTTAACCGCAGTCCGCTACGAAAAGTACTCGCGAGGTCGTCACGTGGAGGTGCAATTCCTCGTCGCTCTCGTGGAGGAGCTGCTTTCCAAGAAGCTCGACCGCCATCCCTGGTTGTCCAACCTGGTGTTCTCGCAGACGAGTTTGGTTTGGGTATTGAGTCAAGTTTGGACAACACGCTTGAATTACCAGAACGAGAGACAAGCCACTTCGGTTGTCAGACCGAGCCTATTGAAGAGGTCCCCGAACCCGTCATAGTTGTCGATTCACCTCCTGCCTCGCCTCCCCAGCCTGCTGCACCTGCTCACGAGGTTACCGAGATCGGCATTCAAGTCGAACCTGAACCCGTGCCTGCTGTCGCAAAAGCCGAGGTCTCACTTCAGACTGAGGAAGAGGTTGCTCCGATCATCGTTCGTTCCGATGCTTCTGTGCAGCATGAAGATCTCACTCCTGTGCCAGTTCTTGTCTCAATGGGAATTGCAACTGACCCTGAGCCCAAACCAGAACCTGTGCCGGAGCCTCCTGCAGTGTACGTACCGACGTTCTCTCAAGCTGAGGTCCAAACACTTGTCGTTCCTTCTAGTGAAGCCGACGTTCAGACTCTGCCCGAGCCTTCACCTGTGCTACCCAAGACAACTGAAATGCAAATGCAGACAGTGCCAGAACTCGTTCCTGTGACGACCCATGCAGACATGCAGACTTCAACCGAAGTCCACGATGACCAAATTTCGTATATGGATTCATCCATCGGCGAGATGAGCGGAGATACTACGATTACACCCCGCCCTCCTCCTTTGGCGATGCCCAACTTTGAGTCTGAAGATGATGGTACCGAGACGGAGACGGGTTCAATCATGGAGACCGACACTGATGACTACCAGGATGCAAGACAGAGCATGTCTATGGTGACTCCGACGGACATGGATGACTTCCATTCCATCATGACTGTTACCGACAACGAATTTTCCTCCAGTGACGATGAAAGCGTCAAGGCTTCTCGTTTGCCCAGTCGCGAAGTATCTGCAATGTCGTCAGCAGTATCAGTACCATTGGCTTCTCCAACCGTTTCGGAGCCTGAGTCACCTGTATCACCACCTACTCCTAAGCCCACGTACGAGTCAAGGGGTATTGAGACCGATGTCGCCGAAGAACCGCCAGTCGTCATACCTATAGTAGAGGAGGAGGCTAAGGCCGTGCCACTAGTATCGGAACCACCGAAGCCCGAACTAAAGGAAATGTCAATTCAAACCGATGAGTGGTCACCTCCCCCTCCGCCAGTCCCTGTGACACCTTTCCTACCTCCAGCACCTGTGCTTGTCACGGCGCCTTCAACTCCCGCACACTCTCCTTCCCCCTCTTTCCGACCTTCTCAACAATTCCAATTCATTTCCCCACCACCTTCCGCTGGTCCGACAACAACTTCTTTGCCCAATGTTCCCGCTCCTTTGCCTCCATCTAATCTCTCACCCGCCAGAGATTCTACTGTTTCTACATTCGTTCCTCGTCCTCGTACATCTACCTCAGACAGAAGACAATCTATTGAGTCCACTCTGTCATCCGCTATGGAAGACATAGTCGCACGATCTCGTACGCCATCTAATGTGGCTACGGTTGTCGATAAATCTAGGCCACCCATGATGATGCTTCCACCGCCTCCACGGCAACCGCCCCCACCTAATTCGATGCCCCCGCCCCAATTCATACCCGAGAGGAGGTTACCCACTACTTCGAATGCCTCTCATGACATACCCCCGCCTCGACCGTCGTCACCACCTCCCCCAGAACTCATCCAGCGAGCTACGACACCACTGGGCTCGGTGCTATCAGTACCTGCTGCAAGACAGTTTGGTTTGCGACCTCATGCATCGACTGTACAGTCCTCCCAACAACCTCTGCGTCAACCGTCTTCAACAGGCAGCTTCCGATCTGGACCAAGTGGTATTGTTCGTGCTCCGCAACCCAGTCCATCGATACCCTCATTCAATATCCGGGAGAGGGAACGCAGAGGAATGTCCTCAGTTTCACTCAATTCTGGAGGTCAGAGCCTCGACTCGCAACGCTCTTCGTTGTCTTCCGACCATCATGGTTATGATCAACCGAATCAACGTGCACACGGCGCACCACCTGTTACACCCGATCGTCCTGCTGGAATGCCAGGCCGTCATGCTGTAAACTCGACAGATCCCACTATCATTCATGCCATCACGCAGACAATGATTGGAGAATTCTTGTACAAATACACGCGTCGAGCTATTGGGAAAGGTCACGGTGATCGTCGACACAGGCGATTCTTCTGGGTACATCCGTACACTCGTACACTGTACTGGAGTTCTGCCGATCCAGGGTCTTCGGCAGTATCAGAGTCGAGTGCTAAGAGCGGTATGTGTCTTCGCTTTTATCCTCTCATTGTTGTTGTTCATGGTCTGTAATAGCCTATATCGAGGATGTTCGATCTGTACTCGACCCGAATCCCATGCCTCCAGGTATCCATCAGTACAGCGTCGTGGTGTCTACGCCTCAACGTGAAATGAAGTTCACTGCGCCAACAAAAGAAAGGCATGACATTTGGATCAATGTAAGTGTTGTCTCCTCATGATAATCAATCTCCATCGATTCCTGATTCCCTGTTCCGCTAGGCTTTGCAGTACCTTCTTTCCCGACCCAGCGCCGGCCCCGTGGCTTCTCCTTCCAATGGAACAGCTCTTCCTAATAGCCCGATGTCTATGGAAGCCAGATTAGCGGACGACGACAATAATAACGGGTCAAATATGTACGCGAGTCCTCAAAGTCAACGCAGCACGCGAACCACGAGGACGGGACTTAGTACAGATTCGTTCAACGTTACCCCACGAGGACAGCGCAGCCAGTCCCAGCTTTCTCTGGGAGGATCAATGGGGAAGCGTTCTGGTACTCCGGCAGCAGAGTACCTACGTTGGAGCACGTTGGATGGACCTAACAGCCCGACGAAGTCTTTCGAGCATATCCCTAGCAACGATGGCGAGCTGGACTTCGAGCTACATGATGAAACGTTGTCGGATGGGGGCTTCGAAGGCTTGGAGAACGTCCGTGCCTGCTGCGATGGTCGTCATACGGTCGGTAGATCTGGACGAATTGAACACCACCATCACCATAGTCACCCACATGACCATCCTCGAGAACCTTCACGGACGCGAGACCAACATCTAGATCCAAACCCTCAGGAAATTTCGAGACCTGTTTCGCCGGCTTGGTCATTCCGTTCTCGTGCAGGAAGTGCAACGTCGCATGATCGCGATGGTACGGGTTTCTTCTCTCGGTTTGGGTCGAGGCGTTCAACAAAGACAGCGATGTCTTCATCCACCACGCACTAGTAATGATTATCGATTAACATCTTCCATTTTGTTCTTGTGTCTATTTGTTCTGTTCCGTCTCTGCTTTTGGATGACTGCTCGAACGCTACTACATTCGTTTTTAATGACTCATTTTCTGTTTCATTTCTTCTCATTCTTGCGTAGACGATATGTATCTCCATTGTTTTGTGCAGTATGCACGATACGCTCCTTTCGTGCACGTTGTGCAGGTTATCCGAATATAATGCCAATTCACCTCGATCAGAAGATGGGACTCGGAATAACTCACTGAAATGAGAACAGCTTGCGGGACCTTGTGCACACACTCACATGCGGCGCTAGCCGCGCAACGGTTGGTTGAATGAGTCGAACATGGATCGGAACGTCTGCCTCATTGCATGCATACATACTCAAGGGTCATGATCTGTACCAGTAACCGTGGTGTATGAGTTCGCGTTCTATACCCCAACTGCTCTCATGCCTATGTTTTTCTGCATAGGCAAATTATAAACCGGCGAAGGCGAAATTGTCTCTACGGCGCCCGAAACCGTGAAGAAACATCGGCCGCGAATGGTCAATGACCTGCGGTAACTTTCTATTACACTTAGACCTTGTGGACCCGCATACATCTACCGGCACCATACGGAAGATGTCCGGCGTGCAAGGGGAGGGTGAAGGCGAACACGTCGTTCGCGTCCTCATCATGGAGGCGCTGACGACTCCGACGACACTGCAGCCGCAAACATTCATGTCGGCATGGCCGGAGATTGTTGTATGTATGTACTTGCAGTGTGTTTCCTCAGACACCCTCATTTATTTTGTCCACATGTCATTACTTCTTGTAGGAATGCGTTGTGCAGCATTCAAGTGAAGCGAATGTGACGTGTGGTCAGATTAAGAAAACTAAGACAGTATACGGCGTTCTCAATGACTGGGACTTTGCCTTACTCCGTAGCATTCATGGCGCTGCCAGTGGACCTTCCCTATTCAAGTTTGGAACATTGGCAAGGACACATAACGCGTCTCTACAGGCACGACCTGGAGTCATTCATTTGGCTCCTTCCATGGGCTGCTCTGAACTATCCCGAGTGTTTGCGTATAGATCCGCTGCATCCTCTTCTCCGACCATGGGTCACTGGTAACTACGAGACTTGCTTCAGAAAGAAATGCGTATTTCTTTCCAACGTCCCTAATTTTGACGGCTCCTGGGAGAAGTTGGACCACGTCATTTTCTCTTTGCTGAAATGGACCAGGAATGAGTTTAATGATCGGCGGGATGCTGCGATGGAGGCATGCCACAGTCTCCGCGGGCGCGAGAAGAAAGTCTGGGTGGAAAAACTCGATTGCCAAGTCTTCGGAGATATCATGGAGACCATTGAGAGTGCACTGGAGGATATGAACTGTGGCGCCGTTTCGACATCCACGTATCATTTGTTGACGACCCCAGAAGAGTTTACGGCAATTCAAGCCAGTCACGCAGTTTCAACTAACACCCTGGCAGTCACGACCACTGGCAGCACCCCGCCTGATGGGCCGGCACCGATTTGAGCTCACTTAGCTCTGATTCGGACGGCCCTCCCAGTATCCATGAACACTCTCCTACCTCCTCAATAACTGCAATCTCAAGGCACTGGAATGGACGATGTGTTTGGACCTACTTACTGACCGGGCACGTCAATCGTCTTTATGGATTCGTAAGAAGAATCTGGACCCGAAGGTCAGGACTGCATGACTGAGAATTGGGGTGGCTGTATAAATGTCAAGTCACCTTAGTACCGCCATTGCCATGATGACGAGTTCTGGTCCATGAGATTCTTCGTGATCTTCGCAGACCGGCAGATCAACGTGAAGATGATAATTGAAATCGTGAGAAACAATAACAAACGCACTTGCACATTGTGGCCAGTTGTGGCAGTGTTCATCAACTCCGTTCCTGAACTCCCTCACTTGTTTCAGTCGCGGTGAGTGCCACTCGAATTTTTCGCTCAGGGTGTTCGCAGGATTGAACAACATAATCTCACCTCAATATGGCGGGACGACAGCTAACTAGTTCAGATTCTAGCTCCCGTGTTCACGATTCAGTACAAGCCATGAATGAGACTAGTGTCAATTCAGTTATTTCCACCCCTCCCGTTGAGTACGTCCTATTTGATACGTTGTCAATATGGATATCTACTGAGACTTCCTAAGTTTTACTCAACTAGATCAGCTTTGCATGACCCGTGATCCGCATATCATGTGTCGCGTCCAACACGCAGTTCAAATCGCGATGGAGCAGCGCAAACTCCAAATTGCTGAAATCGCGGAACGTTGGAACGCTCTCGTCCCTGTCCATCGCCTACCTATGGAGTTATTGGAAAGGATCTTCCTGCTCGTGAGGGATGAATGGTTCCTGGCATCTTTGGACGTCACTTCTCCGGATCGCAAATCACGATTACCGCCTTATGCTTGGATCAAGTTTTCCCATGTTTGCCGGCATTGGAGACGAGTCTCTTTGCAATACACGCCGTTGTGGAATTGGATCGCATTCCTTGAGTCACATACACCTCTGGCTGCAATCCAGGAAATGGTACTCCGCTCCGGTCAAGTACCATTACTTGTTGGAGGCATCGTTGATACCTGGGACACTGTCGACTTTACTCTGAAGTACTTGCGGGGCGCGACCGATCGCATATGCTCCCTACACGTTGATGCAGCATCCCATTGCGTTGCACAGTTGGACAATCAGATGAAGTCGTTGGTCGAAGAGTTCCCTGAAATTTGGTCCTCCTTGCGATCGTTGACATTGGTTGAACGTAGGACTCAATTCCAGAACAGGCTTTCTACCTTCCATTATTTCCCTGACCATTTGGAACGACTCAGTTTGGATACCATATTCCTTGACGTCAAGGATCTCGCTCCTCTCCGCATGACATTACGACACCTGTCCCTTTACAATGTCTCCGTTTGGCCCTCGTTATCTTCCTTCTTGGATGTACTCACGAAAACGCCACTGTTAGAGACACTTCTCGTTGAATTGAAAGCCCCACTGGACCTTGCTAATACCACAAATGAAGTACATGACGTCGTCCCATTACATCACCTCCAATTGCTGGACATACGCGGACTCTCCTTCTGTACAGCATATGTGCTGGAACACATCCAATACCCTCCTACGGCTACCTTGCGGCTTGACACAGACTTTTATTACCCTGGACGACAGCACACTTGCGAATCTGATTTGAAAGGCATTCTGCGTCGCGTTCCTATGTCTTCTTCGTTCACTAACGACGACGTTCAACCGGTACCCGCTGGGAGCATCCGGATTGATGCAAAGGATGTATCTTCTTTCGTGCGTGGGATGCTGCGTACCCGACTAGTGCTTTGATGAATCTTACCCCCAAATTTGAGTTCAAGTCCAATGGGCCTCCAGTCGCTAGAATCGTCCTTAAACTCATCAAGAACCTTCATTTTCGGCAGCTGCGATCGCTTCGGTTGGACGGCTTTGCTATACTTCCTGATCGCATACATTTACGAGATTCTGAATGCACGATGTGGGATTTGCAATGCCAAGCGTTGAAAGAAAGCGGATCCCTCACTGGGTTGACCTCTTTGCACCTTTCTCGCACTTCTATCAAGATGGCGACGGAACTCATTGATCAAGCTCCTCAATTGCAGACACTCTTCTTAGAGAACATCTCATTTCTCCCTACAGATCTATCGCGGATATCGACGCCCAGTTCCTCAAATACCGAACACACCGAGTTGTTCATTTGGGTATTGGGTAATAGGAAACGAGCAGGTACCCCCATTCACCTGCTTACGATCAAATCGCCGCAAGAACTGCATGCTGACGAGGTCGCGGAGATGCATTCGGTGGTTAAGGAACTCGATTGTGACCTGCCAGCATGAACGTTACGTAGACAACCGTGGATCTTGCAGAATTTCCTTTCTAATTTGTGGTATATTTGATTATCTTTTGAGTGTGTCACTGTGAACTTTTATATCTCGTACTCTTCACAACTTTGATTTGCAACTCACGTACCTAGACATACCGATTATGCTACTTACCAATAATATTTTTTTCTGTGACATCTACTTATTGCGACTGAGGTTCAGTGCGAACCACACAAGCTGCCAAAAGCGTTGACCTCGGCAGACCCCGCACGCTGTCGGAAGTCGGAGCGCTTGAGCTCATCGTTGGACCCAGTGAAGTCGAGTCTCGGGAACACCATGGTCGCCCGCTCTCTCCTTGCTCATCGTCTCAGACACCATGTAGCATCGGCCAGGTTTATTCGAACAGTCTCTACCGCACCTAAACCTGCGCCAAAACCTGCACCAGTCACTGGTCCAACCACGCCATATTCACATCAAAAGCCACCTCCACCTCCGCAAACATGGCTCACGAAGGTGCTCAGAGAGAACCCAACGGCTATGCGGGCTTTTCTTAGAATCTCAAGTCTGCTAGGTTATGGTAGCAAGAAGCAGCTAGCTGGGAGACGGGCACTGGCTATGTATGAGCTTTTGTGTACACGTAGGGCGGATGAAGAGAAGGACTTTTGGCAGGACGGTGAGTGCTTAGGTTGCTTTGTGTTTTGGGACTCTCTATTGTTTTATTAGCCAAAGTCGAACTTTGACAGTTCATCAGAACGCGTATCCTCCCGTTGTGGACATTAAGTGCGCGGCTAATGTACTATTTGCATCAGCCTACTATGTCTTGCATATGTTTTTCATTTCATGGGTATCAACATCGAAATACTTATATGCCAGTCAAGCTTCATTGTTTTGTGTTCAGTCCCGTCTTGCGTTACAGGATCTCAGTCGAGCTGCACCACTAGCAGGCTATGTCTACCCATTATTTATGTTTCTCTTCCGCATCAACGGTGGTCGAACTGATTGAACAACACCTCTCTTACAGTCCATAGTCGCTGTCCAAATGCTTTTCTCCCGCTTTTCTCCATCTGCGCTGTTCCGAACGCTAATCATATTCTTATATAGAATGTCACCTTCCGCCGACCTTCCAGTCATGGTTCTCTGTCACGAATCTTCACATTTGGCTTCTGACAGTACGATTACGTGCATTACCCGATTCTCTCGCAAAACATCACATCCAAGGTCTAATAGACCACTTCTTCCTCGACGTCGAAGAGCGAGTTCGCGCCGTCCTTCAACCCGCAAACCCTAAAAGTCCTTCTACAACCCCCCCTCCAGCTCGAGATACCCCATTCACGTCCGCCTCAGCAAATTCGAACTTCTACACGATTGCTAATGGCAACGACCAAAAGCGACCAAAAGGACGCGCGCCGGAAAGACTTGTTACTCGACAGATGAAGATTCTCAAAGAACAGTGGGCTGGTCTCGGCGTTTCTATGGACCTTGGTCTCGTTAGAGGAGATGCGGAGATGGCGGGTGCCGTATGGCGAAATTTCCTTGGAGGTCGCGGGGCACGAGGGATCGTCTACCCGTCATCTCCGGCTGCCTCAGGACCCTACTTCCGACGTTCAGTTAACCTCGTTGGAGGATCGGTCGAGTCCGTGAAGAAAGTCGATAAGCAAGGCTTGGACGTAGAGGAAGCGAAGGATGATGGGAGTGGTGTGCATGACTATGCGCCGGCGGAAGCAGGTAAGTATGTCATGTACCCGGAACTTATGGTGGATGTTGTGGAGTATGTGAGGAGGGAGTTGAAGAGGCTGGAGGGGTTGAGTGATGAGGAGATTATGGGTCCTTTGTCTCTTGGAAGGGAACTAGAGGGGCTTGAGAAGTTGAGGTTTGGGAGGATCAAGCAATGAGCGATAGATTTGGTTATGCCTAAATTAGCATGAGCATCGTAATGGATTGTTATGCTTGCCTGGTACTACGGTATACTTGCGCTAGGATCGCTGAGAGCTGCAGCAGTTGCTGACGTTTTCATTGCAAGGTACGAATATTAACCAGAATGTGGTGCTCATTGTCTCCATACATCTGATCTACGCTCGATCTTTTTATTTCTAATAGAGTCAATGAATATCTTGTATGGGGCAGCAGACGAAATTGATAGAAGAGAAAAGAGAACTTGGAAAAGGACAGGTAGTTATAAGCCACAGCTGAGCGAAAACTCCTGCCAGCAGACTAAATTCAACCGAAATCAGTATTCAATATTGGCCATTCAGCCATTCAGCATTCCCTAGCCTTGTCGTATCAGAGAAAACAGGGAACACTGACCAAAATTTGTGTGACAATTGCACTCTATGTTGTAGGTGATGATAGAGGCAGTTGAGAGGATTATATTGAAAAGCGTCGAAGAGGCCTTGACCGTGACATTTTATACCCCAGCATCCATTTCAGTCGGTTGTGAACGACTGTCTTCCTCTACAGTGGCTGAAACGGAGTCTAAGTCGGTCGACTGAAACGCCAGTCTGAACGCCCTAGATGGCCTCATTTGAATGATGGTATCAAAAACACTTTCTGGTAACGATCTGACCATCCGCAGCATAAGAAGTGAACCGAGGACGATGTTGTACCAGGCCATGTCCTTCGTTACTCGCTACAACTCAAGCCTCTTGTAGGCGACTTTCCGTCAGGTTCTACACAAACGAACCAATCGACGGAGGGTGTACGTTTTATGAAACCGGCTTTGAACCAGAACGGTTTAAATGTCGTTGGCAGAAGACAAAGTTGAAGGGACAAAGATATATCAAGCGGCAAAGCCGCAATAGAGGATGCGACTGAAACGAATGCCCCGTTTTCGCGAGTCCGCAATGCTGCGATGCATGAAAGTATGAAGAATCCGGACGTCGGAATATGGACGATTGGTGGCATTCGAGCGGGATTACGAATTTAAGTAAACTGGGTCATGGAACACATGTTGAAACGCGTATTTCAAGAATAGATTTCATTCGAAATTGAACTGGAGGGTGTTTGTGTACCAAGTCCGTGGTGATTACACGGAGCCCGGTGTGGACAGAGACGTCGATGGTCGTGTCGAATTGTCATACGATGGATCAATCGGGAGTAGCAACGAAGCTCGTTTTTACGAGAAAACACCGTACTTCCACTTCCGGATGCAGAACTTCCTTTTATGGCAACTCTCTGTTCTGCGACACTGTATGATACGATGTGCGATGCCATCTCTCTTCTTGCTCTCCTGATGTATTTTCGATATTGTGAAGCTCCCAGTCGATAGAACAGCTCGAGGAAGTTTCTCGAAATGTATATATAAACCCTCTTGCAATCATCGTACTTTCCCCTCACTTCACAGCCTCAGGTCATTAGAGCAAGCACTGGATCCTAGTGTATTCCTTGTTACTGTTGCCTAGAACGAATAAATCTCTCACACCGGTCACTAGGGATAGACGACGTTTGGTATCATTGACGCGTGAAGCGAAGAGAATAGAGCACAGCCAACGAGGAAACGTGGCTATGGCAGAGAGAGGCAGGCGACCATTCCTGAAGGCAGCGACGTCACACAGCAGAGGACCGTAGAAGGGCAAGCCGGCGGAAGCGTGCGAGCTGCGATGGGATCTGGAGAGAGCGCCTGCGAGGTTGATATAAGCAAGGGCAGAGACCGGAGCTGGTAGCGCTGGTTGATGGCGTCCTCGCTCTACAACGTACGTCTCCCACTCCCAGTGCCACTCCCTCTTCTTCTCTGACTCTGACCTTCTCCCTACCAGAAACATCTTCCACCAGCTGTCCCTCCGTCTGCCTCTGCCGGTCCATCCATCATGGGCCCCGTCGGTGGCAGCTCTGCACAGCAAATCGTCCATAGCAGACTCAATGACTCGTTTGACAACATCAGACACGAGTTCGACTCGCTTGCTCAAGAGATTGCGCTCTTGCGTGGTCAGCGGGACGACTTTGAGAACAAAGGTCCGCATCCCTACTTTTTTGCATTTTCATTTTCATTAACCTTGGTGGCGCAGTCACATCCCAAGTGAACGAACTCAATATCATCCGCTCGTCCCTCTACGAACTTGAAACTCAACATACTAAAATTCGCACTCAATACAATGACGAGATCCGCCAACTCCGCGCAGAAATCGAGCATCTCCGTACCCAGCGGGATGGTCCCCCGCCACCCCGCGAAGGCATTGCCTCTCTCGGACGCAGTGATCGAGAGCGCGAACGCGAGCGTGAACGTGAAAGGGAATTGCTACTTGGAATCACTACAGGTGGCAGTCAATTGAGTGCAGTAGGACCTGGTGAAGGGAGGCCCCCTGGCGCCCCATCGTCTATCGGCCCTGCTGCACCAGGCGTAGCAAGAGGCGAAGCCGCAGGTCGCGAAACTCTCGGTCTCGGTCGTCCCCCTCTTCCACCTCACCAACAATCGCTTCCCCATACCACTCATACTGCTCACGCCGTCCATCAAATTCACGCCCAACCTCCTCCCCCAGGTCCTGGTCCCCCGTCTCAACTCCCTCCAGGCCCTTCAGGTCCCGGTGTGGCTCCTCCAGGTGCCGTCGACCCACATAACCCTCACCAGCACTTTCAAGGGCCCGGCGGGGTGGTACATCAGATAGGTCCTGCTGGAGGTGCACATGGAAACCAAATGAACCCACCTCTTGGTCTCGGAGTAGGCGGTGGTGAGCGCGATCGCGATCGTTCTGGGTATTACGACTATGCTCCCCCTGCCCCTGCTCCTCCGTCGGGACGTGGACCACCGTTGAGTGCAAGTGGCGATGTCGTGATGAGAGACGTCGGTCCACGCGCATCCATTTCGTCTATCGATAGGGACAGAGAGAGAGATGTGGTCATGCGGGATTCCTTTCGGGACTCGCGGGAGTCGAGGATAGATAGGGAGGGCAGATTGGAGAGACAAGATTCTTTACGCGAGCGTGATCTGCGAGAACGTGATCGCGAGCTTCGAGACGTGCCCATGCGGCTCGACTCTCGTGCGGACTTGAGTGAGAGGGATTTGCGAGAACGTGAACGAGAAAGGGAGATGAGAGAGGCGAGGCTTGAACGGTTCGGTGGGGAGAGGGAGCGTGCTCGAGAGTTGGATGCCATGAGAGAGAGAATGGAACCTCCGCCTCGGGGTCTTGATCGCGGTGAACGAGGTGATCGCGAAAGAGATGTGCGTGACGTTAGAGAAAGGGTGGAAAGAGACACGCGCGATATGAAGAGGATCAAAGTCGAACCGCCGCTTGGGCCACCCGGTGGTCCACCCACCATCGTTCCTGGGACGCCGGGGCGCGATGCGATTGAGGGTGTAGGTGGACAAGGGAGTCCTGGAAAGGAGAGGGAGAGGGAGAAGAGCGGAAGAAAAGGCGGTGGTGAGTGTCTTGTCACGTCTGGGAAAACAGCTATGTTTGCACCTTTTTCTTTTATGGCGGGCATTGTGTTGCGTGCAGCCTTTTTTTAATTCTCCTTTGCTTCATTACTTCCTTTACTTTTCTCTCTACTTCCGATCACTACTTCACAAATACTCACTAACCCGCCTTCCAGAACCGTACTCCCCAATCCAACCCTCTTCTTCTGCCCAGCCGCCCACGTCTCAACAACCTATCCCATTCGGTGCCAGCTCCGGTTTACCCTTGCCACCTACGCCCAACGGTCGGGATCGAGATCGAGCTGTAGGTGGAGAAGCACAAACGCCAAAGTTACCAATTGTGCCTGGTCCTCCGTATCCCTCTCCTCAAAGTGCAGGGACCGCGAATGGCGCCGGTTTAGGCGAAGGTGTGACTGCAGCTGGTCCCGCAAGTGCAGTCAATGGTCCTGAACCATATCCGCCGAAAGAACCAGTTGATGATGGTGGCCAAGGACAAACGGCCGTCGTCGGGCCAGGTGGACAGAGTGCACCTGCGGGTGCGGGTGCGTTGGTGGATTTGGGAGGCGTCGATCTGCATACTGTGCCTGAGGAGTTGAAGAGGGAGGGGAGTGATTGGTTCGCAGTGTTTAACCCCAATGCCGGTGAGTTGTGTCTACGTGTGTGGGTCGAGTTCGAAACTGATTTGTGGCAGATCCGACCAAACCTGACGGATCGGGGGCGACTGCACCGAAGAGAAACTTGGATGTGAATTTGGTACATACGCTTATGCATGAGAGGTACGCGCACCAGATGCTTTTATTGTCGGCTGAGTTTTATACATTCGTTTTCGTAGCGTGGTATGCTGTGTTCGTTTTTCGGCGGACGGCAAGTATCTTGCTACGGGATGTAATCGTACGGCACAGATCTACGATACCAAGACGGGTGCGAAGACTTGGTGAGTTTTTCCTCTCAACACACAGAATGTGTTGGGAATGTGTTTGCTGACGGCGTTCGTAGCGTATTGGTAGACGAGGATAGCACCAAGACGGGGGATCTGTACATTCGCAGCGTTTGTTTCAGCCCGGATGGCAAATTCCTCGCAACTGGGGCGGAGGATAAGCAGATCAGGGTGCGTGTCTTTTGTTGGCGTGCACGTCTCTCCTTGTAACATTATCTACGGACAGATATGGGACATCGCGAAACGCAAAATTTGCACGGTGTTTGAAGGCCATCAGCAAGAAATCTACTCGCTTGACTATTCAAAGAATGGTCGACTGATCGTGTCAGGTTCGGGAGATCGGACGGCTAGGATTTGGGATACGGTCGATGGGAGTACGAATAAGATCTGTATGTCGACCGCGTCTCCTTTGGGCTCCTTTCATCGGGAACTGATGTTTCTTTATCGCAGTGACCATCAACGAGGGAGAAGGTGACGCAGGCGTGACCTCAGTGTGTATCTCCCCGGACGGTCGATTCGTCGCGGCAGGATCTCTGGACACGATCGTCCGAATCTGGGACGTCCAAACTGGGGCGCTGGTGGAACGACTGAAAGGACATCGGGATAGCGTGTACAGCGTGGCGTTTACGCCTGATGGACAAGGACTCGTGAGCGGGTCTCTCGATAAGACGCTCAAGTACTGGGATCTGCGACCTATCCTGACTGGAACGGGACGTGGAGGTGCAGGTGGGGGCGCGAGTGGGGCTGTGGGGAAAGGTGGTGCGGGATTGACGAAGGAAGGAGGGGAGAAGGGAAGTCAGTGTACGATGAACTTTGTGGGACATAAGGATTATGTGCTGAGCGTGGCGGTGTCGCATGATGGACGGTGGGTGGTGAGTGGGTCGAAGGATCGGGGAGTGCAGTTTTGGGATGCGAAGACGGCGGTGGTGCAGTGTATGTTGCAGGGACATAAAAATTCTGGTGTGTACTTTTTGTTTGCGTTTTTTTTTGGAATTGGGAAGGTGTTGACGTGATTGGTTGTGGATAGTGATCTCGATCGACCTGAGTCCTGCGGGGAGCATCCTTGCTACGGGTAGTGGTGATTGGCAGGCCCGAATATGTGCGTCCTGGTCCTCTTCCGCACCCACTTTTGATTTATGATTCCACTCTGATTTTTGGGCTTTCCTTTTGTAGGGAGCTATTCTGCGCAATAAATCGACTTGCTGCTGTATCCCGTGTCGTCTGTTCTTGACTGCTTCCATCTCACGTTTTTGTATTGCATGTATCTGATAGCGAAACCTACCTAAAAGTGTACTGTTATCCCTCACTCGTATTCTCTCCTGCAGCCGTATCTCTCGTCGGTCGCGTTCTGTCCTCTCTCTCTCCTCTTTTGCTTGCTTTCTGAATGTTCGCGTCCATTCTTTTCTCACGATTATTTTTCTCCTCTCTTTTTCCTTCCTCCCTTTTTTCGTTTCTTTTTTTCCCCGTTTGTTTGTAGTTTTTGTCTCAATGCTCCTGTTCCATTGTCCCCCCTCCTCTCAGCTCCATATTTGCGTGTTTCTATCATTTTGTGCGTGTTATTACTGTAATTGATTCATGTAGACTCCTTTTCCTCGAGACGAAACAAGCTAATCCGTATACCCTCGCCGTTAAAGTCAACTTGAACCGTCAGTCTATCTTTTGTTCGACTTCGAGTTTATGACATGGATCAAAGGCGAGAGGATCCTTGGAGAGTGCTAGTGATCGTTGACGCCGCTGCTGGCATGCCTCGTCAATTCGGAAAAGACAAGTTAGTGTTGATTTACATAAGGACTAAGTATGTGCCTCATTCTCTTTTCCGTTTGCAAGAGACGAATCCAGTTTAAATTTCATTTATTTGATGCATCTGACACCTCTGCGCCTGGCGTGCGGAGATTGTGTTGCTGGATAAGACTCATGAGAAGATTATAGGGTTGCCTGTCAGAAACTTGCATGCCTTGACTAACTAGTACTGCTAGCTGTTGACAACACGGTAGCACTTCTTCCTCTGCAAGTGTCGGTTCACATCGGCTTTCTTTTTCTGTCGATCAAGGTGTACGCGATCGCGTGGAATGATAGACGCGTAACGAGTCAATAAACGTGAACTTTGAACATGGATCTAGTAACGCGACCGCCTCGGATCTCTGAAATCAAAGTGAAGTTCAATGCCAAAGAAGAATACGGACGTCTGTCACCTGTTGGCCACGGTACTCGTGTCTACAACGTGGAGTCGGTCGAAATGCCCAGATCACTGTAAGTCTCGGCGACATGGAGGTCTACGTATACTGGCCCAACAAATCCAGGACGAGCGACTCGGATATCGTTTCCTCCACACGCTCACTAGTCAACAAATATCAGCCAGACCTGATCGAGAATCTCCGCGTTGTGTATTACTCGTATGACTACGAAGGCTCTGAAACTTCGAGGATACGAGAGTCCGTAGGCTTGCCCATAAAAATAGTGAACGAGATGGTCGCTGGACGTGTCCTCCGGGATCACCTTATAGAACGACTGCAAAATATGATGACACTTCGGCCTCGCCTGTTCATGTCTGCGTGGTTGCAGATCGTTAAATGTACACTTTACTTTCTTTCCCGTGTGTCTCGCGGACTGACATTAGCAACCCAGGTCACTACTTCATCTGGGAGTGTGGTGTGCAACATTCCGATATCAGCGAAGGAAATGTCATGTATCGCTCCAAAGGCAATGGCATATATGGCGTTTTGAATGACTGGGATCTTGCCACAATACGGGACAGAAAAGATCATGGTGGTCTCGAACGGACGGGAAGTATGCCATTCATGTCCTTGCACCTACTCACCGAGGAATACTGGAATGGAGCTATCAAGCGACTCTACCGACATGAGTTGGAGTCTCTTATCTGGCTTCTGCCTTGGGTCGCCCTGAATTACTCCTCAGGCAAATATAGACTTAATAATAAGGTCAAGTACTGGATCACCGGGAATTACACTCTTTGTCGCGAAGACAAGGGTGATTTCCTTTCATTCCTCTGCGAATTCTGCACCGAGGGGTTATGGCAGGACATGAGACCGATTATTGGGAAACCCCTGAGTTGGCTGGTACGCTTTCGTGCGAACCATAACTTAACGTTAGTAGACAATCCAGGGGGATGGATCGAACCAGATAACCAGAGTCTCTACCATGAGATCATGGACATGGTTGTCGCAGTCATGGCGAGGTTCCCCGATATCTCAGTACCAGCTCCTCGAGAAGATATTCCGGTGGATTACAGACGTCCCCCGACCCCGCCCCTGCTCGCGATGATCTCGCTGCCCGGGTTGTGGAGAGTAGCCGGAGGGCTTTCGAAACCACAGACATATTTGATGAGGATACATGTGACGATTCGCAAACAGATGACCCCCGACCCCCCTTTGAACAGGGATCCCCTCGTATGTCCCGATGTCTGTACACTGAGGGAGGATCAGGGATGCCGATTGCTACATTGATGAACGCAATATCAAGAGTACGCATGCAGAATCCAATGTACGAACCCGCTGCGTGGTTGAATCCGGAGACGAGCTCAACTTAGTATTTCAAGATATTGGCTTCCCGTAGTATGCAGGCTTGTATCGGTTTCTAACTTGTTAGAGAGGATATATATTGTATTTCTCTGTATACGAACGATTGTCTTTCTGGAGTATCTAGAGGCTGGAAGCGCCTGCTGTGTTTCCACCGTTGATCCTGAATTGAGCGCCCGTGACCTTGCTCATAACTCTCATCTTCGCAGCTCCATATTTGCTTTTTCTTACTTCCTCTTTGACCTGTTCCCAGAACGTAGACTGTGCCATGTTACACGGTGAGAATGGTCTTGATATACTTCTCTGAATGAGCTCGAGCAGTCTGGAAATAGGACTTGCAGCATATGGCGACGATTCTGACTCTGAAGACCGTCACGATCGTGGAACCCTCCCTTCAATTAGTACCGCGAATACGAGTCAATTGCGGAAAGGCAAGAGCAGAGCGACTAGACTTGATGTGAGAGTTCTTCATCGCCACTTCCATTCCACCTCGTTTCCCTTCTTTGCTGGCTTGTTTCTTTTCGAATGGCCTAGGATGCTGGTGTGAGAGAGGACTCTGACAAAGATTCAGGACGTGCGTATCTCTGGTTTCTGGGTTTCTTGCTGTTTGTCTGAACACCTTTTTATCTTCGTTCATGTAGCAAGTATATCGCAAGTCATAATCAAACGTCCCTCAAACGTGAAGAAATTACGTCCTCGCCCTCGATCGAGACTAGATGACGATGATCCAGGTTCAAGTTCCCCATCTGGCTCAGCCTCTAGAAGTCAAACTTCTCAAGGTCAGGACTATTCAATGCAAGACCAAGAGGTCCACCAATCGGTCGACATGCCGGAACACTTTGACGACGAACCAGATCAGGGGACGGACGAGCTCAACAGGATTAGGGCATTGTTGAGACCTCCGCCTATCCTAGGTATTCAGGACTGGGGGATCCCACCAGAGCCATTGGGCGAATGTGATCCTGAGATTGAGGTGTGTTTTTATATGCTTCTCGTTATAATTGCGGGTACCGCTTCCTCGCCATTTCCCCCTCAACTCCCTTGTTTGCCAATCTGCATGCTTATGCTTTGAAACGCAGGCAAAACTCGCGCAATTCCATGCCCTCAAACGAGACCCAGTCAATCCCAAGCACTTCAATGATTCCCTTATGTCTAATCGCTCATTCAGGAATCCACACTTGTATGCAAAACTCGTGGAGTTCGTGGATGTGGATGAGCGGACGACAAATTTTCCCAAGGCCCTTTGGGATCCGTGGGATGTCAATGAAGAATGGTTCGCTGATCAGATTGGTGAGTGGAACATCAATGATTGCACCAGACGGGATTGTATATTGACCAAACCTGTTTATCGTTCTGTACGATACTTCAACAGCTGAATACCAAAGGTCTCGTGCAGAGCAACAAGCAATCACACAAGCACAGAGCGCAGGGAAACGATCACATCTGGACTTTACATCGGGTTCTTCTAGTGCCACCCTGTCTCAGTCTTTGCCTTATGCGCGTCCTACACCGGCAGCCTCCTACTTTGACCACGGCAGTGCGAAAAAGGGTCGGTATCAGTCCAGTTCGTCGCATGGAAACGGTTCTGGCAGCGGAGGTAGTGGAGGGAGAGGGAGAGTTCTAGGTAGTGGTTCTGGGAGGGGAAGGTTGGGAGGGAGCTGGAGGTAACTTCGGTAACTTTTCCCTCTGGCTACTAGTCTCCATACTTTGTCGTTGACTATCGCCGATACCGTATTCATGTCACCTTGACGCGATGTATCGCTATGACAGCGGCGTTTCTCTTGAAGATGCTTCTTGTCCCAATTTGCCTAGAATTTGCCGAACCATGACTTTCGTTCTCAACTTCCTTTTTCTACTTAGCGTGCCTGCGTGCGACGCTGCTACTACCACTCTAAAGCCCAGAAGCTTTGAGCTGGGAATAAGAACTGAATGGTTGCCACAATCTGCCACGTTATTTCAACTTGTCTATTTCTATTAGGTCCTACTGTGTGAGCTGGTGTGCGGCTCAGCGAAGTCTTAACTTGAAGGTTATTTATGGGCACGGTGGGCCGCCGCAGGGCTTCCTTCCGTGTCATCGTGGATCACCGGATAGGTAAGCTTTATGCCAGCATGAGAAGCGGACATTCGTAAAGAGCATACGGAAGGCGGCCGCTCGAACAAGAAAGGGTCGGAGGGTACCTATCACGACAGCTTGGTATATTCACAAAAGTTGGAACATAATCAGGTACGTCAATAGTAGATCGAGAGCGGAGAGACGATATATTTCACAATGAACGGATGTGCTCTGTAATCGAGCCTTGGTGCTATAAAACACATAATTGAGGGTGTGAAGTAAAACAGAGTAGGTCGTTAAGTCATGATCATAAAGCGGCGACATTGGGCGAGTTGATGACAGTGGGAGTATTTGCCTTGGGACTGGGTTAAATCCAGCTGCGAAGAACCCGAAGCTGAATCGGATGAAAATCAGCTATCACCACTAAAGCCCTACGAGATGAAATCTATCAGTGTACGGGTTGGACAAACAGAGCAAGGTGATTTACGAAAGGGAGAGGGGTCGAAGGACGAGGAGGTATTTTGCACCGTTCGGTTGCACCAAAAGATGATAAGTCCAACCCAGTTGAGTCATCTAACTTCGACGATTTGTAGGCATTCATCTCCATGAAAGTTGTGGAGACCTTGAGAGGGGTGGCAGGAGGAGTCATAGGCGGCGTGTTGAAGCCCCGCATAGATGGCGACCGCTTACGCGGAGATGTAGAGGGCGAGGTCTGGCGAAGTGGAAAGGACGGTACATCTTCTTTGATTGGTCGTATTAGTTGAGACTGCAAAAAGCGAATGGTGCGCTGACATTTCGACGTGAGCAAGACTTTGGGAATAGACGAGACGGATAGGACAGACCTCATAGGCATATTCTTCTCCGGTAAGACGCGCAATTTCGTACTGCGCTCTTAAATTATATATAATCTCCTGATGAGAGCATAAGTCATGGAATGGTAGAAAATCAACAGATGTGGCCTACATGAAGGGTATCGATGTCATTCTCAAGGAACCGGCGGTAATCCTCCCATTCCTCCAGACGTATCTAGAAATAGTCTTCTAAGTGGCGCTATTAGTTAATATGAAACAAAATAGTACCGACCTCCATTCGCCTCTGACAAGCTTCGAGCTCGGCGGTCTGAATCTTGAGACGCCGTTCAGTCTGAATATGATCTTGAAGGATCTTCTCAATTTCTACCTCCGCAAAATCAACCATCTCCTGCCGTTCCTGGGCTTGTTTTTGAAGCTCCTGGACTTTAACATGCATAGCAGCAACCTCCTTTCTCAAGATGTCTTGTTCCTTGTTGATTTGCTCATTGACTGCAGTCAGATAGTCTAAGCTGAGAGTTGTCGAGTTCTGGGCAATATTGATTGCCTTGGACGAGATTGCAGAAGCGACGCGTGGAAGCTGTGGATGTGCTGGTCGAGAACCAGCCTCAACCAACCCCTCGCCACCGGAACAGCCTTCGACATCTTCTGGCTCCCGGACTTCCAATATGGTAGTCAGAGATTCTGTCGTACACTTATTACTTCCGGGAGGCGGCAAAAACTGTAGGAGTAAGTAAGGATGCTATACATGATGCACTCCGAAGTTCAACTTACTGTAGTCACGGTGCCGTACTCGGTGTGGAAGCACATACGTCGTTCATGAATATAACGCGTCAGTACAGTTTCATCTGAGTATTGGGAAGCCATCCCAGTCTAAGTGGAAAAGGAGCGTATATAAGAATATACGCCGCGTCAAATGAAGAAGAACACGCGCACCTCAGGTTGAGACTCAAACGTAAGGCGTCCAGCCATACGAGACACAAGCATCATCATTTCTATTGAAGAAATGACAGTGATTACGAAAAGAACTTAGTGCAAGGCTGAAGGGGAGTCCAGAAGACAAATGTGGTTAATGGCCAGTATTTAAGTATCCATGCCTGACAAAGAGGCTCAATAACATGCTAAAATGGCCAAAGGGGACTTCTTTGATATTTCATGTCTAGTGGGTCCAAGCTCATATTTAGGCGGTGGCAACAGTGGCATTCCGGTGCAACCTATAAGGTACCGAGTATGCAACGCAATGCGTATTATATGGTGCGAATCCGAGAGAGCACTTGGAGCGCAGTGAGTAGGTCAAATCAGAAGTTGAAGCCATTATAACATTTGGCGCAAGCGCGCCAATCCCTCTTCCAAGTTCACGAAGCATGACAGCGGTGAGTAGGTTCGCAATGACATAGTACACAAATTTGCAGATCTTAAAATTCGCCCCTACCCTAAAATCGGTACACTGTCGGGTACGAGGTCACACAAGGCACAAAGGTATGCAAATTTCACAGGTAAAACCTGTTGATTCATGAAGGCTATTGTTGTGAGCAGCGGTCTGACTTTACTGATCCATGAGAAAATTACGAGAGCGACACGTTTAGTTCTATAAAAGATTTTCTCTACACTTTTGCGGCGGAGGATGATAGATGAACTTGTAGGTTCCCGATTGGCTTGACTTTGGCAATGACACACTGACAGTCGTCATCAAAGCAACTCATCCATTACCTCGGCTGCTGGGTTCCATGGAGGAAACCACTTAAACATGGTCTGTTTTCTAGTATTCGGATGCAATGTGTAGCTGTTGACCTTCGATACATCCATGACGACCTAAGTTACAACTCGGCAACGGTGGACTCAACTTCAAGGAAGTGGAGCCTCACTGTTTGTTGAGTATATAAGGTTAGGAAACATCGCTTGTTATGCGTGTGAGGTCACGTACTTACGAGTACAAATCGCTCGCGATGTCATTGTTCTCGTTCCGTTTCTTCAGCTTTTCCATTTTTGGAGCTTCAAGACCAAGAAAAGGCAGGGTATTGCGACTCTCGGCACGGCCCGCGCCGGTGACGTATTTACTTTGACAGACCGATTCCTCGTTTTCCACCTCTTGTAAGTGCCAAGGTGCTAGTCCAATACTTTGATTTTAGAGACAGATGTCTGAGAAAGCCTCATATGACATTCCGACCCCTCACGGAGGTTATCATTCCCGTGGGGGCGAATCCGAGTCGTTAGGGCTCACTCATACCCCAAGACGTGCTTCAGCTTTGAACACAATAGTAGCTTCTGTCGCATTGTTATTCATCCTTGTTTCGCAGGTTTGGTCAACATACTGGAGATTCAAACTGCCCCCTTTAGAGCATGTTCCTTCCAACGGCTCTGAAGGAGTCGCTCGTTTACCATGTACGTTTTGCACTTTGTCTCTTGGCACTGTGGTTCTCTGATACTGCAACAGTTATGGGTTTTAACAGTATGTGGGCTACATTCTACTGCATTCATCTTTCATGCCAATCTTTCTGGATATGTTGTGTAGCCTGGAATGCATACCATGTACGTTCGTTCAGGGAAGAAGGTCCATATTGGACATAGTATCTGATGAAACACAGTGCGACATCAATGAGTCCATTATCGTCGAGAATGCACGTCTCATGGAGACTCTTGGGTTGCTGGTATGTCTCTACCTATATGCTATGCAGTCCGTTCATCTGACTGCAGTTCGACGGTCTCAGGGCGCTGGATACAATTACATGAATATCGATGATTGCTACTCGGAAAAGAAGCGAAGTCCAGAAGGTGACATTGTTGCGCGTATGTATATGGCCACTTCGCATGAACTGCGTTAATGTTCAAGTTGATGAACCTTTTTCGGAAGACAAGACACGCTTTCCGTCAGGCATGAAAGCCTTGACGAATGAGATCCATCAGCTTGGAATGTAAGTCCGAAATCTTCGAGGTAGTTCTTGCTTGAACATTTGTCTTCTTTTTTTTTAGGAAAGCCGGAATCGTGAGTATCATATATTATCTCAAACAGCAACTCAAGTTCTAAGTATGCACACTCCAGTATGGCGACTCCGGATGGTTTACCTGCCAACTTTATCCAGGATCATTCCAGAATGAGCTACGGTATTATTCTTCCTCAACCATCCTGCGAACAGAAGCATTCTAAAACCTCAGCGTTGACGATCAGAGATGCACGATTATTTCAGTTAGAATGGGGCTTCGATCTGTTGAAGTGAGCACAAATCGCCGATTGATCTGTAAACATGTTGTTAATTTATTTTGGCCAGGTTCGACAATTGCGCAGGTACCGTCACTATTGACATTCATCTCATATTCCGTGACTACAAACTTTGTTACAGTTCCGTTCGACCATATCATACGAGAAGGTATCGTCGGTAGTGAGTACCGCCATTAGTGTCCCCGCCATCGCTTGACCCTAATCGTGCATTACCAGAGTACCAACGAATGGCAGATGCAATATCCCAAGTCTCGAAGGAACCTGGGAAACTTCCTATGGTATTTTCTTTGTGTCAATGGGGCAGGGTAAGTTTATAGCAACTCTTATCCATCAAGTAGCAACAGATTGACGCAAGCGTTACTGATGTAGGAGCAGCCATGGCTATGGGGGAAGAGGTTTAGCCAAAGTTGGAGGGTGCGTACTTAATCACCGGAATGTAGGCTTGTTCACATTGAGCCATTGTAGACGACGGGTGACATCGGTATGTGGTCACAATAGTGCTTGAGGCGCAGCGATCCATCTCTTTCTACTCGCAGAACCTACTTGGAGGAGCATAGCCAGCATCATAAATCAGTAAGTTTGGGTGCAGCGCAGATACCCAAACCTCACTGTCGAGATTCAGGAATTCGTTCATCACTTGGGCGTCTGACTTCTACGGTCATAATGATATGGATATCGTGAGTGTCAGCACGCTTTCGTTCCAAATCTGGTTGACATCGAAATGGACGGGCTAGCTTGAAGTGTAAGTAATTCAACTTTTCCAATCAACTCGTAGTCGACTAATGGGCATAGCGGCAATGGCGCCTTGACCTACGAAGAGGAGAAGGCACATTTTACAGCATGGGCACTGATGAAATCTCCACTACTCATCGGAGCCGACGTACGTTAGCTTCGAATATCAGGACTTCGTCTGCTTCATTTATTTACAACTGTTAAGCTGGCGAGTGTCTCTAAAGAGGCTCTTGAAATTTTGAAGAACGAGGATGTCATCGCCATCAACCAAGACCCTGTGGTCGGAACTGCAATTTCTCCTTTCAGATGGGGCATCAATGTAAGTACCGTTAACAATTTTAAAATCAACCTGATGGACTTGCTGTCCGCTTTTTCATAGCCCGATTGGGTTAGTAACGAAACCCATCCCGCACAGTACTGGAGTGATGAGAGCGCGAATGGGACTGTTTTCATGCTGGTAAGTTTCTGCCGGTGAGTAGCAGAGCGATCTTTGATGATGTTGGGATAGCTCAATACACTCGATGAACCGGCGGACATGTTCTTCAATCTCACTGAGTCGCCTTGGATTCGTGCCGGACGAAAATACTCTGTTCGCGTAAGTCTTCTGGTGTTTTGCTTTCTAAGTAGGAGAGCTGACAACGCTCGGAATTAATAAAGGATCTTTGGAGCCATAGTGAGAATGGCACAGCCATTCGAAATTTCACCGCGCAAGGTGTACCAGCCCATGGAGTGATCGCCTTGTTGCTGCGTGACGCTGGTGATGAACCTGAAGCTCTTGAACCCCCCTGCGTCAGACCTGAGTGGTGTATGGATCAGAACGGCACACTCATCGAGTCTGGTGTATCGAACTCGCATTTGGACCTCTGAGCTGTACAAATATGTTATCATCCTGTGTACTGTATTTATGACCGAATGTATTCTATTTTGCAGAGCACAATACGCATAAGAAAACGAAGCTGAATGCTCTTGTGGTTCGGCGCTGTGAGGAGACGAGATGGTAGACATGGCTTGGAAGCCTAATATAACTGGGAAAATATAGATACAATCGGAATGAGTCCTATCTGAGTCTAACTCTTACTGGATCTAGGTCTCTTCGCAACTGTTTGAACAAAATTGGTCCAGAAACGCGATCACGTGTAGTTCGCGTCGGAGGGAGTTTCCGGCGCTTCCGCCGCGGGCGAACTTTGAACCTGAACCTCTAGCCAGCCTCTGAAACCGCTCTCTGCTTCCCGCTTGCAACGGGTTGCTCACCTTCCCTTGCACGGTCGCAAGGGTTTTCCTACCTTCATTATTCGATATCCCAAGAATTCGATATAATACCCTCAAGCTCACACTGCATCTCACTCCCTATTCTGGCCCTCAAGTAATAACGCAACCGGCTGCGCGAAGATTGGACTCACACTCTTATGAATAATACAAGACATATTAATATTGTAACCCGTCTGAGACCTCCTATTACCAACGAGGTAAACGATGACGGCGTGCGAGTGACTCGAGAAGGGGACAGGCATTTCATCTCGGTGAACAACCCCCGAGATTTGACTCAGGTTTTCAAGTATCCGTAAGTGCTACAGTTTGCATTGTCGCACGTGATAATGACACGACATATGTGGTTTCTCTAGCTTTTCCTCGTGTTATGATCAAGATTCCACACAGCAGGAAATCTTTGACAATGAGGTTGAACCTATGACTGAGGATGTCTATGCAGGACTTGTGCGTGACTTCACCTAAGTCACCGACTTAAATTAACTTGAGTTTTGCTAGACCGTCACCATTTTTGCTTACGGTGTAACATCATCAGGCAAGACTCATACTATGCAAGGAACAAAGTCCGACCCTGGGATCATTCCTAGAGCTGTTGAGGTCAGTCATGACATCTTCCCCCGTCGGCACCAATATACTGAACTTCATCCAGTCGTTATTCCAGAGAAAACGTAAACAGGCTAATGTCACACTCGCCATTTCGTACATGGAAATTTACAAGGATGAAGTCTATGACCTGCTCATCGATCGCGAGAACGTACGGGATAGCCATTGTGCAGTACCGGAATGAACTGAACGTTTTACATAACAGGCACCCAAACTCCCAGTCCGCGAAAACGGAGCAGGTCAAGTCTTCGTTGCGAACCTCTCTTCACAAGTGGTCGACAGAGTGGAAGAATTTCATCAGATATACTCGTAAGTATGCAGGTGTTGGAATCAGAACCTATGCCTGACCTTGGACTTTCTATACAAATAGAGAGGCGACGTTGCGACGGTCGGTGGCTTCCACTAACTTGAACAGAGCGTCATCACGTTCGCATGCCATCCTCACCATCACCGTCACCATTTCTGATCCAACTCTAGGGAAAGGTAATTATCTCCATATGTGTTTTAAGATCTCTGAGGGCGACATATGTTTTCAGCTCTTTCAGGAAAGCTCAATCTGGTTGACCTCGCCGGATCAGAGAACAACAAAGTAAAATCCTCTCGCTTTGCTTCAAGGTTATTGTACTCACGCCTGAAACAGCTCACTGGAAATGACCCGTCTCGTATGGCTGAATCCTCGGCTATCAACAAGTCTCTGAGCGTGCTTGGACAAGTTGTTCATGCCCTAAACCAGGGTGCCGTATGTTACATTCTATTTAGTATATCCGCAAGAATAATTGACCGGACTTGGCTTCGATCAAATAGAGTCGAATTCCGTATCGCAACTCCAAGCTTACCCGTATTCTTCAAGATGCTTTGGGTGGCTCTTCAGTGGGCTTGCTCATTTGTAACATTGCACCAGCGCCCAAATACCGTCAAGACACGCTCAACACGTTGAAGTAATCCCTCTTCCCTTCTCTTTCTGAATACATGTTATTCACATGCGATTATTCCGAAGCTTCGCAACCCGAACAAGGAATATTGAGAATAAGCCTGTCATCAATGAGAAGGGTGGGCTCGATCGATGGTTTACGGCGATCGCGTTCACTGATCGAAAGGATCTACATGTCAGACCTGAAGCCTGCCCCTAAGCCGCCTATGTCGAGGCGTTTACCTCAAGCTCCTGCACGCCGACCATCCGAAGTGCCTTCAGGTCTCACCAGCCGCATTGCTCGTCCATCTCTTACCCATGGACCTTCACGGTCCTCCCTGCCGTCTTCCACAATCCACTCTGAACCCGTGACCGTAAACGTGAACATACCTCCTCAAAATCCACCTCCGGCACCCGGGTTGACAGAAGAAGAAATCGACGCGAGGATTGCGAAAGCTGTTGAAACTGAAGTTGCAAGACGACTCGCGGAGCACGAGAAACAGAAGGCAATTGAAACGGAGAGCAGAGTCAGCCTCGAAGAAGGTCCATCAAATAGTTCGCAAAAGAGCCCTGTTGTAGAAGATCCTTCATCGCACATTGGTCATATGTCTGTGGACGAAGACCTAAGGCAAAGGCTGGCTGAACTCGAACAGAAGTTGTATGTCTTTACAATCTTTGTCTGGATCATGCTCCCATTGATTCACTCGCATCCTGCCAGTGAGACCGGGAACTCCGAGCTTCGAATGGTCAGCGATCTATCACCGGCTTCTAGGAAGAGGACGGGCAGGGCGTACGTCGCGCTTGCCCGGGCGCAATCAGAGAAGTATATAATTGCCCACGGCCTATCTCACCTAGCTGACATCAATAATATCTAGGAACAACCTGGCATTGGCTCTGGAACTGTACCGCAAAGCAGAAGCCTACGTACCGGACAATGTCAAACTGAAAGAGAGGTGGATACTCTTTGTTGTTCATGTGTTTCTGAATAAGCTTTCGGCAAAGAAACGCTGATTGTATTTCTGTTCTGATTCGTTGCGTCACCTTTCAATGCAATGAATTTCTGCAGGATTATCGAGATTGAATGGGCCGTCAAGAACGGTAAACCCTTCAAGCCATCCCCTAAGAAGCCGAGGAAAAAGAAGACCAAGAAGACGGCGGCAGCGGAAAAGAGCAGAGCGACTGGCAGTGAATCTGTCTTGCAGGATTCTCGAGATGAGAACAATGCACCGCCAGTCTTTGGTTCATCATTACTGGTAGGCTCGACCACTGCGTCGTTCAAACGACAGGCTGAAGGGAGCGAGATCTGGGAAACGCCGAAGAGAAGGTATAAGAAGATCAGAGCTTCGATCGAGCAGGAAGATGACGATGAATAACTCACGAGTCTTCGAACGTTACGTTGGTTGACGTCTTGTATGTACATATAGTTATACCCGTGTACGTCTTTTCATCTTCTTGGTCTAGCATGCGCCTCGTTACTGTTGTAAACTGAAATTAAAAGTGTCTTGCATTTGTGGATGTGCTGGGCCGCATCAACAAGCAATTGGAGAAGAGGCAACAGGGCTCTAAAGTTCTAACTGATAATGATACAAAACTGTCTCGGCAAGTACTGTTGGCTACAAGTGAAGGGTGCAGGGGTATGAGAAAGCTGTTGAAAGCTGACGAAGGGAGATTTATAACTATGCTACAAAGTCAGGTGGAAATTGGGCTCGTAATTGCTTGTCAAATAACGAAAATTTAGGACGGGGGATATGAGAAAAACCAAACTGTTATCCTGAGAAGCGGCTAGCACGACTGCTAGTGGGCGATTGACTGTGACGTTGTGAAGTTGCAATATTAGGGAGTGTCTGTCTATCAGACGGGTTGTTATAGAGTAGAGCTCGCGGCAACCCTATAGTAGGACGAGCAGGAGGCGGGACTAGTCCTGCGAGAAAGTCGGGAAAGGCAGAATTGAGGAAGACTGCGCCAACGAGTAGGGAGTGCGAGGCTCTGGTTGAGAAGATAATTATTCCGCCGCCGGAGAGTCTATCTGGCAGGTTCCATGGCGCTATCGCTATCTATTAAGAAGATCATCGTCAGCTATGATATCAGTGGAATCCTGGCCAACTTACGAATTGATTCTCAGCCAGCATTGTAGCGAAGGTTTCGAAATTGGCCTGGTTCCTTCTGTGAGTGTCTTGATCCGATAGCCGATCTGGCATAAACATGCAAATAGGGGGCACGTTTGTCTTTGCCCATGCCTGCATTTCCTGGAGCAGAGGTCTCTGGCTGATGGTCTGAACGACGAACCGAGTGGGCCAGACATCCACTTGGCTGCTTTGCGTAATGCCATGTGAGTACCGAATTAGGGGTATTTCGACTTGGGAGCGACCTACTTGTCGCCTTCAGTTTCAGCCGCGGTGCAACGCAATTCTTGCGGGGCGCTCGAAGGAGAACCGGACGTAGGGAGGATGAGAGTACCTCTCCATGGTCGAGTCTGTGGCACTTGTTCTCTGGGTGGAGGGATGAAAGTTTCGAGATGGGTGGGAAGGCGGAACATCTTGGTCTGGGAACTGAGAAACGCTGTGGCGGTGGATTGGCCTTTAACTGTTCTTTGACCTCGGCCCACATCATCCCTAACCAAGACTACGCCAACGGAAAGCAATAGTAATGGTTGCGATCGACCGTGGACGATCTCCAGATTTGACAATTCTGTGTGCGTGTAGAGCTTCCACAGAGCTCGGGAGAAGGAATCAGTCACAGGGGGTTTTGCAGCAATCGCGATTTGAGGCTTACCGATTGTCAAGGTACAGTAGAGCTTATCGTCTATGGGCTTGAGAGGATGGAGTAGTTGAAGTCAACGTTGGTGAGTTGCACATTGCACCAGAGGCCCGAGATCCCCGCAAACCATGACAACTGTGGGTCCCCTCAGAAAACAAAGTCTCCAACAGGATTTTCCGGAGCTCAGAGCATGGAAGTATTCCGTCACGGCAGCTGTTCTCAGTTTCCCTTTGACAGCCCAGGGCGCACAGGTTTATGCCTCGTACCGTCTGGATAAAGTCAAGCCTCATACTATAAGTCTTTGAACTGCCATGTCAGAATCAGCAGTGGCTCATACATGCATTGAGTCTTGAATTAATATTTTCTACAAAAATCCCAATCTAGTCTTCTCGATCATTCCCGCTGTCACCAAGACCACGTTGGCATGACCTTTCTAGGTATGCAAAATAAAGTTGACAGTTCGTTCTCCTTCCTTAGGCGCATCTCTGCTTCGGTAGCCTGGTTCATGTATAAAGTTGAAATAAGATCCCATTCCGAATTCCTCCCTTCGGAACGAAGCACTCTGAGAAGCACATGTTTGACATTGCTAACGGCATATTTAGGAGACTGAAGCATATTCACCTATCTTGATCTTCATGGAGAAAATGAACCACGATAATGGTCTCATCGAAGACATCATTTCAACCGGCATGAAGCAATTCACCTTTGAGCCACATTCGCTATTGGTACCTTGGTGACAGTTCGAGACCGAGTTCAGACACTACTCACAACTGCCTGCCGCCGCGATCGTATACGCGTACGAACTGCGATGAGCGAGTCTGAAGTTGATTACTTGCTATTGAACTTCTCTAAGATAATCCCGCAATGGCTCTCCGAATGATCCTCCATGTGTCGGCGACGTGGTAGAGAAAGCCCCTCAAGATACGCCCTCCGACCGAGGGTCCGTTGCAATGACAATCCCGACGGAAGAGCACCTCCTCGAGAACCGTCAGAAAGTGTTCGTAATTGCCAAGGCAATGGAATTCGGTTGCTCACTTTTTTGTTCAATCTGGAAGTCCATTCATGGGTTTTCCACGCCGCAACATACGGCTTTTACATTAACGTTCTCCGATAGCCTAACTGGGAGAGTTCGGAGTCACGAGTACTAACAACCAGGTACACCGGGAATCCCTCATGGCGACGCATCTTAAATTTTATGGAGATAATTTCATTGAAGCTTTGTATGTACATCCTAACGTAACCCTATGAGATCGTGATTATGAATGATAGCAGATCAACGTTACATCATTTGGCATGATCAATCGTAGTAGTAAAGTGGCATGAAGAATGGAGGTATCGCAGAAGCTCAGGACTGGGTAGGAGCAGCCGCCCTAGATACAACCGAACTTCGAGCGTGAGGCATGAAAGATGAGTTAATAGAAGCAACCTGGGCCAGTTACGTTGTTGTTAGTAAAGTTATGATTGACTAACTCATGTCGACGTACCTTATCGTCCAGCTCGGCCAAGGTATCAAGTTGCACTTGACGTAATCGGGAATAACTTTCCCGAATGGCGGCAATGGTAGCTTCATGGTGAGTTTTGGCTTTATGCAGTTCTTCAATTTCTTCTTCTGCCCCTCGAGCACGTGTGGATACAACTTCAAGATCCCGTTCGAGACTCGCAACCAGGGCGCTCTGTGAATCCACGGTAGAGCGGAGCATCGCGACTTCGTCCCTCGCCGCATGCAACTGTGATGAGAGACTTTCCTTATCATTCTGCATAGCTTGCAACTGCTCCAGGGTATCCCGAAGAGAATCTTCGACGGATCGGAAAGATGCTTGTAATGAGGCCAGTTTTACGTCCCGGTCTGAGATTTCACTCGAATGCTGCCTTTCCAATTCTTGAAGTTTGTTCCTGAGCGCCACCTCCTTCTCGTGCATGGCGACAAGGTCTGCTTGGAGGGTCTCTAATTGCCCTGTTTTGCCGGAGAGTTCCACTCTGAGCTGCTCATTTTCCGAGTGCACCGATGACAGTTGGTCTTCCAAGGCAACATGAACATCCTTCTCGGTCAACAGGTCGTCACGAAGTCCGTCAAATTCACCCTCTGTCTTCTCCAGACGGAACCTGGTCTCGTCCAAAGCAAGCTCAACGTCGGCAAGCTCAATCTTGTTCTTCGACAACTCTGTGGAAAGAGAGGAAATCTGCGTCAGAGCGTCATCTCGGGATGCCTGCAGCTCAGTGATCGTAGTGTCTCGGGTCAGAAGGTCAGCGGCAAGGGCTTGCTCTTGCTCGGAAACGCTGTGCAGCTTTTGTGTGAGACGTTCAATGATTTGGTTAGAAGCTGATAACTGTTCTTCAAGCGACGAAATAGAACCTCGGAGCGTGGAGATCTCCTCGTCTCTGTCAGCAAGCATACGAGTGAACTCATCTCGAAGCTTGGCCTCTGCGGCCTTACTCTCTTCCAACGCTGAGTTCACAAGAGTCAGTTCGGCTATCAATGCCTCTTGGACAGCGACAGCCCGTTCTCGCCCCAGTTCAGAGGACTCCTCGAGAGTCTTCAACTGAGATGTCAGATCCGAAAGCCGTTCGTGAGCTTCGGCAGATTGCCTTTCAGCAACCTGGCAACGGTCCTCCATAGCATGGCACTGGGACTCAAGGGAGGAAGCAACGACCTTCTCCGCATCGACCTCAGTTCGCAAGCTCGACGCAGCATCTTCGGCGGCGGACAACTTGTCCTTCAACTCCTGATTTTCCCGAAGTGCGCGAGAATGAGCGTCCTTCTCCTTCGCTAGATCGGTAGCGCTGACGTCGGCACGGGCAAGCACCTTGTCGCGCTCAGTCTGCAATGTAAGCAGTTGCTCGTGGACAGCCTTCAGCTGACGTTTGAGCTCGCTTGCAACACAATGTGCTGCAGATAAGGCAGAATCGCTCTCCTTGATTGTCTCTTCGGCCTTCGCAAGCGCTGTTTCTCTCGCATTAAGAAGATCTTGCAACTTGATGACGCTAATTTGCAGACTTTGTGCGCGGGCCTTCTCGGCAACGATGTCGGTATCTTGAACTGCTAACTGAGCTCGCTTCTCGCTCAGGACGCGTTCTAATTTGGCAATTTCTGACTCCAGTTCGGAGATGGTGCCTCTGAGGTTGGCACGACTGGCGTCGAGTTCTTGGCCAGTCGGTCTATGAGACGAATCCTGAACACCGGCATGTCAGGAAAGATGACTGTACAGAAAAGCGTATGCTCATACCTCAAACTCCATTGGCGATGACGGCGGAGGAGTCGCAAGTCCGTGAGAGGCATCCGAAATATTACGGCGAGGGTTGTAGTCCTCCGCAATGTCCGGGAGAGGTGGAACCATATCGAATTCATCATGCTCATGCTCCATAGCACCTGGAGAAGTGGGCGCAGGAGTCGGCTGTTTACTATACTGGTCAATCATAGAACCGGATTGTGTACGGGTTGCGCCCGGGAGGGGTCGTTGGGAAATTGGAGGCGGTACTTGTGCGGGAGGACTAGCAATGTGGGGTAGTATTAGAAGTGAAAAGTGGAGAGAATCTAGCCAAAAACTTACGTGACCTCACGTGGAGTACTGGTGGAATTCAAATCCTCAGTTAGCTCCGGTGTCGCCGTCCGTTCAAGTCTCGACACGGCAAGTTGATGACGGAGAGATTGAACTTCTGCTTGAAGTCGTGCAATTTCTGCCTGTTCATCGTCCGTAGGTTCATGAATACGCTAGATGGAACAGTTCATTCAGCAACAGTATGAGATGTCAATGACTAGGAGCTAACCTTCTTAGCAGTTCGTGGAGCCGCAGCAATGCTGCGTCGGCGAGACTTCTTGCTTACAGGCCGTCTAGCGGAAATCGAGTCGTATTCGTTTTCACCTTCATCATCAGAGATGCTCAGACGAGGTTGAGGAACAGAAAATCGTCGTTTTCGCTTGACGCCACTTGTCAACTGGTGAGCGACAGACTTAATGACAACGTCGTCGGTAGGAAGCGCATCAACAGTCTCTCGTCGAACGGATGTGAATGCCTTCTTAGCATCGGAAGTAAATGTGACATTGTTCGCGCCATCGATAGAGAGGACACCTTGCTCTTCCTGTAGTAAATAGGTAAGCATGCTAGATGAATGGTAGCGTCGTAATACAAACAAATTTCTTCAGAGTGCGAGTGACCCAAGAAGACCATTGTGGACCGAGCTTATCTTTACGGTCTTGCGCAGTCTTACGGACTGCGAAGCAAAGTCAATGGCCAACGCTGAGTGCCAGAGTTAGTATTACTAACACACCTTGTGCTCGGATCGTTGCGATGTGGACTGAGTGTTTCCTGTGATCCCTTTGAATCAATGAGACGGCATGTAGCACACCTATGGTATGGTCAGCTCCACAAGTAGTGGCTAGCGACTGCGCCATTATAATGATAACGCACGTTCAGCATATGAGTATTTGGATTTCTTAGAAATGGCAGAAACCATGGGAAATTGAAGGATAGGTAGGACTAAGAAGGAGGAGTAGTGTTGGAAGTACAGCAGAGTGGGATGTCGCTGGAGAAAGAGAAAGGAGGTCTTGGTGGAAGACTCCAGAAATGAGTAGCCAGGAGTAGCCTCGGTTCCGCAACTGCGCGTGTCCAGCTGTGACCGCGCGTCACACTGCACGTGGTCGCGACCCTGCCCAGAAAGGAAATCCCTACTACTGCTGATCGACAACCACCATCCACAATCCACGACTGCTATACCCTTCCAGCTCGTCGTGCTAAAATGAAGCTCGTAAGGTGTGTAAATCTTGCATATACTCCGATTCCGTAAAGCTACTGACCAAGCTTTTCCGAACGATGTGCCCATCCACCACGCTTTCATACGCAGGTTTTTGATGAAATTGAACAATGAGACGGTAACAATCGAGCTCAAGAACGGATCCGTGGTCCATGGAACGATCACTGGTGCGTTATCTTTTGAACTTTCGTAGCGCATGGATGCTGAGTCTGCTACTGGGTACCCTTAGGTGTCGATATGCAAATGAACACGCACCTGAAAACCGTCAAGATGACGGCGAGAAATCGTGAACCGACATCTTTGGATTCATTGTCTATCCGGGGAAACAACATTCGATACTTTGTTCTACCCGATGCGTTGCCTCTGGATACTCTACTTGTGGACGATGCTCCCAAGCCAAAGAGCAAGAAGAAAGAAGATGCGCGGGGCCGTGGGCGCGGGGTGCGCGGTGGTGATAGAGCACGAGGCAGGGGACGAGGGCGGGGGAGGGGGAGAGGCTTCTGAGTATGATTTTTTACTCCAAGCACGAGTGCGTTGTGGGCGTATTTCTTCCAATGCTTTTGACTCTGTGCAGCTCGCATCGACACCCCTGCTTTGTACAATTACTTCCATTTTTTGAGGGATCACTGGTCCCTTCATGTACTTTGTGACTTGCTCACTTAACGAGAAGTTTTTATCTCGTCTGCCTAAATTTGCGGTCGACACAGCCGGACGCACCGATGGCCATAGACTAGTTGAAAGCAAGCCGGCTGAACAACCGCTGTCTTGCTTAGGAATACTCAGACATTGGTTGCTACATATTTCTACACGAGCTACTAAGCATCACAATGATACACGTCCTGAATATGAACGGCCTGCATCTGAAGACTCGAGTCAGAGGCGTGGACCCCATCCAAAAGTCTGCCGCCCTTACTGAACTTCACACTTTCCACTTGTCACGCGAGCGGTCAGCATGATTTTTCGCCGTTTTGCTTCAACATCCTCTCTTCCACCTACCATTCGTCAATTGTTCCAGACAGATCTTGTGTCGTTTAAGTCAAAACGTGTGCAAATCAACGGATGGGTGAAGTCAATCAGGCGTCAGAAAAGGATCGCGTTTGCTGTCATTTCAGACGGCAGCTCTCCTCAATCCCTCCAAGCGGTTTTCACCGATGTCACCTTAGCAAAATCGTAAGTTTTGTCAATTGTTTGCATTTGTCCCTACTGAACATAGGACATGTTATCGTAGCCTGACTAATGGCAGTTGTGTGCGGTTGAGTGGTGTTTTGTCGGATAGCGTTGGTCCGGAGCAGGATAGAGAAGTTCAGGTGGACGCGGTGGAGTATCTGGGCGAATGTGATCCTGCAGTACGTCTCTACTTCACTGATTCATGTATGTCAGGGTTTCTTAGAAGTTTGTTATTATTATGCAGGAATATCCGATCGCGAAACAGTCATTGACTGTGGAGTACCTGCGTGACCATGCCCACCTTCGGGCAAGGACAGTTCCTGTTGCTTCTATGATACGGTTTCGTGACCAGACCCAACGAACGTTGAGGCGTTTCTTCGAGGTATTTTGTTTGCTTTTAGTGTTGGTACATAGTTAATAACTTCTTTGCAGGACGAAGACTTCACTTATGTCCATACACCGATTATCACCGCAAATGACTGTGAAGGTGCTGGAGATACCTTCAGTGTAACATCTTCGCCGACACCAGCGACTCACTCCCAATCTCAAGCGCCTGACAAAGAGAAGAAGTCTCACTTTTTTGGTCGTCCAGCGTACCTTACTGTGTCTTCCCAATTACATCTGGAGGCAGTAGCATCCTCATTGGCGCGTGTCTACACTTTGTCGCCTTGCTTCCGTGCAGAACGTTCACAGACTGGCCGTCATCTTTCGGAATTCTGGATGTTGGAAGCTGAATGGGCGTTCGCTACCCAACTACGAGACCTCTGCGACGTTGTTGAACGATCGATCAAGTCTGTCCTCAACCAACAGAGCTCCGAACTTCCTGCTCTACATCAGGACATACCTGATGTTAGGAAAGCATCTCTTGAAGCAGCATCAAGATGGGATAAGTCATGGGCCTCAATATCGTATACCGACGCTGTTGCGGAACTTCAAAAGTACCAAGATGCTTATCGCAAGTTCCGTTTCGACCCTACTTGGGGCGGCCCACTGCAAAGCGAACACGAACGATGGCTAGCGGAACAACTCGTTGGAGGACCTGTTTTCGTCACCGACTACCCAACGAGTTTGAAACCATTCTACATGCGTGCTAACGAGAATGGCAACACTGTAGCCTGCTTCGACCTTCTTGTTCCTCATCTCGGCGAGATTGTGGGCGGGTCTTTGCGTGAGGAGCGACTGCCCTTGTTAGAGGAGGCGGTGAAGCTACATGGCTTGGATCCAGAAGAGTATGGGTGGTATTTGGATTTGAGGAAGTATGGAGGTGCTCCTCATGGAGGATTTGGATTAGGCTTTGACAGGTTGGTGCAGTGGATCAGCGGGATTGAGAATATCCGGGAGTGTATTCCGATGCCACGGTATGCGGGGAGAATGTTGTTGTAATTACAACTTTCAGCCATATTTGCTATTATTGGCAAATATTGTGTAATGTCTGGCCTAATGCCACCATGAGACTAAACTTTTTTTTCTGAACTGGGGCGACCAGAGGAGGGGCTGTTGAAGAAACTTGAGATGCATTTCACAAATAAAAGTGATATATTGTGGTGTAAATAAGGTGTAATGCAACTTCAGTCAGAAATGAATGAATATATGAAGATTGCTAGTAAATGAAATAGTGCACTTTTGCATATAAAGATATTATCAATAAGTTGGATGTCAAATATGGCTCTAAATGTGAAAAGAAATTACTCTGTAGATATTTTCTCTCTTATACCTCTTGAACAAATGAAATATCACTTAGATATACTGTAGTTTTATATTTATAGGCCAAACAGAAGTTAGAGGCAGGCATGAAAAACTATGAACTCTCAGATATGATCTTTCAGTTATGCATGTAAAGACAAAATGGCTCTCTTATATCACTAGATATTTAGATCATTTTTAGCATGGATAAATGTAAGGTAAAATTGTAAAATAGTGAGTGCTACAACTTGCTATATAGACTTATACTTTTTTTTTTATAACTTTTTATATTGATAATTTTTTCTCTTACATTTACTTATTTCACTTATCTTTCTATTTTTCTATATAGACAATAGTTATATAATCTACTAGTCATACTCTGATAGTACAGACTTGCTTAGCATATTTTGATACTTCAGATATACTTACTACAGCAATATGTAAAATAATAGTGACTGTATAATTTTCTATGATACATATCAGATTCAAAATCTATCAGATCTACCAAGCTCAGCTATATGGCAATTTGGATTATAACAAGTTTACACTTTGATCACTTCTCATCAGATCAGCTATAACTCAGAAGAAAATTTAATAATAATAATAGATATTAATATTTATTTCTCAATAACTAGTTATATTTAATACTTATATTAACTAATAAAAAAGCTCTTATGAAGATAATTAGAAGATCAGATATATTCTATAAACTTAAAGTAGTTATGAGTAATCTAGTCTATAATAATATATAACAGTAATATAATATTTCTTTCAGAAGTTTTTCTTAGATTGCATTGAATATTATCTAGATTACATTGTTAGTAAGCTTGAGAAGCTTTTGAAGTAGATCTGTGAAGTGAAGGTGTCTGTATCTATCTGAACTTGAAAGTAATAGAATTGACATTGCAAGTAGATTTGAATATATTTAGAGTATTAAGTGAGAGCTATTGATGTAGTTATCTAGATCTTATGAGAAGTTATTGAATAAAAGGAAGAGAATTATGCTGTATATTATAATTTAATTTCTTAGTATTTTGCCTTTATTAATAAAAGTCATCTTGATCAATATATATTATAGCAATATTGTATAAAGACATCTTCAGATTATTAAATATAATGCTATAATCTCTTTATATGTAGAAATTGGTATATTAGAATTAAGTAAAAAAAATAGCTTTGCACATGCTGCTGCAAAAAATTGCTTATTAATTAGAATTTAAATAAAAGTTAATATTTTTAAGAATTTAATTTAACTTTATAATAAAATATGTTTATATTAAGTGCAGTACAAATATTATAGATCTCTAAGATATAAAGAGCAAAGATTAATTATTGCCTCAAAAATATAACTACAGAGTACTAAATAAAGCTGAGCTTGACTAAGTTAGTGCAGATTTAATAGATTTTGAATCTGATATATATCATGGAGAATTACATAGTTGCTATTATTTTGTATATTGCTATAACTGTACTCTTTTTCTATTAACTATTATATTATATTATATTATATTATTTCTTTTATCTTATTAAATAATCTTCTTATATTTAGATATATAAATTTTATACTTAGAATCTCTAATCTGATCTAGATAAGTATATTCTTAATTCTATTCTTAATTCTAAATTTTTATTAAGAGCTTTATCTATAATAAAAGGTCAGATTTTCTTTTAAACTAGTGCACTTAATGCTATAATGACTCATAAAACTTTTTCAATATTTGTTAAATTTTACTTTTATAGATAATATCTTTTAAAAAGAGAGTAAAGTATAGCTATATAAATATAAAAGAGAGTAAAATATAGCTATATAAATATAAAAGATAGTATCTTAGCTTTAATTATTACTTTTGATTATATAATTTAATTTAAAATTGATAGAGATAGTTAAATTTTAATATACACTACTTATTAAAAGTTGTTTTATTATATATTGTTTTATCAAAATAGTCAGACAAAGACTTAACACAGTTTGCTAAGTTAGCTATTAGATATATTAAACTGAGCATAAAAAATTAAAAAGAGATTTTATATAGCATAAAGATATTAAATTTAATTTTAATTATACTATTTTTAGTTAGTATCTGCCAATAAGCAGTTTTTATAGTTGACCTCTCATATCTTCAGTATTTAAGAAAAGCTAAAAGTATTAAATGCTCTAGAGATGCTATAACCTATATTATATTATTTTTTTATAAGTAGAGCCATTATTTATTAAGATTGAATATACTTTCTAACTATTATTAAAAGGCTAAAATAGATATAATTATATTTGCAATTATTACTTTATCTACTATATCTGCCTATATTGATACTGAAAGTTTACTAGTCAAGAGTGTTGTAGTATATTTTATCTATATATTACTTATTGAACTCATAGTAATTGCTCTAGTCAATTTTTGAGAGTAAACTGTTGTGAAATTATTTTTTATAATTTTAGAAAAATAAGTTTAAAAATAATATTATTTAGAATTATATCTAAAGAAAAATAACTAATTAGTATAATATTATCAAATTAATTATATATACTAAAAGCTTTTATAAAATCTATTCACTAACAATATCTAAATATACAAATTATTAAGTCTTTAAGCTCCACATCAAAGAAACTAAATGAGCCTATCAGATTATATGGAAGATATAACTCTATCTTATTCTGATGGCAAATTTCTTGTAAATTTTGAGACAGATTGCCATTTTGCCAGAGAATTTGAGGCATCAATAAATGTGAAGAATAATTGAGAATTTGGATAGCAATAGTTCAGTATGGAAGATATATTGACAGATTAGAGATATATACAATGGATAGAGTTTAAATCTATATAATAAATTTAGTCCTGCTGTAAATTATGATAACAATTTAGATTTTATTATTCAATAAGTATAATCAGCAAATATTGCAATAAATCTTATATCTGCCTAGTATGCAAATCTAGAAATTGGCCATGCGACAGATTTAGGATCTCACATGGCAACAGATTTTTGAACAAAATGTGAAATTATCTAATAAGTTGCTGAGCATGCAAATATTCTAGCAAATTTTAAATCTGTCAAAGCAATAGATTGACTGAACTAGTATCATCTAATAATTGACTCAATTACTGTTCAATCACTATTCTACTTAATAAATATTATTGACCCAGTAAATAGGCTAGTATAGTTTTTAATAGTATAATAAACTTATATATATAGTGGAGTGCATCTTACATTATTGCATAAGGCTCTAAGCTATATGTAATTCAAGAAAAGAGAAAAGAAAGACTATATAATAGAGAAAATCTAGAAGGCAACTCTATCAAAGATATATTCTATGCTACGAGCAATTTATTGCTGCAAAGCCTGTATAATCTGTAAGTTTCTACTTCTATACAAAATGTGAGAAGTATAGATCTAGGCATAGGATAACTAGAAGAAAGCATATTACTGAGTTAATTGAGCTTGTCAAAAAGGTAGCAGATGACAGTCAAATAGAATATATTTTTTAGAGTCAATTCATAAGCAGGTCTGCTGGTGCAATTTCAATATTAATAAAGAATAAGCTTAAATCAGAAAAAGATGCATTATATTTCTACAAAAATATGCTCATTGAGAATCTTTGTCTTCCTTTTTATTATTTTCTCATATCGTATCTTAACATGTTATTTCTTTGAGTATACATATTAATCAGCCCAACTAATAGTCACTCCAAATGGGTATCTCATATCCTTAGTACTATCAGTGACTATTTAATCTATTATATCTAAATAGAGTATATACTATATCAGTGTGCATCTCATATTAATGCTGCTTCAATGCACAAGTGCAGGTGAAGCTGCAGGAGGTTAAAAGTTAAAGTTGAATAAACTGCAAGTAAGTAAAATAAATAAAATCAAATATTAAAAATTTGAATAGGTAGTTTCTTATACAATTAATAAGGCTTGCTCTATCTTGTAGTAAAATATTGATAGTGAATTAGAGAATTTGAGAGTTCAAATACATATTGCAATATTTATAAATATTAATAAATATTGCACATTATATTAAGAATAAATATGAGATATTGTGATTTAGTTGAATGATATAAGTATAGAATGTGAAATAGAGTCACAATGACTCATCTTGATATAAGATTGAATAAAATTGTCAATACTCATTTAGCTAAATAAAATAAAGCATAATAGAGATAAGTATTATTTAGGCAAAGAGAATCAGTTTTGTATCTTATTTATATCTTGATATCTTTACATTGGACTGCCTAATATGCAATTTCTTTTAATCAGTTTTTAGTATCATTTATCTAAGCAAACTGTATGCTTATAGTATGAATATATTTGACTGATAATATTATTCTACTATGAGCTGAGAGAGTACTGAGCCTAATCAGTATATAAAACTCAATCTATCACAGTATTCTATATTTACAGTATATTATACTTGTATAAGACTTTGTAGAGTTTACACTACTTAATTAGCTCCTAGCATACTATCTTCACTACCATCTATATCAAAGTCCTATTCTTATCATTGCTTAAGAAAGTGAGAAAATAATAATATATGAGAGAATAGTTATAAAATAATATACATCAAATTACTGTAAAGAAATATAATTATTAAGAATTGTATGTGAAACTCTGAGAATTGCATTCTCTATCAAAGATCTCTTCTACTCACACTCTACAGATTACAGCCTTATAATCTATTAATTCATCTGAAACCTGAAAAAGCTTGTCTTTACTAAGAATATAAAGGTATCTGGCTGAAGAAGATTCTGAGCAGAGTTGGAAAATGTCTTCACCTAAAATGGAGTCATATTCTAAGCTAAATACAAGAGTGAATAAGTGAGAATGGATCAGAAGATATTAAACTTCTTCAAAGATAAATCTGAAGAGAATTAAATATTGCTCAATATCTGAGTAAGTTTACTAAATTGCTTAACTGTTATTTTA